ACACAAAGCAGCTCTTGAGAATACATGTTGGCCATCCCTAAGCATTCACAATCCAATCCATGTTTACTCAGAAGCAAGATGCACTGTTTTCAGTGGGGCTTACTTCCTAGCAAGTGTGTTTGGAATGGCAGTATAGCAGCAGAATCATATACATATCCACACAGAGCTAAGTCCCATTTGCTTCAAAAGAGCTTACTCCTAGGAAGCATAGGATTGCAGCCATCTTCATCTTTTTTTAATGGAACTGAATGTGTACTTGCTGCAATGAATAGAATCATCTATCATCTTCAATGAAAGATGCCAGAAGAGGGTTGCATAACTGACAGTTGTAGTACTATTAGTCTGATAGTTATCATAGATCAAAGGATGTTCACGTAATTATGATTATCATTGCTGTTGCAATAAATTGCTACTGAGAAGATGATGAGTTGTCTGCAGTAGTAACACAGCTGTAAGAAGAAGTAGCCCTCTGGGCATTGGGATTTTTATTATTTTTACTGCTGCTGTCCCTTAGCAATGTTTGGTCATACTGTCTGTCTGTCAGGAAGGGTCACCAATGAGGATGAACATGCCCTTTTCCTGGTCTGAGGGTGTGTGCTTTCCAGAGGCTTCCCTTGCAATCGTGGGGTGTTAACCGGACACCCTATTATGCATCCAGAGAATCCAGAAATATACTCGGAGTCCTGTAGTGATTTCATGCTCTTTATTGTAGCTTGTAAAACAGTGGTTTAATTGCCCCCCAGACCTCAGGCTTTTATATACATTATTTACACAATGAGTCCCATCTGATTAGCTGATTCTGCTTCCCTCCTGGAGCCTGATTGGTCTTCTCCTGCAAGCCAATCAGTTGTTGCATTCTAGGATCCTACTTGCCTATTGTTGTAGGATCTAAGCTTAGTACATAACATGCTCTAAAGCCCTAGCCTCAATTTGATGCCATTTCCTCTCTAGTTTCAGTTATGTAAGAAAATCGGATTCATTGGTAAAACTGAGAAGAACAGTGCACAATAAATAAATGCACATAAATTCAATTTTCACAGTTCATTCAGCGTGTGTGTGTTTGTGGTGCACACACATACTGCACACTGGAGCAGCAGTGATCCTTGAGCCTTTTCAAAGAACTGGGACATGCAGAGTGCTAATGAATCTGCAAGTGCCATTTCTTCCTTAAGATATGCAAGCAACTCCACCTTGTTTCCCTTGTTATGAAAATCCGTCTTCTCTATTTTGCAGAAGGACCACTAGAAATGGAAAGGGCCAATTCCATGCACGCTTCATTGGCTAATGTTTTAGTGGGCTGGAGCAACAGCTCAGATCCCTTTTGTAGCCGACTTCTCCTTTTTCTTACGGAAGACACTGGCCGTCATGTTCCCCACAACCTTCCTGTCTACCTCTTTCCTTAACTAGGCATTTTCATAGCCTTCTCCCATTACCCTGACTAGCCACCATTGTTTTGTTGTTCTGCAGGGTTTTCAATCCAAGAAAGGTGCTGCTTTAGCACATTTATCTCTGGGCAGGTACAGCAAGGGCATAAGCAGCACAAAATGCTGAAGGATCAGAACTGGGCTTGGTAGGGAAACAAACGCCTCATCATTTTTCTTGCCTGCACTCGCAAGAAGGATGCCAATTTGTTCAATAAAAACTTTGTATGCCTGTTTCACACCTAACAGGCACCAGTTCAAAGCAACTGGCCAGAAACCAGAGCTGCATATGAAAAGAGAATATGTCCAGTAATCTTCTCACCTTGAATGTACTATTTCCTCTCAGGTCTGGCAAAGAATTGAGTCATTCACAGTGTCCTTTACAGCATGATTAATGGCAATTGAGGAAGCACAAACTAAAATGAGTTTTTTAAAAAAACAAACCTCAAAGCAGGTTCTCTGTGAAGGGAGAAAGACACGTTTTAAAACACTAGCACGGTATTTCTCCAGAACCATAAAAAAAGCTTAGGGTGATGGCTACCTTTCTCCATCCTACTCCCTTCCTCCCAGGGTATAGGGCCACGTGCAGTTTTGCTGCAATCTGACAGCAACATAAGAAGGGATGCATACACAAGCAAACTATCACCATGTACGTCAGAACCTTAACCACAATTTGAGTGCAGCAGCAAGCACACCAGCATTTCACAGGACAAATCCTAGAAGCCCTATTGAGTTCAACAGATCTTGCTTATCCTAGCTGAGACGTCTTATTCCCAGCTAAGTGTATACAGCACTACAACTTTAGCTTTTCAAAAACAACAGCAGGCATGCCCTGAGCTCTTGTGCCTTTGGAATCTAATCTTCACCCTGACTGAATTTTGCAGAATTGCTGGGACTTCCCTTTTGTGTGTTGCCACACATCATGACCTTTCCTCCAAGGATATCAGTGGCTGTCCTGCTTATCCCAACATGTCTCTAATGTAGGTTAGGTAGATGCTAGGTCAGTCACTTATAAGGTGACTTGCCCAGGATTGTCCAATTATCTTCATGGCTCAACAGAAATTTCAACCCACACCTCCCTGGTCCACATCCTATATTCTTTGCACACCAACTCTCACCAGTGAGAAAAGAATGGGAGTATTCATACCTCTCTAAAATGCATTAACCATTAATTCACTGGTCTGTTGTCAATGTTGCTTAGACAAACCAGAGTGATATGCAACGAAGCCAGACTCAGAGCAGAGTCACTGAAAGGGGTGAACATGACAGTTAGGTCCATTAATTTCAGCTGATCTACTCCAAGTAAAGTTTAACGGAATGCCACCCATAGTGATTGTCCTCAAATCTCTATCTCCACTTCTGGCTCCCAAAACTGGCTTGCTCTACCAAGCCACACTCCGGTCCTGCTGCTGACTTGGGTTTTGTAACCACAGCAAAACTTGCTGTGTAGGCAGGAGATTTATGTGTCATGCTGAGCAACAAACCAACAAGGTAGACCTACAAAGAGGACTCAGAAAATACTGCTCCTTATAGATAAATCAAACAAGTACTCTTTCATGAATTCCTGAGCTACCAAATGACTCAGCTGCACAAGGGGAGCTTGCAATTATCCTTGTTCACTAGACTATCCCAAGATCCAGCAGCCAAAGACTCCTCTCTTCATCCCCTGCAGTTGAGCCCTCCATGTGAAACCCAGAGTCCCTTGTAAACCCAGAACAGAGCAAATACTACACACTCCCAATGAGACAACAACTCTGGCACAGGGAAAACAATAAAGAAAGGTGCAATAAAGAACACCATGTGTGCACACATGTGCATGTTTCTTGGCTAGGCAGTGCAGTGCTAATGGAGGAGGAGGGTGACAATGTCACTCTATGGCAGTGACATCTTTGGAGCCAAGACAATAAGTATTATATAGAAAAGGTCTGGGGGGGACAACATAAAATGGAACATGATGCAGTGGAGTCTGCAGAATAGTCATAAAGGAGTGTAGTAACATGGTGCTGAGAGCAAAGGAGAAAGCATAGGGTCACTTCAGTAATGTACATTTCTGTTTCTAAGGATGCAACCTAAACTCATTTTGAGCACCCTTTGCTGTCTGAGATGGCCAGTAGCTGCTGGGGGCCTGTGTGGTGACTCTAAAGCAGCGAAGAACTAGGATACCTTGTCTGGAGTAATAGTGATTTGGATGGTACAGTAGTGCTTACCAGAGGTGACATGGTTGTGGGAGGGAGGCAGGTTCAAGACCTGTTATAATTTCTGCAACAGGGGCCCTGTTTCCAACATCCTAGAGTTACCTAATCAGCATGAAAGGGGAACTTTTTAGGAACTTAGAAATCTTCACACCCTTTGTATAGATGGGAGTCAATTGGCCCAAGAGGATGTGAGTCAGTCACTGGGGACTGGCTCCTAAGGTCACCCTAGGCCAGGGGTCAGCAACCTTTTTCAGCCATGGGCCGGTCCACCATCCTTCAGACCATGTGGTGGGCTAGACTATATTTTGGGAAAAAATATGAACAAATTCCTATGCCCCACAAATAACCCAGAGATGCATTTTAAATAAAAGCACACATTCTACTCCTGTAAAAACACGCTGATTCCCGGATAGTCCACGGGCTGGATTGAGAAGGTGATTGGGCCACATCCAGCCCCTGGGCCTTAGGTTGCCTACCCCTGCCCTAGAGAGATAGCGTGTGGGGAAAATATTTGAGTCATTTTGTTTGGTCCAAAGCTAAACATTTAGGAATAGTGAAAACCCAAGGTACTTCATTGTCAAGAGAATGGTGTGCAAGTTCAGTTACATACAATGGAACTTCAAGAAACAGAATCATAGAGTTCAAAACAAGATAGTGGAGCACTCCAAATCATTTGTCCATGTACATGCACAAAAATAGTTCTTGTAGAGGAAAGGCAACACGTGGATAATGCATCCCTACTTATAATCATTGTATATTCTCAGAAGTGACTATGCCTGTGACATCACGAAGGGGCCCTGCACTTCTGAATTTGCTGCCACACTACTGGCGCTCACCTTATTGAAAACTGAGGCAACAAAGGGATTAGGACAATTGGATTTGGTAGGCTGCAATAGTTCACTGGTGTGTCAGACACAAAAAGGGAATCTTTTTGCAGCACCTCAGAGACCACCAGCATTTTTTTTCCCACGTTCCTTGCATTTTTATATCACCCTCTAAATTGAGCTCAGGCCCTTACACTACAAAAACCTAAAGCAGTATAAAAGGTAAAGGTAAAGGGACCCCTGACCAGTCACGGACGACTCTGGAGTTGCAGTATACATCTGATCATATAGACATCACTTTCCCCTTAAAATAACTGTGGGTTGCCTGAAGATCATCGATGCTGTGTGTACGAATGTAGTAGCATCGAGAGCCCGCAAACATTTGGTCCAGTAAATCTCAGTCCACACAATAAGAAGCCAACGAGGTGCAGCCACTCTGCGGCGGGCGAGGCTCTCCAAAGCAGCCGGGGGGCGGGGAGGGCGCAACTCCGAGGTGAGGTGCTAAGGAGTGAGTCGCTTTCGCCCCAGAGGGCACTGGGGTGGGGAGGACACAGAAGGACGGGCTCTGAAGACGCCCGCGAAAGGGAGGCCCTTGCTAGGCTCGGGGCGCCCCGAGAGGATGCTGGAAGCTGGTTGGGGAGGGGGAAGGCGCTCGCTCGGAGATTCCCTGACTTGGCGGCGGAGCTGCAGCCCGAGCCGAGCGGGCGGAGGCGGAGGAGGGGAGCGGAGCCAGGCAGCGCGCCTCCCTCTCCCGCCTCCCCGAGCCCGCGGCGCCCGGCAGCGGCTCCTGCAGCATGTTGGGCAGGGTGCGCTCCGCGATGGCGCAACTCGTCGGGGGCCTGGGGGGCGGAGGAAGCCCCTCGAGCCCGCCGCCCGCCTCGGCCTCCTCCGGCTCGGCGGCGGCAGCGCCTCCGCCCCCTCCGCCGCCCGCTGCCCCCGGGCCCAGCTCCAGCGCCACCGCCGCCAGCACCGGTCCCTGCCGGGAACCGCCCCGAAGCAGCTTCTCCAGACCGGCTTTCCTACAGCTCACGCCCGAGGAGCTTCTGCGGGCGGATGACCACACGGGCCGAGCCGTCCAGAGCCCCCACGAGAGCGGCCGCCGCCTGCCTTGGAGCACCGGCTACGCCGAGTAGGAAAGGGCGAGCGAGAGGGGAGGGCAGGCGGGGAGAGGGCTGCTTCGCGGGACCGCTGGGAAGCATATCCCACCCAGAGATTATTATTTTTAAGTGGGGGTGCGTGCTTGTGGGTCTTGTAGTTATGTCTGTCTGTCTCTCGCTCTCTGCCCTCCCCAATCTCGGGCGTGTAGCGGGTGGTAAAGTGTCTCTGAGCATGTTCAGACAACTTTGGGATTTAAAGATAAGGGCTTTCAGAGCCAAGGCGAGCTTACGGTCTATGTATGGTTCGGAAAGCGAGCCTCCAGCTACAGGGGCAGTCTACCACTGAATACCTGTTGGTGAGCGCGTGTTTTTTCTACCACAGTAGGGGCGCACGTGGTGCTTGCGGGCTTCCCGCATGCATCAAGATGGTCCTTGTGGAATACGGATCCAGCACCAGAGCCCCTCCTATAATCTAATCTTTAACGTCGAGGTAGATTCCAGCCTTTCTTAATCATTCTAGCCATAGCTCCCTTAATATGAGGGTGTCGAGAAGGGAGGGTGTATTCACGTGTAGATGAGGTAACGCGATGAGACTCGGGCTCTTGCCTTTCCAATCCGCTGATCACTTGATACTGGCCCTTTCCTCAAACGCGATCAACCTCACCCCACATTCCCCACCCTTCGTGTCTTCGTGCAGCTGCGCCGCCCACCCTCTTGCAAGTTAGCCTGGCGCGCCCCGCTCTCTGAGGACTTGTGAGCTCAGGTACGCGGTCAGGTGGAGAAGCCCCGTCGCGTAGCCAGTCAGCTGTCCAAGATGCTTAACTCACCTTGGACGGTCTGAGGATGCTTTGCGGCCGCTCATGGAGAAGACGGGGCGGGGCTATGGGGCTGGGAGTAGTTCTTTAAGCTAACCAAGCCTAGCAGGGTGCTCTGCGTCCGGTTTCGCAGAGGACAATCTTCGTTTGGTGGGCAGTGAAGAAGAGAAAGAAGATACAGAGGAGAAGGGAGGGTGTTTGAAGTTGCCCATCACCAGGAGAGTAGACAGAGCAGGCATACAGGTTAGCTCCTCGCTGTGCTTAAATTGTAGCAATTATTTTTAAAGTTTGTGTTTAGTTATATGCAACAACACATGCAAATTTTCTGCAGTTTTTATCCAGTATGTTTCTTCTTTTTGGGTGATGTGCAGGAGGGAAAACGTGGAACACTGCCTGTGTATCTATTTTCCGCTTCTGCTGTTAAAGGCATATTGAGACTGTTACCTGTTTACATGCAACCTGATCCTTATGAGGAAGTGAGCTCAGCTGTGTACAGCAGAGCTTTCCAAACTGTGTCTCACGACACATTAGTGTGTCAGCTGCAGTGTGTAAGTGTTGCACAAATTCTCCCCACACTCCTCCCAGGGCTGGAAAGGTGTTAGTTTCACCCCCGGCTTGCTAGTCAAACTGATTAACTGTATCGTGAAATGAAGCATGTTTAAAAAGTGTGTCACCAACGTGAAAAGTTTGGAAAGCTCTGGTGCACAGTGACATTTTTATGTTCTAGGAACTGTGCATAGGCTTGCTGTGGGAGAATCTGTCTCTCTTGAATGATTTACATTAGGTGCAGCTGAGAGTCCAGGAAAGGCTTGAGTTCCTTGCCGCCTTCTTTAAAGGTAAGGCAGGCAGGTGTTGGATTAGTTGCTGGGAGAGGTCAGTGATGCTAACAGACTGAGTCTCCTAACCTTCTTTTCTTCAGAAAGTTTGTAAATGATCATTTCTTGCAACAACACCCACCCACCAAAATTTGTCATTACAAATGGACAGTTCCTGTCTTTTTCTTCAGCTTTGTTCATAATAAATACAATATAGAGAAGATTAGTATAGCTCGTGAGGGAGGATGACCTTCGAATTCAGGTAATATTCCAGATTTTGTCATATACAAGATGATTAAACACTGAAAATCAGGATCTCTTGGGGTCAAGCCATCATGACTTTAAAAATAAAGCTCTCCATGTTCCACAGTCCCCATCAAATTACCATCCCCACTTTGCTACTGTTAAAGGAAAAACAGACATTTTAAATGCAGTCTTGCATTTAATGTTAACCCACTTTGGGCTCTCATGCACACCCACACAAGCAGCTCTCTTGTCCTTGCAGTTGGAAGAAAAAGCTTGAAAATATGGCTAAATGTATTTTTGGAGAGAATCCAGAACATACAAAAATAGCAAACTACTTTAACAGAAAATACACCCTCTGATGTCTGGGGCTTGTGTGGGTGAATTTTTAATTTTTATTCTCACTAAGCTCACCACACATTATTCTGAACAGGTTCCTGTGGATAGAAATTCAGCAGCTAAAGCTTTTATGGGGTATAGCGAGATGCAGTGTTTAGGGAAATTGGCATCTAGCTGGTGAAATACAGGCGTTTGGACAGACAAAGGTGCTCATGCTTGTTTTAGCTGGGTCTCTTTTAAAAAAAAACATATAATTCATAAGGTTTATATTATAAAACACTGAAACTGCATAAAAGAGAGCTTTTATTCCTTCTCTCTTTTATTCTATTTTTATTCCTATGTACATTTCACATATCTACATAAAATTATAGTTTCAGTTTCCAGTAAGTTAAACGGTCCACTTTTTGTAAAAGTGGATGACTCCTTGCTGCTCTGTCCCTGACCTTAGCTTGCCTTTGTTTGCCAGGAAAACACATCTTGGTTATAAGAAGGTTACTAGGGCTCAGCCCTGAGATAATGATACAGGTTCTAAAAATAATTATCTAGATAGGGGAGGTGCCCTTTGCTGATCTGGTTTTCTTTTCTTTCTGAACTTTTTATTTAGGGAAGGAGAGACCTTGACCATTGTTGTCAATTGAACACTTGGATCTCTTTCCTCTGGAGATGCTCCATTAAAATTACTGGTTACTCTCAAAGTTGCAGGTTGTGTTTATGCAGTGAATATTTACTTAGATAAATGCTACTGAATTCAGTAGGACTTATTCTCAACTAAGCATGCATAGGATCTCAGCCTGAGCCGTAAGTGCACTTAACTTGAAGGCTGGATTGAAATCTGCTTCAAAATAAAAGTGTTTAAAACAGGGGTATTTGGCTGTAAATGGAAACATATTTGTAGCTGTGTGGAAACTGTCTGGGCGTTACCCTTTGCAGGATTTGGAACTTCCTAGATGAAAGTGGTATATAAATGTAGAAATCGTGCTCCGGTAGTGTGGCAGCAGCAGGAGGCCCCATTAGCTAAAGTGGTACCTCAGGTTAAGAACAGTTTCAGGTTAAGAACTTAATTCGTTCTGGAGGTCTGTTCTTAACCTGAAACTGTTCTTAACCTGAGGTACCACTTTAGCTAATGGGGCCTCCTGCTGCTGCCACGCTGCCAGAGCACGATTTCTGTTCTCATCCTGAAACAAAGTTCTTAACCCAAGGTACTATTTCTGGATTAGCGGAGTCTGTAACCTGAAGCGTCTGTAACCTGAAGTGTATGTAACCCGAGGTACCACTGTAACTGTTGTACATCGCTTTGAGATGCCTCATGAGAAGCGATTCAGAAATAAAATAAATAAGAAGTAAACAAATAACCAGGACTTGACTCAAGGCATTTTGCTGCTTGAGGCAGAGGGCAAGGTGGCACATCCCTCCATTCTATGCCCAAAACTGACTGGACTTCAACACTGGCAGTGGGATGACTTCCTCCAGGGCACTTGAGGGCAGCAGGCTTGTTTAGGATATGTGTGATAGGCCCGGGGAACATTTAGGTCTAATGTCAAACAGTGAGGAATAGCCAGAGTGTTCTGGAGGAATAGCTGGGTGTGGGAAGGCTGCCATTGCTGCCCACAGCACCTGCCATCTGGGATTAGTGCCTCTCTCTGCACATAACTGTCCAATGGTGCCATGGCCCTGCTCAAAATGAGCCACCATAATCCACTAATGCATGTTTGTTTTACATACTTCCATCATGCATTGCTGGAGAATGTAGAAAGTTAAGGTTCTTTTAAGGGTAGAAATGTACCAAAGGACCACTTCATAGGCAACAAATTGTAAGAAACAGAAATCTGGGTTTGATTCCCTCTTTCTTAAGAATCTTACCCATATAATGAACATGTTTATTGCAATTACGCTTTATCATTTGTAGATGCACATTTCTTTGTAATGTCTGAAGCTGCCCACAAATCTGTGAAGGCTGAGCTAAAACTCATCACACTTGGGTGACATTATTTCTGAGAAGGAGTCTAGGTGTGCCATGTAAGCTGCAGTCTAAACTATGGCTACTCAGAAGTACGTCCCATTAAATGCAGTGGGAGCTGCTTGCAGATAAGTGAGGTCAGGATTGCAGCTGTAGTCTTTATGAGATAACAGTAAATTGAATCACATGATATGTACCAAATCACAGCACTGCCAAATTTCAAGCAGCCTCTGCAGCAGTTTTTCTTGCTCTGGGATCAGGGAGAATTTTGTTCCAGTTCACAATTGGAGAACTTGCTTAATTCCCGCTTTCCCAAAACAAGACATGAACTGAAACAGCCCTCTTTTGAAATTCGCACTACTCCAAATTTTACTCTGCAAGTTTGTCAGCCAAGTACGTGTACAAAAATATATGTGCTAGTGCAACGTGTGCATAAAAATGCATATATTGATGAAAAATAACATACAAAATGCATCATATTAGGAGAAACAGTTTTGCAAGATTTGACGTATTTGCCCATCCCTGCCCTTGACAGTGGCAAACAGCAGGGAACTCCCAGGAAAAGCTTTTCACAGCTTGGAAGTGATCTATCTCTTCAGGAGTTTGCTGTCTTGCAGTGGGGCCTGCACCAGCTGGCCCTGCTCCTGCCATTGTGTTCCTGCCCCCTGCTCTCATTGAGGGAAACTATCCAAATTCATGCAGTACCTCCGTGGGCTGGCATCCTAATCACCTCAGTGGTATATAATTTCCCAATGTGTGGAGGCAAAGCCAGCCAGGATAGACCCACTCTCCCCCTTACATAATTGAAAAGAACTATTTTTGCCTGATGATTACAGCAGATCCGCAGACCAGTTGAAAAGTTGACAACCCCACTAGTTGTATGTCACGGACAAGCAGATATATGACAAGTGAGCTGGATTTAGCCTGCAGGCAAAGAACACACCACCAGGATCTGTATGGTGATACCTGGAGCAGGTTCTGTGTGCTCCACTTCCTTCTCATTTTCTGAGGTACTATATATCTTCCAACTCTTCTTTCTGCTTCCTGCCTTTTCAGAAAAGCTTCAGGAGAAGGAGGTATTGTCTTAAAATATATTTAAACAGACAGGCTATGGTCTGAAGGCACATGAAACACAGACAGAGCATCTTTGCTAAAATGGGGGACTGAACTATGTGGGACACCATGTACATTAGTTTGATGGCAGGATCATGTATGATTTTCTTAATTATTTATTTTTGCTTTCTGTGTGTGGTTGTTTATTTGCAGTTTAAAACGATGACACTTCTCCAGTTTGTTTGTACTTCCAGTTCTTTTATGTGTTTAAAAATACATTGTTGCTTCAGAGGCACGTGGAGGGTTTTGCTAACCTCTTGGCTCTGGGAAAGTGTACGTGAGAGGAAGTTTGAGAGTTTTCAAGCTCTCAGACTCTGTTCAACCACACTCCTCAAACGTCAACCCATTTTTGCTCTGCAAACAGAATTTCTGCATGCTCTTGTCCAGGGAACGTTTCCTGTTTCACATTTCTACAACTTCCTCCCACAAAGATGGGTTGTTGTGTTTTTGCAACTGACGTTAGTATTGCCCTCATTTCTGTAGCCAGCACAAGGAAAAACTAAGAGATACCGCTTAACAACCGATGGGAAAGGTGAGGGATGAGGATGATTGCCATTGGTGGCAATCTCTTCTCTTTCACAGAGGGAGTAAACAACCAAGTGCTCTGAACTGATCCAAGGTTTCCAGAGTGCCTGCAGTAATAAAGAGCACTCAGGAAACATCAGCCCCAGATGAGAGCTCTTGGCTGCCTACTTTCCCCATGGAGGAGGAAAGAAATCTGCTACCAACAGGTTCTGCCCAAATGGTTTCCCTCACTATTACTTTATTTTATATACTGGACTTCATCAAAAGAGCTCAGGGAGGTTCACAAGGTAAAAATACAAAATAAAAGCACAAATAAGTAGTTGAAACAGAAGCAACGAAACAATAATACCCCCTTCCCACAAACACATTTAAATGGCTGTAGAATTTTAATCAACCAAAGGCCTGATCAAAGAGGAGTGTTCTCACCTGGCACCTAAAATATATATAATGGAGGCACCAGACGAACCTCTCTGGGGAGAGCATTCCAGAAACGGAGCCACTGCAGAAAAGGCCCATTCTCCAGACTTCATGTGGAGGAGGCACACAAAGAAGGGCCTTAGATGATGAACACAAAGTCCAGGACAGTATATATGGGGAGAGACAATCTTTCAGGTATTGCGATCCTGAGCCGTCACTAGACTCTGAGCTGTTTTTCTTTCCTCAAAGGACAATGCTGCCACTGATGCTGCTACCAACATTTTTAGTGGCAGTGCTGGTGCATGGGTCACTAGAAATGGCTTAGTGGACCTGTTGATGCCCACAGGCCACCAGTTCAACAAGCACTAAAGAAACCAGTGAAGTGGGATAAATGTACACACCACACAGTGCCAGGGCCAGGTCTTAGGCAAGGAGGATTGCCCAGTCAGTAGACAGCATATTGTGCAATGTGTGAAGCTGTGACTTCCAAATATGCCCTCTTTCAGATTGTCTTCCACTTTCCTGGAAGAATTGACATGGCACTACATCTTCAGCTTTGTAAAAAAAGCTCTTCTTCTTCTTCTTCTTCTTCTTCTTCTTCTTCTTCTTCTTCTTCTTCTTCTTCTTCGGTGACTACTTGTAGCTGAGTAAGATTGTCTTCCATGAGCACAGTCATAACAGTGAGTCCATAAGTGACTGTAGAGACCAATTCTGGATCCACACGTCCTTCCTCAGTGGGGACACCGGTTTCTGGGCCAGAGTGGGTTTGCCAAACGTGCGTTCCTCTTAGCTCGTTTCTCCTTTTTGCACTGAGTTTGTGCTTCTTCAAAGTCCATGGCACCTTTGGTAAAGGCTGTTCTCCAGTTGGAGCGCTCGCAGGCCAGTGTTTCCCAGTTATCAGTGCTTATGTTACTTTTTTTATATTTGCTTTGAGAGCGGCTCGACGCATGGGAAAAGGAAGTTCACTAATCTAATCAAACACTGCCTGATTGAATCTTTCTTTCTGCCCAGGGTGATAAATGCTGGCAAGAGCCAACACAACGAGGATCAAGCGTGCTGTGAGGCAGTGTATGTGGAAAAGAGACGGGCTGTGAGGAATAACCCAGCCCCCAAGGAAACCTCTGGAGATCTAGAAGGGGTGAGCAACACAATGGCTAGAGTTCCTTCTAAATGTTGGCTCTCAGTCCTATATCTACCTTCTCTATCCTGGTTTGAGGAGAGGAGAAAGTGATTCCAGTCACAGCTGATGTATTGACACAAGACGTTTGGAACTTCAGAAGTTCCCTTGAGATTTGTTCCATTCTCCCCTGGAGTATTTATTGTCAATGTTGCTGTAAAAGGAATGAGTGGCACATGAATTTGCCATACGTCCCCTTCAAGCTTTTTTTACTCCATAGCCTTTTACACACAGATCCTTCCCTCCGTTTCTCATCCTCCAGTTGCATTGCAGTAGATCAGGAGTCCAGGAAGAGGATGTCCTCTAAGCCTCTAAATTAGCACACTGTGATATAAGTTAACCTGTAGCGCAGAAGGAGCTGAATATTGCTTCAACAATTAAAGTTTATGGAATCGTGTAGTGTTACTGCCTCGTCTCTTTTGGCTTTTAACATGTGTTTTGTTTCCTTTGGCTATTTGGGGCCAATTCTCTCATATTTGATTTGATTTGTACCTCGTTCCCTGCAGGGCACCAAAGGCCTGACTTTTTACTACTGGGGCTTGTTTGATGGGCATGCTGGAAGCGGAGCTGCAGTCATGGCATCCAAGCTGCTTCACTTCCAAATCCGTGACCAACTCCGAGACTTGGTGGACATCTTGCAAGACTCATCCCTTCCTCCAATCTGCCTGGAAGATGGTCCCAGGACAGTTCTAGGAGAACCAAACAGGGTTCCTCTGGCTGAGGAAGATGCTGAGGTCCCAAACAATGCCCTGCCACGCTTCCATATGGAAAAGGCCGTTTCCCATGAGAGTTTGGTGGTGGGAGCTATTGAGAATGCATTCAAGCAGATGGTGAGTGTGCTAGGAAAAAACGGGGGGTATGCTGGAGAAGAAGGTCTGATTCAATGCTATAAAAACATTTAAAAAGATTTTACTGGCCAGAAGTGGAGTGCAATAGATAGAAAACTGAGTTTGCACATGGGAGATTCCAGGTAAAGAATTCTGTTTGACCTTGAAACTGACCGAGTGACCTTGGGTGAATTATTCACTCCCGAATTTTCGTAAATCTCAGATTTAAATGAGAAAAGTATAGCTCTGATACCCAGCTGGAATCATTTGAGGTCACAAATGAAAGAAACCTAAATTAATTGTTTTGTGTGGTGTTTTTTTTTTAAAAAAAACCATTTTCGATGACACCACACAGTGATAGACATGGCATAAAGTGCAAGCTGGAGACAGGCCTAGGATCTGGGATGTGTTCCGTTCCTGCCTGGCTGTCCTCCATCCAGAATGTGGATTCACTTCCTTTTGCAGCCAAGATGCTGACAGGGCAACCCATGACTATTTTGGTCTGACAGGGTATTTGCTTACCCAGCTTTCAGATCATGAGTCTGCTCTGCTTGGCTGTTCCTCTGCAGCTCAGCCTTGCAAAGTTCAGGCCCCCAGGCTCCATTGCTGCAGCACAGGAAGTAACATAGTCAGAAGCTGCATACACTATAAGCATATAATTTTTTATGGCTTCCCACATGACAAACTGGGTGTAGGTGTGGGTCCTGAGAAGTCGAATAGCGATCCCCAGACCTTCAGTGCACAGAGTAAATGTGCTGTTGCTACTGTTTCACCTCCACTTTTAAAATAAGTTAGCAATAGAAGCATGTAAATCTGCACTATAGAGATCATTTGTCCATCCGTGTTGTCTACACTGTCTGGTAGCAGCTTTCCAGGGTTTCAGATGTGGTACATTCCAAGTCCGACCTAGAGACGCCAGGAATTGAACATGGGACCTTCAGCATGAAAAACAGGCATTCTATCAATGAGCTACAGCCCTTTCCCAAATGCCTTTAAAAATATTTACAAGTCTCTCCACCACATCCCTTTCTACCTTGCTGTAATAATTAATCATGTAAACACTATTGTTCCTTTTAATAGTCATTGTAAACAATACCTGCAGGATAGCTCAGTTGGTAGAGTATCAGACTCCTAATCTTAGGGTTGTGGGTTCAAGCCCAGTGTAGGGTAAAAGGATTCCTGCATTGCAGGAGATCAGACTAGATGACTCTTGTGGTCCCTTACAATGCTACAGCTCTTTGATTCTAATAACAAGGAAGTGAATAGCCCTACTGAACTGAGTGTGTGTGTGTTATCCCTGATCCTATCTTGGAGAAGTGCCCAGTGCATTCTGGGATTGATGTGTGGGCAGAAACTTCCTCAACAATGCTCACACACCACGATATTGTCACCTTGTGATGAGAGCCACCACACATAAACAAATTACATCACTGGAACAGCACACAGTCCTTTGCAAGATTGCATATTAAAGCCAGGCAAACTCAGATAAGGGAGCTGCTTCAGGAGAGGATGGATGCACTGTTGCTGAAAAGCAAATATGTTCTGCCGGATTCCTAACTGCCGGTAACCTAGGGAGCAAAGGGAAGGGAAGCTTCTACAGGTTTTTGTTGGGGTCATGGAGAAGGAGGAGGAGGACAGGTTTAACCCTCCCTCTTAAAGTATTGTAGTCCCAATCTCATTCCTTTTCCTTTCTGCAGCAGCTTTTTTTTTTAATGCATGTTAATTATTTGCATGCAATTAAAATCCTCCTAGCTTGGTCTAAATTGGAAGAGGAAGGGAAGGACTAAAGGTCTAAAACAGATTAGGAAAAATAGGCATTGATTGCCTTTAAAAGCAGATTAGGAGTTGATGTGGTTCCATTAGTAAAATAAGGAAGGAGTCTGAGGGTTCTGCTGTTCTTCTTGACCCAAGAGGAAACCAAATGCTGTGAAGCCAATTTCAGAGATTTAGTAAGTTTAAAAGATAACCTCAAGTGAGTAGATCCATACACCAGAGTATAGAAACATCAATATTATCATGTCATGTATGTATTTATCTGCAAATGCATCCCCATTCCTACCTAAGTGGAGATTGGAAAAATGTCTGCATTTTTTAAAGGGAAATGCTTCAATTTATACACGCCCTTTAGAACAGAAGCAATACATGTCTATTTTGTTCTTGACTGAGGTATATGCGCTTCCCAAGAAACATGTTGGAAGTGCGGGTACCTATGTGGGAAGCTATTTGCAAGAGCGACAAAGTGGTGAGTGGGTAAAGAATGAATCACTCTCTGCTCCTGATTGCTGCTTCCCCCACATGGCTTTCCACATCTTAAAACAGATCATTGGGCTTCCTACCACTGCATGCATTTACACCTTGTGTAACATTCGGGCCCAATTGCAAAAAATCTTGTACGGAGCAGCTTGTATTGGCAGGGCACTGGGAGCTACCAGAGCTTTAATGTTAAACCATTGAGGCAGCTTGGGTGACTGCTGTAAAAGATAACCCTAATTCAGGGATGGAGGACCTGTGCTTGGGTTTTGTTGTTGGACCACATCAGCATGAGCTGCCATGGACCAGTGGCCAAGGCCAGTGGGATTTTGGAGTCCAACAACATCTGGAGAGCCAAAGGTTTCCCCATCCCTGTCCACCTTGATGCATGTGTGTGCTTCCTGTCTTGTTGCGCTGCACCTCTCTTCAGAGAGCTGCCTTCCACAAGTGAGTCTTTTCTTCTGTCTCCCCAGGACATTCAGATCGAGCAGGAACGGGTGGCTCGGCATGCATCAGGAGGCTGCTGCGCCCTGGCTGCGGTTTATTTCCTGGGGAAGTTCTACGTGGCCAATGCAGGTGACAGTAGGTAGGAGAGAGACGAGGGCGGGAAAGGCTACTCTGCTGCTTGCTGGGTCATGGCAGCCCAAGCCAGGTGAAGGATAAGATTCCTTGATAGCCTAGTGGAAATGAACTGAAGTCTTTCCCAGTCATAGTTGCCCGTTGGTCACGGAATGGAATGCCCTCATGTAAGCAAGTGAGCTTGGAAAGGTCATATGAGAGCCCAGGAGAAATACGTCTTTCAGGAGTGTTAGAGAGGAAGCCACTTACCCACCAAAGTCTATCTAGAAATATGCGCCCCTCCATGTGCTTGCCTACGCCCTATGGTGGAGGCAGTAAACCACCAGGGAGGTATACATAGGGTGACACTAGGAAAGGAATAATATTCCCTGGCCTTTACGTAGTCATTATCTGAGTTACCGAACCACTTTGATGCCAAAAGGTGTTTGTACAAACCCCCACCAAGCGCCTGCATTTTTCAAAAAAGATAATTTTGTTTTTCAAAAACGTAGCTTTTTAAAAATCATATATTGCCTGGCTGCTCCCATTAGTACCCAGCTGCTGACACTGTGAGGCCAAAGGTCCCATTTGGACCAGCCCATATCATTTAAAATAAATAAATAAATAAAAAGATTGGCCACACCAACTTTTACACTTTGAGCACACCCATTTTCACAAGTTGCTCTTGAAAGATGGACCGTGAGTCAATGAAGCCTTAGACTGGAAAAGGCTGTTCATCCTTTCTATACATAATGGAGGTGGGAGAACAAAATTGGGACTGCCAGCCCTGCTTGTGCTCTGTGTTTTCAGCAGGTATAATAGCATTAGGTGTAGGGCTAACAAGTGTTTCCCCATTTTCCTCCCCACACATGCAGGCTTTACTGTACAAGGGGAAGGGGGGAAGGGGTGCTGTGTCTCAGGCATGGAAAAATCAATGTTTGTTGATGCATTCCAAAAAAAATGTTTTTACTGCTTGTCTCTTTACCTTGGCCTTGCAGCAGTAATTTTAAAATAAATCTCTCTTTGATAATCAGGACATTCATCTAGTACGAATGCCAAATATGAAAACAGCTATATTTCAATGAGTAACTGTTTTCTTTATTTTTAACCCAAACTCTTTAGTAAACGTTGAAAACAAATGAAAGTATTTTGAGAGTACCAGCATCTGACTGATTGTTGAAATCCTGCTCAAAATGCCCTTCTTTCACCTTTTGGTTGCTGACACCCTTGTATCTCAGGTCTTATTGATTTTAGCATGCAAAGAGGGAAAGACAATATTAGAGGAGTCACCTCTCCCCATCCCCCCCTTTAAGGCCATGCTGTACCTTTTTTGCATTTTCTGAGTCTTTTTATAGTCTCCTTTCAATCCTAATCAGTATGAGGAATAGGCTTTAGTGTGCAACAACCATTCTGTTATGTAGATTCCATCCTGATGAATGTGGGTGTGTTTTGAAACTGTTTTTGTCAACTTGTGGTCACTTTGGTAGGAAATTAGGTTAAAGAACAGGAAATCAGGAGGTTTGCTGATGGTACCTATAAACTGCAAGGAAGCCATTCTCAAAGTCATAACCAGCTTGGGTGTGTGTGTGTGTGTGTGTGTGTGTGATCAGCGAGATCTTGTATTGTAATCCAAGTGTGGAGATGTCTGGGTATATCTATGTTACAAACTTTCATTGGCAGTATACCAGTTTAATAGAATCCTGGGAACGCAGTTTGGAGAAGGTTGTGATGATTCTCCAATAGAGATTCTTAGCTCTTCTTCCTTACTGAACTGTAGTTTAGGGAGAATAGCCCCCATCATTCACAGGAAAAGGGCTCCATGAGTAGAATAGGCAGTGAGGCTGCATTTGTGGCCCTACTCCCAACACTGTGAGTATTCCTGGAACCAGCCCCAACATCTAGGCACTGGTGGGAATGTCTGAAGAGGAGGAGCCAATGCACATAGAGGTCCATCTACACAGGCTTCCACATGATCTGGAACCACAATTGTGTAGCACCCCCAATTTCATGGAAGCCAATGTGCACACATTTTCCCTTTCAGGAACATGGCAAGGATACCATACAACATTGGGGCAGGGACAACAGTAGATAATACATAAAGTAGGCTAAGGAATAGTTGCTAGGCCACTTTTAGACTATAGAGCAGTGTAGATGTCTCCAGTTAATCCATAGTTGATACAGTGTCCATGGTTACAATTGCTGTTAGTGGTTCATTTCTAAACTTGGAATACCATTACTTTCTTGGTGTGCCATCTTTGACTTTTTTCTCATCAAATGTCTTTTTGTTGCCTTAAGAACCTTTGGAATATAGATGAATGAAAGTGAAACAAGGATGCCAATTAGGGCAAGGGCTCCCAAACAAGGGGAAATGATTGCAGGTTGTTGTTGTTGTTGTTGTTGAGTTGGCAAGTATTGGTTTTGTTTTCCCCACTGAGTCTTCTGCTTGTTCTGTTTCTCATTCTGATTTCTCTGTCAGCCTTCTTTGTGGTTTTGCATGAAAAACAGAGATGCTACCCCCTGCTCTGTGCATGTTCAAAAAAACCCAAGCAGGAAACAATGAATGGATAAAAAGATAGGAAGGGCAAATTTGTGGGTAATGTGTCTGTGGCACATCCTCTCTATCACTGTTGCAGACAAATGCAAGTTTTTCATCAAACCAGAATAATTATTTAAATATGTCATAGTCCATTCTTTAGTGGAACAGAACCGGGATCCTGATGCAAGACTTAGACAAAATTAGAACTGCCACTTCCAGCAAACCTGGAGGCTTTGGGAGTTAAGCACAGTTGTTGCCTACCATTGCAGTTCAGTTGAATTTTGTGTCTTCTTTTGTTCATAAAACCTTTTTTGTTTGAAAACAGCAGCACTTCTCTTGCTCAATCTCAGTATGTTAGCAATCAGTAGTGTTGGCTGGAGTGTGAATTGTGCATATTCAAATTTATTTATTGAGCACTTGGTATCTTAGCGTTTTCTTGATGGTTACCCATTATGTTGGCCATGCTTCTCTTCTCATGATCACCCTCCATTCTTTCTGCTCTGTTTTCTAGATTGATTTTTCCTAATGCTCTGCTTCCTTTCATCCCAACAGTCCAATGTCCCACTGTTCAGGGCCAGCCCACCCATGAGACAAGGTGAGGCAACCACCTTGGGCAGCAGGATCCACAGGGGCAGTGGGCCTTGGAAGGCTAAATCAGCCAGGATGCCCCGCCAGGAACCTGCTGGACTTAGGCTATCATGCCAAGAACATCCCAGGCCTTCCAGTCAACCGGGGACTTCGGCCCCGGACTACAGACAAGCTCTGCAGAGCCTGCTGATCGGAGTTGTACTCCAAAATATCTGGAAGGCATCAGGTTCGGGAAGGCTCTAATCCATTTTACAGAGAGGTTTTTTTGAAGTGGGAGACGAATCTCAAATACCTGTGCCTGCAACTTCCCGTACAGATAGAGAATTACTGGTACTGGGCTGAAATGTGACACTTGTGTTCAGATCTCTTCTCCATGGACCTCACTTGTGTAAGACAAGGCCTCTAGATTTAACCTTCCTTACGAAACGAGGATCTACAGTAATCCTTAGAACACAGCAGGAATGAATTCTGCCTATTTAGATTGAAAGGGGTGCAGCAAGCTAGAGGATTCTCTCCTCCAATTGTGGTAGCGCAATTGACAGGAGGCTATCAGGGAGACTTTGACTGATAGGTCTCTGAGCTCCGTGATGCAATTGCAAGTGCCTCATAAGATGGCATTTTGGGAAGAGGAATCTGTGGGAGAGGGAGCCTCTTTAGGCTACTTAATGTGTGACAATGCATTGCATTTATCAACTGCCTAGACCATTTCTCGTACCACACTTCATGCTTATTTTTCTCCCCTAACCACCTGCACAGTAATCACCTTTCTATATAGAAAATAAGCATACGCAAAGTGGACCTTAGCTAACACTGCTGCTTCTCTTTGCCCGCGGATGTCCTTTCTGCTTTCCCTTCCTATACTGTCTCTTTCTCTCACATGCTTTCTAATGTCCTCATTCCATGTTTCATTGCAGGGCCATTATCATCCGTAATGGGGAAATCATTCCAATGTCCAGGGAGTTTACTCCAGAGACAGAGAGGCAAAGGCTGCAGTTTTTAGTAAGAATTAACTTTTTTTCCCCCTATCTGATTTATTTTAACCCACTGCCCAACACTCAACCAAACCCATCCAGGAATAAACGTGAGAAGGTGTTTCAGTACGAACAATGTCTTCAAGTGCCCCTAATAGCTCACCAATAAATGCATGTCTAAACCTACATAATTAGACATATGTACATGTACAGCCCAACAAACCTCAAAATACTGTTTTGTAGTAACTGAAAATACTACTTTTGTAGTACAAAATTATAAATGGAAATTTAATTTGAAAAACAGAATAGCAAAACATCATCCACTCAGGAACCAGTTCTGATAATGGAAGCTGCACTGCAGTTATTGATGGAGGCGGGTATTAATTACCCTGCCTTGTGCTGAATATTCAGAACTCCAGTGCTTGGAGGTCAAAGACATTAAAAATAGTGCTAAAAATGCTAATAGTGAGGTCATAATGCTGCTCAGGCTTCCCTGTGGCTGCTGTTTTACTAATGTGTGTGTGAATTGCATTTATTTAACTAACGTCATGCCTAGTTTGGTCCAGAGGCTCTGGTGGTGCTGGGCTCCTGCCTTTCTGCTTCCAAAATGCTCTTGAGCACTGCGCAATAAAAAGTACCGTATTTTTCGCTCTATAAGATGCACTATTTCCCTCCTAAAAAGTAAGGGGAAATGTGTGTGTGTCTTCTAGAGTGAATGCAGGCTGCACGGCTATCCCAGAAGCCAGAACAGCGAGAGGAATCACCGCGCAGCACTCCCTCTTGCTGTTCTAGCTTCTGGCTCAGCCCCTCTGTCCCTTCCCCCACCTCCTGCAAAAGCCCCCAAGAGGAGGGAGAAAAGCCTGCAAGCGCCGTACACACACTCCACGCGGCTCATGAAAGGGAGCTCTGAGCAGAGCCTGGGATGCATACAGGCTCTGCTCAGCACTCCCTTTAAAGAATATTTTCTTTCTTGCATTTCCCCTCTAAAAACTAGGTGCGTCTTATGGAGTGAAAAATATGGTAATATAGTCCCTGCTCACTTCCACCCTTTCACTTTGCTCCCCCTGCTGATTCTAGAGTCAGGCTTGCAAGGTAAGGTTCAGACACACACACACACACACACACACACACACACACACACAGCTCTTTTCCCTAGAAGAGGAAGGAGCTGCCAGGGTTTTGTTAAAATTATTTGCATATTGCATGAGTTTTGCCCTAAGGCAGAGGAGGGGAAAGAATCCCTGGGAAGCACAGTGAGAGTGTCCAAAATGCAAGCAAGTAAGCAGAGGTGCTGCTGGCAATGCTTCCTGGCTCAGAGTGGACGTCCTTGGCAAGACACCAGGTGGAATCTTATCTGCTGTTCTATATCCAAACAGCTTCCATGTCTTGGAAGGGAGGAAATTGCACCGAGTAATGGATCCTCTTCACTGGCTGCGATAAAGAAACTGAGCACTCAGAAAACCAATCTTACACTTCCCCCGTGGGCTTGAGCCGTTTGCTTTGAGCCAAAGCCCTTTTATAGCTTAAGCCCTTTTCTGTAAGTAGTGCCAGAGCAACGATCCTTTACACTCTGCCACTGTGATCTGAAATGCCCCACTTAAATCATTGCAAGAGGGAAACCTGATGTATATAATATTCTGTAGTTTTGCTTTTGTACCATAAAAAATAGAATTTGTTCTGCCCATTTCCTCTTTTCTCTGGATTAGTTACACTCAAAATACACAAGGGGGTGAGTAAAGGGAGATTCACTGCATAATTTGCTGCCCGTTTGAGTCCTGGGCCCCATTCTTGCGAGGTTTACCAGGTATGCTGAATGTAGATACTGCCTTCTGAGCTTTTGTTGCTGGCTCTTTGGCTGAGGGTTTGCTTGTTGAGTAATGGCCTCTTTTCAAAGACGTTGGCAAGTCATGGAAATCACAGAGCCAGCTCTGAAAATTAAACCCTGATTAGGGCAGCAGTGCCAGGAGGACAAAGAAAGCCCTTTTTCTTTGCAGGATGAAAAGGCAACCAATCTCAAAGCCACCTTTAATTTTCTCTGAGTGTATGTGTGGAAGAGAATGAATTGCTGTAGCAGGAGCATCTAACCTGTATCAAAATGGGATTCTGACATCTCCAGACATAGCATAGCATAGGATTCAGTCTGTATAGGATTTAGTCTATCAGGTTTCCCCCCGTTTGCACAGAAATAGGATAGATTGTCTAGGGTAATGGAAAATTATTGCCTGTTCAGCTAAACTTTGGTGCTTGCACACTCACTGAGATTGGTGCATTAGCCTCCCTTAATTATCTCTTAAATAATTTCAGCTTGTTTTCACTTTTGGATGTTTTTTGTGCCTGGAAGCTTTTTCTGCACGAGACTCAGTCTTGTTAATTCATGCTTCATCTAGCAATTAGGTAGCTGCTTGATAAAACCACTTCAACCAAATCCTTTGCAAGTCACAGAGGCCTAGATGCTCTCTGCTGAGTGGTTTTTTATTAACCAAATGTGACTTTATAAGGTTTTTCAAAACATTTGTGGCTTGGGGGAGATCATTGTTAATTCTGCCATGAGCAGAAGATGCAAATGTGCCCTCAAGAGTCAACTGTAGTACTGAAAAGAAAGTTTTGGCTCCAAACAAGATGAGATATTAATCAAGACTGGGCCTTGTGTTTTTTTCTTTATTGTATAATAGCTGCAGGGGTGGGGATGCAGATATGATATGTTGGGCAGAGTGGGGATTTAACCCATGGTCCTGATCTAGATTGCCTGTCCCTCGGAGCTGCTATTTGCTCAAGCAGTAAAATTGTCACTATTGCCAATTTCTAGGGCAAATAATTAAGCTGCTTAAAATTGTGGCTGATCTTTCAACGTGGCAGCACCTACACTTTTGAACTCCTTGCCTATTGACCCTCACAATACTGTTTTAGATGCCTTCCAATAACTTTTTCATCTCAACAAGCCATCATTCCTGACCACTGGTCCTGTTAGCTAGCGGTGATGGGAATTGTAGTCCCAAAACATCTGGAGGGCCGAGTTTGCCTATGCCTGTCCTAGATGCTCCATCTGTGTGTGAGAGCAAGGATGGATAGGTGTGTGTTGGGCAGGGGGGTGGCAGGTTCTGCACTTTCAAATGTTCCCCAAATCACCTTCTTTGTAAGTGTAAGAGATACAAACATACAAACATATATCTGAAGGAAAGCATGTGGAACAAATCATAGAAGAGTTTGTGAATGCTCAGTGCGCCCCCATGAGGGTTTTTTGAGATCTGGGACTTAAAGATTTGTGTTGTTTGGGTGGAGAAGATCCAGGCAGTGCTCATCACTAAACTTGCTCTTCCTTTCCTCTTCCAGGGCTTTTTGAGACCTGAGCTGCTGGGGAATGAGTTCACTCACCTGGAGTTCCCTCGAAGAATCCAGCATAAGGAAGTGGGGAAAAAGATGCTGTACAGGGACCAAAACATGAATGGCTGGTAACTCTTTTCATCTGATCTAGATTACACTGATTGCCAGAATCAATCAGAAATGCAAGACGAAGGAACTCGGTGTTCTAGTGACAGCTAGTTACATCACCACTGCCCTACTCAGCTGGACTAGAAAAGTCTCTACCTCTCCCTTTTTTCTTTTTGTCGTGTTACTAAAGCTGGAGACCGACGATGAAGGCTTTTTTAAAAAGGGGAGTTTATTTTGGTATTATAGAGGAGTATGATGTGCACACATATGGCTATTGCTTCTACTAAAGAGTTTCTGCAGATTTTTGTATGGCTTAAGTAATCCTGCTTGTTCAAAGATAACAGTGGGAGAAAAGCATATATTTTGTGGGTGTTTGTGAAAATCCATGCCTGTACACTCAGGGAAATTACCTAAGTGAAATGGTTCTGACCTGAGTTTGTTGCTTGCTTGCTTGGCATTGGGATGAGGATATTCAGTTGTGCTTTTCACAGCAGCCAGAGCTCAGTGGTAGAGCATATGCTTTGCATGCAAAAGGTCCCAGTATCAATCCCCAACATCGCCTGGTAGGGCTGAGACAGTCTGTTGTCCGAAAACCTGTAGAGCTGTTGCCACGCAATAGCAACAGTACTGAGCTTGATGGATTGGTGGTCTTACTTGGGCAGCTTCCTATTCTAACTTTCATCTGCACTGCAACACATTTTGTGTGATTTCTTTTTCTAACCAGGGCATATAAAAGGATAGAAGAAGATGACCTGAAGTTTCCACTTGTTTACGGAGAGGGTAAAAAGGTGAGACACTGAGCACATTTGAAAATCATTGGAGAAGTGGAGAGAATTTTCATTAAACAAGGGCATGAGGATTTGGAGTAGACCTAATAATATAGGTTGAGGTATACGATATTGGTGTCAGAAGCACACTTTGGCTTTGACAGAGACGGCTCATTGGTAAGTCTGCACTGAGCAATTTTTGTATGATACCTCCTGCTTGTTCCCCCACTCCATAGGACACAATGTATGTTATGTTTAAAAAATTTAAACCATCTTTCATTCTGATGGGTTCTAGGGTGATACACAGCAATACAATACAATGTAATGCAGTGCCCTATAAAATAAGATAAAGAATAAAAACACTTCATACAGCAGAACTCCCAGAAGTGCAAGCTGGATTTCAAAGGGACAGAGGAACCAGAGACCAAATTGCAAACATGTGCTGGATTATGGAGAAAGCTAGAGAGTTCCAGAAAGACATCTACTTCTGCTTCATTGACTATGCAAAAGCCTTTGACTGTGTCGACCACAGCAAACTATGGCAAGTTCTTAAAGAAATGGGAGTGCCTGATCACCTCATCTGTCTCCTGAGAAATCTCTATGTGGGACAAGAAGCTACAGTTAGAACTAGATATGGAACAACTAGTTGGTTCAAAATTGGGAAAGGAGTACAGCAAGGCTGTATATTGTCTCCCTGCTTATTTAACTTATATGCAGAATTCATCATGCGAAAGGCTGGGCTGGATGAATCCCAAGCTGGAATTAAGATTGCTGGAAGAAATATCAACAACCTCAGATATGCAGATGACACAACCTTGATGGCAGAAAGTGAGGAGGAATTAAAGAACCTTTTAATGAGGGTGAAAGAGGAGAGCGCAAAATATGGTCTGAAGCTCAACATCAAAAAAACGAAGATCATGGTCATGGTCATGGTCCCATCACCTCCTGGCCAATAGAAGGGGAAGAAATGGAGGCAGTGAGAGATTTTACTTTCTTGGGCTCCATGATCGCTGCAGATGGTGACAACAGTCACGAAATTAAAAGACACCTGCTCCTTGAGAGAAAGGCGAAGGCAAACCTAGACAGCATTTTAAAAAGCAGAGACATCACCTTGCCAACAAAGGTCCGTATAGTTAAAGCCATGGTTTTCCCAGTAGTGATGTATGGAAGTGAGAGCTGGACCATAAAGAAGGCTGATCTTGAGAGTCCCATGGACTGCAAGAAGATCAAATGTATCCATTCTTAAGGAAATCAGCCCTGAGTGCTCACTGGAAGGACAGATCCTGAAGCTGAGACTCCAATACTTTGGCCACCTCATGAGAAGAGAAGACTCCCTGGAAAAGACCCTGATGTTGGGAAAGATTGAGGGCACAAGGAGAAGGGGACGACAGAGGATGAGATGGTTGGATGGTGTTCTCGAAGCTACAAACATGAGTCTGACCAAACTGCGGGAGGCAGTGGAAGACAGGAGTGCCTGGCGTGCTCTGGTCCATGGGGTCACAAAGAGTCGGACACGACTAAACGACTAAACAACAACAACAACAACAACAACACAACACTAAAAACAGGATGACAACACATAATAAAACTAGAAAGCGAACAAAGCCCATAAAATCAATTTAAAACAAGGAAAGAAAAATGTATAGTTCATCAATTGATGGCACCCAGGGAAAGGCTTCATCTGTAGATCTTAATGCATAGCCAGGCTGGTATGGGAGGAGGCATGTGGCATGCTCAAAAATTGAGACATCTCTTTTATTTGAGATCTGTATTCTACTTTATGGCTGACTGCCTCTGATCCTTCTTTCCATACTTATGAACCTGGGACCTTCTGCATGCAAGGCAAGCCCAGAGTGCTAGGAGCCTATCCAAGTTGCACAGATGCTCATTATGTTGCTATCCTATTAAGAGACTCCACCCTTACTTTCCTCCTAGGCTCGAATGATGGCAACTATTGGGGTGACACGGGGTTTGGGTGATCATGATCTCAAGGTGTACAGCTCCAACATCCACATCAAACCTTTCCTGTCCTGCACCCCAGAGGTGAGTTCATCAGAGCTAAGATTCTACTTCCTGGAATTACAGCTGCTCAGTAACAGCATATTTTTATTTTTCATCAAATATTCCAAAACTCAAAGTTGTTGGGGGGGGGGGGTTGGGTTCCTGAAGCTTTTTGATCACCCTTAGCTCTCCAAACCAGGTTTGGCTGCAGGCAAGATGCTTTCTTCTGTCACACTCCATTCTGATTTGCAGGATTCTCTCTCTCTCTCTCTCTCTCTCTCTCTCTCTCTCTCTCTCACACACACACACACACACACACACACACACACTCCACTCATGTGTCCAGCCTGTACAACACACACACATCCACACAGGTGGTGCTTCTAATTCAGGCTTGAGCGTTTGGACTGGGGTCTTGTCCACCACCATCAACAAATCTATACAATAGTCCCTTTAGGACACTGGAGGGAGGGCTCACAAAGGATCAGATTCTGAGGCAGAATAATTCTGGGGCTTTTGCATGTGTGTGAGAGAGAGAGTGAGTGAGAGAGAGCATTATAGAAAGGTTTGAAACAGTGGGTAAGATTGGTGTAGCTGCAGAAGACAAGAGCTAGGCTTCAAGACAACAACAATTTATTTATATGCTGCCCATCTGACTGGGTTGCCCCGGCAACTCTGGGTGGCTTTCAACAAATAAAAACATCAAACATAATAAAACATCAAACATTTAAAACTTCTCTATACAGGACTGCCTTAAGATGTCTTCTAAAAGCCAGATAGTTGTTTATTTCCTTGATATCTGATGGGAGGGTGTTCCACAGGGTGGGCAGCACTACCAAGAAGGCCCTTTGCTTGGTTCCCTGTAACTTCACTTCTCACAGTGAGGGAACCACCAGAAGACCCTCAGTGCTGGACCTCAGTGTCCAGGATAATTCTACTGGGTAGCTATAGTGCTGCTGTTCCAAGATTCCTGTGCACGCTTATGAATGGGGTGTCTAAGCACAAAATTTTTCCTCACCTCTGGGGAGTGACAGGACTCAGAAAGTGCTTCTCCTTGAGGAAAAGCATTTGCAGAGCCTTGCCACCAGAGCAGTGAGGCTGCATCCCTTACGTTTTTCCGCAGGTTCGCGTTTATGACCTCACACAGTATGAGCACTGCCCTGACGATGTGCTGGTGCTGGGCACAGATGGCCTCTGGGATGTCACCAATGACCGAGAGGTTGCCAATGTGGTATTTGATGTCCTAATGGGCTATGAGCCCAATGATCCTTGCAGGTGAGTGGGGCAAGGTTTTGCACCTGTGTGCTGAGGAATACTTACACCAGAGTGGTTGAGCAGACACTTTATTTCCTAAGGTTCTGGGGTCCATTGTTTGCTCTCAGTCTGGGGTTGGTTTATTCCCTTACCTCTTTTCTATTCTGGGACATGAATCCTTTTTGTTTCTCTTACCTTCAAGTCCCCTGGTGGTGTTAGGTCTTAGGGGCAAAGTACGTGTTTGTTGTTCATGTGTGTCTGTGTAATGAAGCACCAATTTCTTGGAAATTAAAAGCAGCCTTAAGAGGTTGCAATTTTGAGTAGTAGGTGTGGGGAGAAGGAGGGGTTTCTTAACCTTTTAAACTGGCAGCTGTTTTTCCATTCAAAATCCCATTTTTTCTGTTAGAGGTTCCTGCCCACTCTCTTGCTCAAAATTTCAGCTTCCCAAATTTGCTTTTTTTAAAAAAAAAAAAGTTGGAACTTCATTACATACATTTGAATATAATCAACCAACCGTTTGCACTTTACTGTTTTTAAACATGGGTGGGGAACCTTATATCCCCACCTACTGCCAGGCCAGATTTGAAAGGTGAGTGAGAGTAAATGAATGACGGGCCTACAATTTCCTAATTAGTTGCACAGGGAATGAAGTGGGATGAGATCATTATTGTGAACACCATTCACACTTAAAATAAGTACTTTTTATTAAAAAAAAACTGTACTCTACCACGTCTCTTGCATTATGGGTGTGCATTCTGATGGGCTGGTTCTGTTTCCCAGGTACACAATGGTGGCCCAGGAGTTGGTGGTGAGGTCCAGAGGGGTTCTGAAGGAACGTGGCTGGAGGCTGGCCAATGACAAGCTGGGCTCTGGAGATGATATATCTGTCTTTGTTATTCCCCTTGGTGGTCCAGGAAACTACACCTGAACCTCAGGTCCCAGGGACACAGGGGTCATGATTCTAGACTTTACAAAGAAGAAGAAAAGCCGAGGGAAAGAACCACCATCTTGCAGCAGAACTGGAGGCTGTAGATTCTCCCTACACCTGGAACATTCATAATGCTGGAGTCTTCCGAAGAGGATTGGGGGTGGGGGAATGTATGACTGCACCTTGGGTCCTTGTCCCACTCTGTCTCAGCTTGCTGGGTTCCAGCTAGGGACACAAAGAGGTAGCCCTGGTCCACGCTTCTGTTAACGGCAAGAAAGTCAAGGTAGAGCCGTTCCTCTCAGGATTTACACCCATCGGCCCTGGAGACCTGTAGGAAATCTTGCATTCCAAGGGCTGCATTAAATTTGAGCTTTTGGTCACATGGAAATGTCCTCTAAATTGGGTAGCGGCACTGGAGTCTCCCTGCAGTGTTAGCCATTTTGTGTGTTCCTATTCCGTCTCCCATGGTTGCAAAGGGGCAGCTGAATTTTGTCAGATCCCTAGGACACCTCACCATCACGACAGTTATGCCTAATTGCCTAGAACATCCCTTCCCTTCCCTTCCCTTCTTGCTAGAGGGAGCACCAAGCAAGTATGGCTGATTGGTTTGTTACCATTCCCCTGGCTTGCCATAACCACTTGTTGCGTAGTATGGGGGGATGCATCCATAGGGGTTTCTTACACTAATCCTGGATATTGCTGTACCTCAGCCAAGTTGGTTGGTTCTTCATGAATGCATCTCCAAATGACAATGAAGGAAAGGCGCGAAAATATTCCTGCTGTAGAAAATGTCCCTGGGGAAAATCAGCTGTGCCTCACTTTCACCAGATGGGGGTGCACTTAGAAGAACAGACAGAAAAAAATGACTGTGATGAGACATCTCTAGTTGGTTTAAACAACTGACCCTTAAATAACAAGATACAGAAATCTACTGCAGCATAGGGAGTTACCCCATCCCAGACTTAACCCCAGAGAGGTCACTTTGGAGCTGCAAACGCAGCAGAAACATAGAAGACAGCAATTTCTACAAAGGGAATAACTGTAGAACGGTCTGTACTTCTGGTCTGTTCACCTTCCATGAAAAGTAATGTACTTCTTCTTGAGTTGAAGTTCTACCTCTGAAGCCCGAAGCATTGAGTTCTTTGTTCAATGAATAAGAAGCCTTCAAAATTTGTGATGGGGAAGAAATGGATTCATTTTTTTTCATGGAACTGTCGTTTTCCACTTGCTGTGCTGTGCAAAAGCAAGACCATCTCTGGCCGGGGAACTTGCACCTTAAATTTGCCCTTGTACTCTATCTAGCTGTGAGTTAACTGAGTTTTAAGAAGAAAATAATTTCAGGCTTCACAAAAATACCTGCCACCTCTTAAGCGCAGACAATATACAGTGGGACTTATTTCTGAGTAAACACGTGCAGGATCATTCTGTTGGGCTGCAGCCCTATGCACAATTACTTAGAAGTAAGCCCCTTGGAACTCAGCGGGACTTCTGAGTAAATGTGCTGTTATACAGTTTCTATTATGTAAAGGCAGATCCTGGAAGGTTGGATCTCTTTGTAGAGTGTGGCATTAGTACCTGAGAAAAGATTAAAGAACCAACTGAAAAACTGCAGCTATTAAGTTGCCATTGTTAAGTAAAAGCTGGCTAAGGCTCTTTCTTGCTGGAAAGCATTTTGGTATTTCCTGATTGTCGTGCTGTCACTTTCTGGTGATTGTGATGTGTACCTTCTCACCAGTGAGAGATGAGTCAAGTGAACGCTTCTCTTGGGAACCAGAGGGGAGGGGTGGGTTTTTAATTCAAGAAGAAAAACAAGAAAGTTGTAGCCAGATCCACACTGTATGCTAAAGAATCATAGGGTTGGAAGGGACCATGGGGATCATCTAATTCAACCCTCAGCAGTGCAGGAACATGCAGCTGTCTCTTACCAGGACTGAACCTGCAACCTTGGTGCTATCAGCACCACACTATAACCGACTGAGCTATCCAGCTGATATATCCTGCTTCAAGCATTCAACAGATTTGGCAAGGAATGTGTATATTTCGTAAAGTTTTCGTTAAGTACTATAGCCCTCTTTATGCGGGTGGCACTGTGGTCTAAACCACTGAGCCTCTTCGCCTTGCTGATCAGAAGGTTGGGGTTCGAATCCCCGTGACTGAGTGAGCTCCCATTGCTCTGTCCCAGCTCCTGCCAACCTAGCAGTTGGAAAGCACGCCAGTGCAAGTAGATAAATAGGTAACGCTGTGGTGGGAAGGTAAACGGCATTTCCGTGCACTCTGGCTTCCATCATGGTGTTCTGTTGCACCAGAAGCGGTTTAGTCATGCTGGCCACATGACCCGGAAAGCTGTCTGCGGACAAATGCTAGCTCCCTTGGCCTGAAAGTGAGATGAGCGCTGCAGCCCATAGTTGCCTTTGACTGGACTTAACGATCCAGGGGTTCTTTACTTTACTTTTTTACTTGTGCATAGAGGGCAAGCAAAGTGAATGGGGCTGTGGGGCCATGTGTTTGGTCCAAACCCCACATTCATTCTACTCCTATTATTCTTCCACTCCTGTGTTGAGCCCAATATCTACACCTGTCTATATAGATATATCTAGAGCTTCTCCGTATGTGGGGGCTTCCCATGGAACTGGAACTCTTGAGTGCTCAGGGTTCTAAATTATGTGAGGATCCTCCACACAGTGAATAGGTTAGAACAGAGATGTGGACCTGCAGCCTTTCTTGCCACCCTAACACATCAGCGATGTGTTGTCTCGGCAGCCCAGGACCACCATACATACTGCCCAGGCTTGTGACGCTAGGAGACTTTGGTGATGCCACAACTTTGGCTTCCTCCTTGGAGGCACACCATTATGTCTCAAGACAGATGAATAGTAACAACAATTTTCTACACAATTCTCTACTTTGTGAAGAGGACCTGCTGATACTCACATACAGAGCTCTCAAATTTAGATAGGTGATCTCTACTACACACCTTTTGGTTTTTGAGTGTACATCTAAGATTTCTTCGGATGTACACCTAAAAATGTGAGCTTGAGCACCTAATACTTGGGAAAGAGGTGCATCCTCCAAATGGAGCTAACTGAGTGTACCATGGAAGCAAATTGAGACTTGTTGCTGTGTAATGAATGATTCCCTGTCTTCCTTCCCCCAGCTGCTAAGTGAAAAGAGTTTTCTCAGGTCTTTCTAACTCTAATCTGGTTTTGTACCAGCTGAAATGTACAAGGTGTATATGCCCTGAGTAAATGCAAAGCAACCTATTCTCTTTGGAAAGGTTGCTGTGGTGCATGGTGGACTACAAGCTGAAAAAAAGGAAGCTTGATTGATTTTCTGCCAACTCAAACAATATCCTCCAATCCCAATAAAATTCTGGGTGCAGATGCCATGTTGCAACCATGCTAATGTTACCTTAGTTGCTAATGGGACTGCTAATGCAACCACATTGCTTCAGTTGTCAGATGTCAGGGCTGGGCCAAAGTGTTCATTCAAGCAGCAGTTCTGACTGCAAAAGTGGTAATCTTTAGACTAATCTTCCCCAGCTCTGTGCCTCTCAGGTGTTGGACTACGACTCCTATCATCCCATACCGTTTGCTAGGGCTGATAGGGACTGTAGTCCAACAACATCTGGAGTGCACTAGGTTGGGGGAGGCTGCTCTAAAAACTTCATGGTAGCCAGTCTTGCCATGCTGCCCAACAGAGGGCAGCAATGTTGTTTTCCCTCCAAATTGTTCTGCCTACAAGTCCTTTCAAAGGCCCTACTGTACTATCCAGTCCACATGTAATGATTAGTGGAAAACATATTGCTTGCAAGGAGAGCCCTCTTGTTATTCCCCTTCTGCTGTTTCAGTATTTGCCCCCGTGGGTAATGGGGAGCACATTCCCTCCCTGCAAAGGGGAAATTGCACAAGTGCTAAAGAGCCTGTGTTTCAAATCATATTCCAGAGAGGCCTTGCCAGTTTCACCTGGACAGCAAGTTCCACCTCAAGTCTCTTAAGCCTGAAAATTCCTATTGTGAGATGTGGATGTGAGGAGGAGCAACTGGCAAGACACCAAACACAGAGGTGTTGAAATGAATCGATTTCTGCATCTGTATAAGTGCCTATGTTGTAGACAGAGATCTGGGTCAGAATTCTGACTGGGGTGGGTGTGGGGATCACAAGACACAAGCACTATTGTGGAACAACACATAAAGATGCTGTTATACAAATCCATCAGCAACTACTGAATGCAGTCTGCAGTCGCTGATGGGATATAAATGAAGGTTGCTGAAAAGGCTGCCACTTGAACAATTGGTTAAATGTCAAAAGCATGAAGAAGGCTCCCCTACATCCTCCCCTGAGGAGTATCTAATGCAACCACACAGCACCACTCTGAAGGTAAGTGGTGCTGGAGAAGGGGGAATTGCATTCCCCCCCAGCAATAATACTGTATATTTATGTTTATATCTGAATGTTAGGTATGAAATCCTTCCTGCCTCCCACAGATTCTGGAAGTAAGGTAGCTCTAGAAACATGGGTGCCCTGCAGATGTTTGACTACAGCCTCCATCCTCATTGATGTTGACTGGGGCTGAAGGGAGTTGAACCACATCTGGAGGGCACCATGTTGGCTATCCCTGATCTAAAACCTGTGCAACAAATTGGCTACAGCTGTGCATTTGTGCTATAAACTAGCATGATTTGTCTGGGGAAATCCTATGAAACATTGCTCTCGAGGGGGCTTTCTAAATTGAGAGCATGCATTGAAATCAATCAATGCTAATGATACTAAGTTTAATCTCAAAGTGAGCTTTGATCGATGGCCAGCTGATGAGCTGTTTTTTGTTCCTATAAGCTCCTTGGCAGAAGTTTTGCTAGCATCCCCATGGCAGTTCAGCACCCAGTGCCAAGACTGTTGTTTCAAAACACTTCAGCTCAACAGAATGCCATGGAATGAGCAATCCAGTTCCACAGAATCCCTTCTGCTTGAAACAATCAGCCCAGATAAGAAAAAAATATATGGTAGGAGAGTATTTCCATTCAAGGGTTTCTGAGAGCAGCCAAAAATGTTGGTTGCAAAGGCAAACAAACTGCTTGCAAATTGGCTGTGTCCTATCTCTGCTCTCGGAGGCAGCTTGCCTCTGAATATCAGTCACTGGAAATCACAAGTGAAGAAAGTGCTGTGGCATTCAGGCCGGGCTTGTGAGTTTCCCCTAGGACTCGACTGGCCTTTGGCCTGATCCAGCAGGGCTCTTCTTAAATTATAATTTTGCTAGATGGTAATGTTACACGGGGGAAGAAGGAATGTGACTCTGCCATCCTGTGTTTCAAAATCTGCAAAGGTTACGGTTTTAAATGTGCTTGAAAACCATATTTTTTTCAGAGCTGGAAGCTTGGTCCCATAACTCCCGATGTGCAGTGACAAGTTATTACTGTAGTAGCTTCACCGTGAGGCAAAGGTGCTCTGCTCTGCAGTCCCAGACACTTTTGGTTTTGCCAAAGCCAGAGTTGTCCACACTGTGATGCAGATTAAATATCTGCTGTTACCACCACAACCCCTGAGACCAGGCTTCCTCAGCCTTAGCCCTCCAGATGCTTTTGGCCTGCAACTCCCATGATCCCTAGCTAGCAGGACCAGTGGTCAGAGATTATGGGAATTGTAGTCTCAAAACATCTGGAGGGTTAAGGTTGAGGAAGGCTGCCTGAGACCAAGAGTCCAGCCACTATCCACCATTGCCTAGTGGCAATGCTCACTACAGTGAGCTACTACTTGACTTACAAAATGAATGCCTTATTCTCCCCTGTTGGGACATCCAAATGTGAAGTATCTCAAAGCATTACTTGTTCTGTTTCAATGCTCATCTTGTCTCTAGATTCTAGAACCAGAAGTGCACACAGCAGCAGTGATGCTAGGAATATCGCAACAGTCCATGCTGTTGCTTTCTGTGAGGAGCTTGCGGCTGAGGCAAAAAACCTGGATTTACTGTTTTCCTCAGCAACTTGAGGCCCAGTGGCCACAGTCATAGCTGGCATGCAGACCCTAGATGGATGCCCAAGGATGAATGCAGCTTACTTGACTCCAACCCTACAAATAAGTCCCGTTGAGCTCAATGGGTCTTATTTCTGAATAGACAAGAAAGTATTTCAGCAATTAATGTAAAAGAAAACAAAATATGGGCTACCCTGAGATGTGTGCCTTGCTGTATATATTTGACAAGGGATTTCTAGCACCATTTCCTCTTTAGAGGAAGAAGCCTCTGGGGTATTTATTTCCACTCTTCATGCCTCGAGAGAGAAGCATGTCATCATTTTTTCCTAAGGCTGATGAACATAATTGCTTTGCTCAATGTTAATAACAGCAGCCTGTGAGAATGGAAATACATAAAATAGTGACTTGGGCGGTTGCCACCTTTTCCCAAGATTTCTCCAGTGCTTTTGACAACTGCATGATGGGAGGAAGTCCAATGACTGTAGCTTTACCTATCGCAGCACATCCATGCCAGGGGAAACAACAGCACTGAATTTCAACCTCTCATGCACAGAACATGTGACAGAAAGAAAAGTGGGTCAATGTGAGTTCAAGTCTACAACTAGGTTCTGCACTTCATTCATCCTTCATAACAGTTAGAAGTTGTGAACTGAAGCAGAACATATTGGTTGGGAGAAAACCCCAATGAAATTAATGGTCTTCTTTCCAAGCAAACCTGACTAGGATGAGGCCAGAAGAATATAGGTGCCAAATCAATCATTTTGATGATCCTCTCTCCATTTCAGAAAGCTGCATTTCCGTAAAATATATGTTTTACATTGTTTGACATGTAACCCAAATGCAGTAATTTAAAAACAAAAATTCAAAAGAATCATAAGTTTTCAAGAATCTTAAACAAAAATTAAAACATTTCAGTCCCCTGTTCAGTAGCTAGAAAACACCTATGCACGTTTACTCATTGGCAGAGGATTAGCCTAAATGACCTTTGAAGTCCCTTTCATTTTAAGGTGAGCCCACTGAATTCACCAGCACTGCCAAGTAAATGTTTATTGGGGTGTAATCCTGTGAACATTTACCTTGACAGAAACGCTGCTGAACACAATGGAACTTTGAAGCAAACATGCATAGGATTGGGACTGGGCTGTTAGTTAATAGTTTTTGTTTGTTACTATGCATTTGGGGGTTTTTATATTGTAAACTGCCTTGTGATCAGATAAAGAGTGGTATAGAAATTAAACAAACAAACAATAGTCCTGGGTGCTAGCAAGTTAGAACTGGTAAAGTGGCAAGGCAACATGATGGTAAAGGATGGCAGGTCTCCTGTATCTTTTGGAAAGCTGTTTATCTTTTCACTATGCATTTGGACACCTCTTAATATATCATAACCAAAATTTTTTGCAGACTGGTTCCTAGATCAAGAAGCAGCAGATAGGGGATAGTTTGGAGGCTTGGTATCAGCCATATCCACAGCTCATGCTCTTCTCCAGCTGGAAGGCTGGATGAGTAATTCCCAACTGGTTACAATCAATAGCAAGATTAGAACACGATTCATTGTACTGAGCAGCCAGCATTTTAATTCTGCAGAGCCTCCCAGCTGGTACACAAAACACATCATCTGAGCATTAGATACAACAGATCTCTTTGTTGTGGTAGTAGGAGATGGGGAATCTTCTCCCTCTTAGGAGTTAAGGATGACTGAAGACAGCTCCAAAAATGGAGCAAGGTTCAGGCTGAATATTAACAACGGACACAAGGGAGCAGCAGAACGATATATTGGCCCATTTTAAAAAATCAGGAGGAATCAAGTGTACACTGCAAACAAGGGTTGAGCGTTACATTTACTCTGCCCAGTGCTCGCATGTGAGAGTTCATAGGAGGTTGCTAATCCTAAATATTTGGGAAAGGGAGGGGACTAGAGATTAGGCTGCAACCAAACATGAATCCAACTTCAGGCGAGGTGCAGAACATAATCATAAAGTACACCAGGAGTGGGGAACCTCCAGCCTGCTTGCCCAATTTGCCCCTCCACCACACCCACAAGTGATGGCAGGGGTGGGGCAGGTTAAGGACACAGCTACTAAGTAGAAAAAGAGAAGATGGAGGGGATTCCAGGGCAGCTTACAGATACTGGTAGTAAGACAGTCCCATCCATCAGGATAATATAACAGATGCAGCACAAACAGAAAAGAGAGAGGTAGGAGAAAAGAAAGCAGATTCAGACATTAGTTCTGAGGCCCTGAAGTGAGCATCTGGAAATGTAAGTGTTTAAGGAAAGGAGAAGACAAGTTGCTGGCCTCTCAGCTGAGTCAATAGAGAAGCCCTGATGGAATGGTTGTTCCTACTGTAGATAATGTTAAGGAGATCCCGCCTCAAGATTCCAGTTTCGCACAGGCCTCTGATACTGTCTGGGAGCTGCTACTGGAATGAACACATTGCTCGCAGCACACACAATTCCTTTCCTTTCTATGGGAGCACCTCCTTTGGAGTACATGAAACTAAGAAAAAGGATTGGATGCTGAACGCTTTTGAAACATAAATGGTTTTGAGGTCTGGCTGGGTTGAAGCCAGAGGCCTGGAGGGTGCTTTCTTTCCTGCCTGAGTCATGGGAGTTTAAGTCTATAGCTGGAAGGAGGATAAGCTTTGTTTCCCTAAATCCCCGTGTGAAACAGAAAGAGGCCTTTCATCCAGATTTAGTAGGTTGGTGCAGAGCTTGTTGCTGCGGGCCATGTGAGTGTGTGTGGTTAGCCTCACCCTCTAGTATTTCTTCCCTTGCTTTTTGTATTTTAAACACATTCACACTTTACTATTGAATTCTGGAGCTTCTCTGTTGGTTGTTTGGTGTTCAGTAAACTTTGATGTAGCCAATAAACCCAACAGCTGTGAGGTGAATTAGATGAACGCATGTGGGATTTGAGCACGGAGGTGAGGGAAGCCTCTGGCCCTCCAGAAGTTGTTGCACTTCAACTCCCCTAATCCCTGACCATGGCTGCTGGGGCTGATAGGAAGTGGGGTCCAGCAACATCTGGAGGACCATCCCTGTATTAGAACAGGTTGGCCAACTTGGTGTCCTCCAGATGTTTTGGACCTATCATCCTCAGCCACAGGGGATTTAGCGAGACTTCCTTGTGTGTGCAAACAGGCACAGTGGAAGTATTAAAAAGACATCACCATGCACCCTGGTCCCCCAGTTTCCAGACTTGATGTCTTTCTCCCCGCTCTTGCCCTTTTGCCTGAACTCCAGAGAAGCCTTAATCATCCTGGCAATCAGCTATCAGGCCATGTTACAAGATCTTCCCTAAACAACTCAGGACAAGGTTACCTGAAAGTCCAACAGCCCTTTATACGGACCTAGAAGATAATTTGTATGAAGTCTTCCTCAACCTGGTGCCCTCTGGACATTTGGGACTACAGCACCCCTCGCTGGCTGGGGCCGATGGGAGTTGTAGTTCAAAACATCCAAAGGGCACCAAGTTGAGGCTGATTTAGATCACCTTCCACCGCAACCTACACTGCCACCCAAAACTTCTGTTGTTGCTCCTCTGCTGTGGAACGCCCTATTCTCTGCTATACATGAAGGAGAAAAACCAGCCCATCATATTGTCCAGGCTTTCCCTGACCCATAAGATCAGACTGTGTTTATCTTAATGAATTCCGGTTTTTATATGCTTTTTGTAGGACAGCTATTTGGCTGCATTTTTAAAGGCTTTTTTAGGATGCATTTTTGTTTTCATGGTAGTGTTAACTTTTATACTGCACACTGCTCCGAGGTGTTTTTGGTTTTTTTTGCTTTTTTAAGCAGTGCATTATAGAAATGTTTGAAACAAACCATTTTTTCCACACCGGTCAGCTGCCCCTGCTGTAGAAGTCTCTCGCTTACTCCAACCCACACCCTCTTCTGTCCATCCGTTGCTGCTCGCGCAGGGCTCCCAGCGGCGTCCTCCCCACCCCTCACCCTGACCTACCCGCACGCCTCCCTCCTATCATGTGCCCAAACGCTGACTCAGCCGTGGCTTGGCCTCCCGAAGCATGTGCGCTGCGCCTCCTCTGTCCACTGGGGGAGCAAAGCCACCATCCGGCGGGAACTGGGCTTCCAGCGACTTCATGGGCGTAGCCGGGGGGGGGGTAGGGGGGCGGCAGCTGCCCCCTAATCAAGTCTATAAATAAAAATACTTAACTAATCAATGGCATTGCAGATAACTCAGTTCTGCCTCCCCCCCCCCCATAAATCTCTGGCTACGCCCATGCGCGGCTCCCAGGGACTTCTCACCAGCAGCGGAACTGAAGGGCGGCTCTCCCGCCAGCAATGGTTCACATCTCCCCAAGAAGCGTCGCGCCGAGCCCCCCCCCCCTCAGCTTGGGATCCACGTCCCCTCTCGATTCCGCTATTACTCTAGAGATCATGGGGTGGGGAAGCGCGCTCTACGTATGTTCAGAGGAGGCGAGCTTCCGCGCGCCCTGATGCTCTTGCAACAGCGACCCCTCGAGAAGGCGCCTCTGCGCGCCCGGCCACTTCCAGACGCGGCCCCGGGCGGCGCGACCCTCTCCCGCCGGCCCCTCCCCGAGGCGGGCCGGGAGGCGGCCTCAGCGGCAGTGTCAGCCCCACCAAGCGAGCCCGGTCCCGCCTCTCCGCTCCCCGAAGGCTCGCGCTTAGTCAGGACGGACCGAGAGGCGAGGGAGCGCGGCGGCCGGAGCCTGACTCCGCTTTAAGGTAGCTGGCAAGGCGAGGAGGGAAGCTCGGGATAGGTTTGGCGGCCCGGCCCGGAGCGCCTTTCCCGTAGGTTAGTGAGCGTGACCCTAAAGTAGCCTGGCTTGAATAGGAGAAGAGCTGAGAGGGAAATGCATGGTACGAGTTGGCAGGGCTGGAGGAAGCGAGAGGGGCGCGCGCAAGAAGGCAGGGTGGGGTAGCAGGTTTTGGAAGTGCGGTATGTATCTCTCTGTATCTGTAGATATATCCATGGGGCAGGTTCAAGTCAGCCCTTGGAAGGAACCCAACCCAAATCGTTAGGCATGCTTACTCAAAAGTAGACCCCGCTGTTGAATGGCGTTTAGTTTCGCGTGAATGCGGGGTGCGGGGGAGAGCGTCGTCGTCGTGAGCAAGTCCCACTGAGTTCGATGAGACTTACTTCTTAGTAACCGCGGCTAGCCTTGTAGCCTTAGTCATCCTTGAAAACTCTGCCGTGGTATTTGCTATCAGGGTGGTTAGCAGAGGTGGAGTGGAGCAAGTGAGGGTTGCCAAGTTATTTCAGGTTAATGCACGATCTGAATGCACGTGGGTGTGATGCTGTGTCCTTTGCATGGGGGAGGAGGGCACATGCAGTTTCAGTGTACAGGATCCAGTGAGCAATGGGGAGAACTGGGGGCAGTTGCTGAATTTTTCTCCTATGTGGGTTGGAAGGTGTGAAGTGATCTAGGCACGTGCCGTGGAGAGGTAATTGATTTGAAAGTAACTCTAACAGATGAAACACATTTCTGATTCCCACAGAATCTTTAAAACAGTAGTGAGATGGACTGAACACCGTGTGTGTGTGTGTGTGTGTGTGTGTGTGTGTCCCCAGTGGCGTAGCGTGGGTTGTCAGCACCCAGGGCAAGGCAAGTAATTTGCACCCCCTAACCCATGGATTTGCGCCCCCTAACCCGTGGATTTGCGCCCCCTAACCCCCAGATGTTGTGCCCGGTGCGGCCAGCCCCCCCTGCACCCCCCCACGCTACGCCACTGTGTGTCCCCATCCCTAAATGCCTGGAGGACTAAAAAGGCAGCTTCATTCAAAAGCTTACTTTCAAAAGCAATGGAAAGCAACACAAGTCTCTTGCTGGAGACCATTGAGCCATATAGGGGCCACCCCAGAAAAGGCTCTGTTTGTACTACCTCACCTCACTTGCTAAGCATAAGGCAAAAATTGTGAAGAGTTATTTTTTGATCTCTAAAGGCAAGGTGTTGTGCCTTGAGCCTAGCTGCTCTCTGCTCTCTGCTCTGGCCTTGAAAGTGCATCCTGGAATTATGAAGACTAAATACCTTTTCCTTGTCAAAGAGTCACAGTAATCTTTGCATGCTGTAAGGCACTCTCTTTTTTTTTTGTTACTACTTCACACATTTAGGCACTGAACCATGGCTCTGATTAATAATTCCATTTGATTGGTTGCCATTTTAATTCCATTATTTTGTCACGTTCCCAGAATGTTGTTTTAAAATGTGAATCCCGTTCGTCTTTCCTTGTGTTCAGTAGGTGAAGAATTTCTCTTCACTGATTTGGACAGGAATTGGGATGGGTTGAATCTGTTGGGAGGAAGTTGGAAAAGCACAACTGCTAGTGAGTAACTGAGGATGGGTGGGAGCTCTGATAAGCAAAAAAAAGGTGAACAGTGGGTCAGGGAAGAAAAGTAGCACATTTTCTAACTTCTCCCTGCTTTTTGTGTTAATATATACTCACCAATGGATGGTTTTTTAAAGGGTGCTTAATGGGAACAGCATATTCATATATGGAGAATTTGGTTTGAACCAAACAGGCACTGTGATTATTTCTTTTTCACCCCTGCTCCTCATTCCCTGTTTGCTGCATACCTTTCTGTGTGGCTGTTGCATTTCCTTGTTTGAGGATTCCTGTGAAACTGGCTTGCCATGTGATATGGACAGTGATTCCCTGTGTCCTTTAAATGCTTGCTTAGCTCACTTTCGGACATTTATATTGGGGTGGGAAGGAGGTTGTGCTAATAGCTTAGGAACAAGAAAGCATTCCAGAACCATGACTGAACAGTGCCTCTCTCTCTGTCTCTCTCTCTCTCTCCCCATCCTCCCTCCCTCTCCTTGGAATTTGGCAGCCAAGTCCTTTCATTGCAAACCAGGCTCCCTAAATCCTGCCCCAGCCTTTTAGAAAACACCCACTGAAAATGGCAGTAGCATTGTCAGGTTGCTTCACAGGGATATTTGTGACTGGCAGATGCTTTTGTGTCTGTTGTGGGATTCCAGCATATCTGTTAGTTAATGGATAAAAGACAGCTTTGCACTCTGGAGTAAGGAATATATATATATATATATATATATATATATATATGACACCATTAAATAGGTAACTTGTTTAAGTCTATAATTTTCTCTGTTTGAATATTATAGATGAGTCTTATTTTCACTGTGTGAAGAAGCATCTTGCATGTAGCTTCAAAAAGGGGGTTCCAATAGTTTTTTAAACTATGGGCCATCCTTGCCAGCAGACTTTGGACATGCAAACCACCAGGGAAGTTTTGCTGGGCAAGCACTATTGAAACTACTTTGAACTGCATAAATAAATTCTTGTTCAACTTCTATTCACTTCTGGGGGGTTGTGCTGCGAAAGAGAGATTAGAAAGCTCTTTATTGAAGCTGCTTCCAAACTGGCAGAACTTTGTGCTTCCCAATCATTGCTCTATGTGTAATTGTTAACTTTCTATGCTTCAGGGAATACGGAGGATAACACTTTGTGTGTGTGCATCCCACTATGTTCCATCTGTATGAGTGCGTGTGACATAACAGTTTGAGTAGGGAAGCAGCAACTCTGAGCATGCTTTAAAAAAAAATTGAATCAATTTTAATTTGTGCTAAAGCACTTTTTATTTAGGCATCGTCATTGTGTGCTTTCTTTGAATTGTTTTAAAGGTACTCTAAAATATTTGCAAAAGGGAAAAAATAGTATGGTGCTAAAATAGCACTGACTGAAGGGCTTATTTGCTTTAAGTGCTTCTGCGTGAACCTTTTAACTTTTTTTTAAGACAGAAAGGCATTTTAATGCAAAAGAAAAAATTGATTTAGGGCCCAGTCCTATGGTTCCCTGGGAACATATAGACCAGGGGTCAGCAAACTTTTTTAGCAGGGGGCCAGTCCACTGTCACTCAGACCTTGTGGGGGGCCGGGCTGTATTTTTTTCCGGGGGGGGGGGATGATGCAAGAGCACCATGAGCCCCGGTGGCTGCTTACCTTTGTCTTGCGAGCGACAGGGGCTGGCGTTGGCGTCTGCAGAGGGACGATGAGCAGTGCACGAAAGGGCTTCGGAGAGGGGCTGCTTAAAATGGCGCTGCTGCTGCTGGCACCAACAAAGCCCAGCCCCCTTCCTCCTCTAGGCAGGGCGGGGAGAAGCCAGGTGGAGGGAGGAGATGCCGCCACCGCCGCTGTGTGAGGGAGAGAGAGGGAGAACGCGTTCGCTGGCAATCCACGCAGCGATTCCCGGACCATCCGTGGGCCGGATCCAGAAGGCAGTTGGACCTGACCCGGCCCATGGGCCTTAGTTTGCCTACCCATGATACAGACAAACCATGAGCTGTAACCAAGGTTTATTCTTGGGTATACAGCTCTGTTTGTCTGAAGGAAACAAACCATGAGCCCAGGTTTGGATGGCATGCTAATCCGAATCATAACTCTCAGCAGCAGAGGGAATAGGGAAGGAGTGACTGTGTTCTTCTCTCCAGGAACCCTTAGATTTGTGCTTTGCCATGCTTTGGCTTAGTGTTATGTGGAAACTATCTCTCTGGTAGATCCTCCATAAAAAGTGTATTGACAAAGCATGACTATTCTACCTGTTGTGGAAGCATCATTGAACACAACTTTCTATACTTACCTAATGAATCTGCATTGAAATTTGGGGAAGTGCAGAATTAAGAGTGTTCCTTTCCTAAAAGGTTTTCAATTTGACTGTTGCAAACCAAATATTGTTGCTTCTTGTTGTAGAGAAATTTAAAGAAACATGATATTGGGCAAATATTGAATGACTGTCAGGCCAATAACAGTAAAGCACTCCACTTGAAACTCAGAATTATGCATTTGCTTTAAGTGGGAGAGATATATTTTAAATAAATTGCCAAGTTCACTTCTAGGACTTGAGTGTGTTCATTTGAAATGCAGATCATATATCTCCTGAGTGGAATCAGAAAATTGAGGGTTTTTTGCATGTTCCTTGGTTGTGTGTGTGTGTGTGCATTTAAGCCCAGTGGTCAGATCCCCATGATACATTGAAAATGCTGTTATACCACTTTAACAGTTGGATAATCCAGGTAGCTTTATTTTGTTAAGGTTGCTGGAAATTGTAGGTCTGTGACTTAACAAACTACAGTTCCTACGGCTATTGCAAGACCATGATTGCTAAATAAGAGTGTGCTTTAAATGTATGATGTGGATATGACCAGTGTTTCCCAAAATAACAGTTTGCTTATCTGAATCTTGGAGGAATCACTATGTTGAAGGCTAAATTAAGTCTCTCAACTTTTCTTCCCACCCACCCACAGCAGTGTGTCCTTTTGCATCCTGTACAGCAATCCCTTCAGCTTGTTCATAGGGAGGTGTCTATCATTGCAGTCCAGTGGACAGTGTCAAGCTTGAATGGGTTAACAGAGCTTAGACTGCATTTAGTCACACAGATATCGCAACAGAGGCAACCCTTCTTTCCAAAGATTTCATCACATCTCAACAGAGGACTGGATCTAGAAAGATAAAAACCATTGCAAACCTGGGGAGGGAGGAATTCATTGTTTTCTGGATCTGACATTCAGATCTATTTATGTGAAGCTCAGGCGACAAGTGAAATACTCAGCATCGCCGCCTTGCCAAAATGAATGAATGTGGGCATTGTCTTCATTGAAAGAGAAATTATTCCATAATCTTGACTGGAGTGTAAATCTGGGAGGAAAAAAGAGAGTGTTCATCTGAGTGTGTGTTTGTTTAACTTACTGTAGCTTGGCCTGCTACAAAAAAAAATTACTTCTAAAAAGTAAAGTATAGGATACAACAAAACAAATGCTTACTCAAAGCAATCTGACTAGTTTGGCTGCTCTGAAAAGTTAACTTTGTCTCCAGCTTTGTTGTGACATTTGACAACAAGGTTCCTGCACTTTAAATCTGAAGTCAGAACTGTGGGGCACATGTGACTTACTAGCACATGCCCTTTCAGGCTTATACCTTGGGCAAAACATGCAAAGTTTCGTGAATACTGTGATCCATCCCTCTTCGTCTGCTGATTCATGTTTTAAACCTCCTTTCCGTAAGGGGTAATAATAATCTTTTGTGGATGTGCAGATGAGAATCGAGAATTCTTAACACAAACAAACAAAATTCATAAACTCAGCCCTGCATGGTAATGTGTTGGTCAAGACACATTCAAACCATAGTAGGGCCAACTTAAACATTTGGTAGAGGCCTATGGCTGGGGTCCTGTCTCTCTACTAAAAGCCTGAAAAGGGTAGGTGCTTGCTCTTTCCCTCCAACCTATCGCTTTTCCTCTCCTCTCCCTCCCACTGCTGCTTTTCTGTTAGCCACAGCAAAAGATGTACTTGGGGGCCACAGCTAGAGAAAAGAGTGCAATTTGGGGCTCCAGCTTGTCCTGCCAGTTTCTCCTGGGAAAACCCAATCTTTTTCACTGAATCCAGTGGAATTTTCCATGGAGTGATGCTTGATCTGATTCAATGTTAAAGAGTGGGCTTTCCTGGGAAAAGCACCAGGGCAAACAGAAAACGTCTCCGCCCCATTCTTTCTAGGCACAGGACAAGCAGAAGTGTGGATGAGCCCTTAGAGTGGATAAAGGCTGATTTGGAAGCAGGGAAGGGATCCTTAACATTTTCTGCACCTGAACAATTCTTCAGTTGATGCATCTCCCAGGGAGTAAGGTGAAGTGGGATGCAGGAAAAGGTTTGAATCTTAAAGTTGGAAAGAGTCTGCTGGTGGTCATCTAGCCCAACCTCCCGTTTGATGCAGGATCTATAATGCAGGGCATTACAAATCCCTGACAGGTGGCTCACCAGCCTCACCACCAGTGAATCCCACCACTTCCCAAGGCAGACTGTTGCACAGTTGTTGGAGATTAAATAGCCGCCTTCTCTCAAAATCTCATTTTCTCTTTCTGCCAGTTCTTAGGTGAGAGACAAAGACTCAGATTCCCAGGGCCAGCTGTCCTGCCAAATGACTAGCTCGGCCCTTAAATCCCAGTTCCCTTAGATCACTACTGTAGTTCTGAATTGTGTGCCATGGCACACGTGTAGTTGTAAGAATTGTCTGTGCACCGGGAGCAAATATATAAATAAATTGAGATCCTGGAGAAACCAGCTCAGGAGAGAAAAGATGCCAGATGCATCTATGCATGAATTGCTGATCTCTGGTCTTTTCTGCTTCTGTTTGGTTTTTGTTAGTTGGGTGAGTAATTCTGCTGCATTGCATGTGATGGTTAATCCTATGACTGCTGCTGCTGCTGCACAGCAGCCTATCTCTTGCACCTTCATGTCAGGAGCAAGCTGTGCACCAGAATGTGGGTTGTGTGGATTTTCCTTCATGGGGGTGGGTGTGTTAAAGTCTAGCCCAAGAAAGAGAGGAACAGGACACTTTCCTTGCCCAAATTCCATGTCTCCTTCCCTCATTTTTGGGGTGAAATTGTTTTTCAAAAAGGGCGTGGCGGTGAAGGGTTCAGCATCCTCTCCTACCTGCCTTTACTATACAGTACTTTAAATTGCCCTTTGCCCCAGTTTATTGTGAAAAAAGGTGACAGGTTAGAGCTGGGGGGGGGGCTTGCCAGGTGTTTTGCCCCAGGTGCAGCCTCCAGAGGGGTGCCACTGAGGCTTCCAGGCTGTGTGTGTGTGTGTGTGTGTGTGTGTGTGTGCAAATGTGCAAATGTGCATGGGTGATGCCAAAATGGGTCTTTGTCCTGGGTGAAATAAAGCCTATTTTCGCCCCTGCGACTAGTTACACATACAGGAGCATAGGATATTGGGCTCTTTAGAGCATAGGCAAATCCTATATGTTTTTGTTTAGAATGCTTATAACACACGAGAGGCTCTCAAAGCATCTTACAAGAGATTCTTACAATAACACATTCAGATCTGATGAGGAGCAGAAATCACATGGCAGTATTTCCTGCCCTCCTCCTCGCTTTGCCCTGGTGTTATAGCACACAGTAGCTCCCACCAAAATCCTCTGAGGCAAGGAAGTGATGCTGAGTGGCTAGACCTTGCTCTGTATGTCATGGAATCAGAAGTATTGTTGTATTTTCTAAAAGTAAATCTTTGGAGGTGTGAGAGTGAAGTGTGCTTCTTGGTTTTAATTGAGCAAAAAGTGTTCCTCAGTTTCCAGACATTTATGAGATGCATTCAGATTATTTCAAAACACAGGTTTTTATGGGGTAGAGGGCACTTGCTTCCTTTGTTTGCTGCTTTTTCCTTGCCAGAAATGACAGAGTAGTCCCAAGAACTGCCGGGTTTTCAGTCCCAGTAAGTGCATCACCTTTTACAAGGCTGCATCTCAAACTTTATGGGCTTTGATAAAGAACAGGCTTGTCAGTTTTGTACTTGTTTGAAAGCTCATGTCCGAATATATTTCCCAGTTCATCTTTTATGCCCCTGGTGCTATAAATGGTAGAAAGGAAATGTTCATGTTCAGGAAGTGTGTTTGTTTCTCTTGATGTGTGCTAAAATAAACTTTATAACATGAAGATGAACGAAGCATAAACTTCTCCACTTTGTTGCTTGGGCTTCAACATCACGTGCGCTGCTTGGTGTTTTGCAACAGGAGGCGAGGAGTTTTGTGTTTGATTCTGCTAAATGGAATATGGCAGCACAGATTTTTAAAGGATAGACCTATCTGGTTCACTTGACCCAATGATGGTTGATCTGCTCCAGGCTTCTCAGTGTGTTTCCTAGCTAGCACAGGCATACACCTGATACCTGAAGCAGAGCTGTAGCGGGGGTGGGGGTGGGGTAGCCAGGTTTTTTGCCCTGGGTGAAGTCTCCAGGGGTATTGAGGCTCCCAGCCTGTGTGCGTGTGTACACAAGTGTGCATGGGGGCAGGGAGTGTGCCAAACTGGGTATTTGACCTGGGTGAAAAAAAGCCAGGTTTCGCCCTTGCCTGAAGAAAAGATGTGGCACGTTAATGGGAATGAATTTTATTGCATCATTTTACAATGTGAATGGCTTAAAAGCTACAGACTTTACTAAGGCTAGTGGAGGACAATGAAACAAAATATATACAACTTCCATAGGTTGTGATATGTCAACCATGTTCAAAAACTGTCTGCTCAGATAACTTTAGATTGATCTCCAAAATGTCACTTGATAACTTTCAAAATGTCTCTTCCATCTGTCATGTCATGATGGAATTGCCTATTGCCACAGGAAGAGTATGTTTCCTGAACCTGTGTTTGCTGATGTAATGGTGATGGTAGGGAGAATCAGTGGCTGTTTCCCCCCTTTTCTATCCACTTATTGTCCCTTGCAGATGCCCTTAGTTTCTCTTTCTCCAGTTGAACTGGTTTCTTGTCTCACATCCTTCAGTTTGGTAGGGGAGGGGAGGGGAGAGGAGTTTTAAGCAGCTGCAGGGGTGCCAACTACAATAAAATATTGGAGGGTCCAGGTAAGCTCCATCCCACATAATCAATCACATGACACAGTGCACACACATTGTGTGAATGGCAATTCCCATCAGCTTTGGGGGGGCCGCCTCCATTATTTTATTGGGGATGAAGACCCCTCAGCATCTAGGAGTTGTCTCCTATGAGCAGCCGGGCTTGGCAGGAGAGGGGGAGAGACATTTGGACCTTAAGTTGCTTCTGTGTGGTGACCAGCACTTGGGGCAACTTTCTCTACATGGGTATCTCACACTAGATTCCCAACAGAAATCTTTGTTGATTTGTACAGAACCTAAGACGGTTTCTGCTGAACTTGTATTTGACGTTGGACCGAGTAGTTCAAAAGTAAGGAAACACTAAAAAAGGAAAAGGAAAAGCTAAAAGGAGAATGATACATGTTCTGTGTGGGAATTGATGTGTTGCAGTCTTGTACATGGCTACTCAGAAATAAACTCCATTGTGTTCAATGGTACTTTTCTCCCACAAAATCGGACTGAACAATATGTACACAGTCCCCTTTGATTTTGGTTGGAACGAATACCCATGCAAACACAGGCCACAGACTTCTATCTTTTTGTGTATCGGGCAGCATTTTCTGCCCATTTACAAATGTACAGTTGCTTGCTTTGCCAAAAATCTCATCATCTGGATCAGATGTCAGGAAGCAGAGATCGATATAAAAGCTGTGGAAGATGTGAAGCGTAGTCTTCTGTGTCTGTTGCTTTTCTTGTCTGAGCCAGTTTGTCAAGCTTCCTGCTGACTGTATCTGAAATCCTAGATTGCAGTTCGATACCCAGTTCTTTTCTTCTTTTCCTTCCTTGTTCTACCTTGGGAGTGCTCAGTGCATTCAGCTTCCATTACCTGCAGGTTTTTGCTGTTGTCTTGGGTCTCCTGGCTTGGCTTGGTCTGCTGTGTGTCACTGTTGGCTCCAGCTCTACAATCCGTTTACTGAATCAGCAAAGTTTACCTCTTGAGCATGTTCCTATGTATTTTGTGCCTGCTCTGAAGAGATGCCTTGTTTGGTGCTTTCTCATTTACTTCTTTCAGCTCCCTGAGCAGAGGTCTCTTTTCATTCATGGATTTTCTGTGTTGCTTCTGAAATTGCTTGTTTAAAATCCTTTTCTCAGTGCAAAATTTCTAAGCCTGTTTAGAACTCTATGCAGTGACCAAGACAAAGGAGAAAGTTTCTTTTTATAATTTTCCTGTTAGATTTACCAGGCAGCTTTTACACCACCCATCACCCTGGTTTTGGGCTCTGAGGCTGATTTGGCAGCTCTGCTGGTCTCAATTCCCTCCCTTTTCAAAAGCTGTTTGCCTAGTTCCAAATGATGTGCACCCTTATGCAGCCTTGTACATTTTTCTATATAAATAGAAGTGTAAGGATGTCGTCAGGCTGCAGTCCATGTGAACTGCAACATGGCAATGGCCTGAATGAGCAGGTAGGCAGCCCAGCTGAGTAGCCAGAACAAGCCAGAGCAGTTCTCTAGCAAGTGTCCTTCTCTCTTGCCCCTCAAACTGACACCGCTATTTCGGCTTCAGCAATGCTGGGGGCAGAGAGAAGGGAAGTGGCAGCAGAGCAGAATGGTTACTGGAGAGCTAGCCCAGCCTCTGCTGCCTGATCCTCTATGACTCGCCTGTGCCAGGGTTTGGGTGAATTGTAAGGTGAGTAGGCCACAGTTTGGGTGAGATGTAAGGGTGAGTTTGGCAAGGTTTAAAGGGAGGGTGTTGGTGAGGTGTAAATGGGGAGGAGAGGGGGTTGGTAGGGAGTAGGTGGGTTTGTGAGTGAAATGAGCAGAAGCTTTGTTCCTTATCTGCTTGACCACTGGGTTTCCACGCTGGTAGAGGAGGAAGAGGCTTTGCTTCTTCCACGGATAACATGGAAACCAAGTAGGTTGGTAGAGGAGGAATGGAGCAGTCCATCTTTCCTCTGCCAGCCTGTTCACTTGGCTGCATGAAATTCCTAGTCACCTGTGGCTACCAGGTAAGTCATTAGGTTGTCATCATAGTTTCTAACGAATGTGGGTCATTGCTGATGTGTACACAGATTGCACAGATTTGAGATAAATGTTATATTAAAAAGTGGATCAAAACTGTTGCCATCTCGGCCTGTTTTATAGGTGTGGTCTTCTGTGACAATGCCGGTGGGCTGAAAAGAAAAGGTGGCAGGCCAGATTATGCCTATGGGCTGGAGGTTCCCCACTGCTGGACTATCAGTGCAAAATGTATTGGTAGTAGATTATTACCCTTCTTAGGATAAACCAGCATTCCCATAGCAACATATGAGTATATTGCACAGAGTTCGTCTCGTCATCATGCTAAATGTTTAATCTTGTAAAGATTTCTTCTGCTACTATGTTAGCAATGAAATAAACTGCAGGCAAGTGCTTAATCACATTCTCCACCACCGCTTGTCAAAAAAAAGTCTTGCTTAAGGGCGTCTCCTACTCTTTGTGAACCTTGGTTGGTTTCTATTACTGACCTGATGAACTCAACAAGTAGCTACTTGCATCACTGTCATGCATTAATGCTTCAGTGGGATGAGTAATCTTGCTTAAGTGTTTAATTATTGAGTGGAAACCTTTACAAGGCCATGTTGAGAAGCTCTTGATTTATAACTGGGAAATACGGCTGGAATATAGAATGTGACATATATATACACACACATATATGTCAGTAAACACTACTTTGTTGCACATTTCAGAGCAGTTATTATGAAATCATGCATTTAGGTACATTCTTAGGGTCAAACTAGATGCAATGGTAATTGTTTGAATGCAATTAATGTGAATATTTTTAAATGTTGTGAGTGTGTTTGAGCAGCAGGGGAGGCTTCACTTCCAATGTAAATAAACTTGGATTGATTTTTCTTAGGACCACAACAGGCTGAGAAGGGTTAAAAATTTCCTTTCCCTCTGCCCCAGCTGCTATTTTATAAGTTTTCAAAGGTGCACCATAATGTCTAGACATTTTTTGCAGCATCATTTGAAACTCTGGTGAGTGAGCAAAAATAGAATTTGGCCAGTTGTGATTTTGAATTGAGAGCTGCATAATGCATGGCATATGAATAGGTGTGGTTTGCACAGCCAGGAATTCTTGGCTTTAGCAGCTGGCAAGTAAATGGTGGGAGACTTTGATAAGAGAGCAGATAAACTTACACACTTTGCTACTGTGCTTGTGACTCTCCAGTGTGTTGGGTGGAATTCTTGTCTTTCCAGCGTGGCTTCCTGGTCCTTCAAATGAAGGTCTCTCCTTAAAATAACTTGCTGCTGGCTACTACCACTTTGGCAGGGGCTGATGGGAGTTGTTGTGCAATATATCTAGAGAGCACTAGGTTGGCAAAGAGTGTAGTCTACACCCTTCTCAAAGCATAGGGTGTGTTGCATGCAGATGGATTGCAATGCATGTCTCTCATAACTGGGCTCTTGACCTAGGTTGCATTCAGCCAGCTTTTTTGTTTTGTTTTGCAATTGCTGACCTTTTGTAATATATGCAAAACCTTTTTTTTCCTGACCTACCTCCCCAAATATATAGTTCCAAGTAACAGGCAGACTTGAAAGCATTGACTGCTCTTTCCAAATTCTCCTTTCTGGTGTTGCAAGAGAATGCTTCACATTCCCAAATTCCCTTTGCCCTGTGTTTAAGATAAGGTGACAGCAGGGAAAACGGGGCCTGCACTGACAGATGAAATACAAACATAGGCTACTTCCCTTCAATAATAATATTAAAAGGAACAAAGACTCCCAATAGCAGGGACCATCTTGACCTTAGAATGCCAGTTCCTCTGACTTGTTTTGCTATATCTTACTTTTATTTCCCTTTCCGCAGTTTGGGTCACACCTCCGAATGTCTGGCACACAAGTTTAGAACACTGTGCTGCTTACTAACTATCAATAACTGTGATAGTGCAGAGTTATTGTGATAATGTTGCAGGTTTTAATTGTTTTGAAACATGAACTGGTGTATGGCGCAGAGGTTAAGAGGCTGAACCGTAAACCAGGCTATCCTTGGTTCAGATGGTATTGAGCTCAGGGCACTGGGCATGGTCCTCCTAAGCTTTAATCTTTAACTCTGCAACACCCCCTGTGAGACAGGAGAGAAAGAGAGAGAGAGACTGCCCAAGGTCACCCAGAGAATTACACAGCAGGTCCTAGTGTGACACTCTAACTTTTATACAAAACAGCTCTCCTAGTTGCCTCCAGTATCATGAACTCCAGTAGGTCAGCTTAGGTATACAGTACCACTTTCTCTCAGACTCCATCTTAAATACACGGATGGCAATACAGTGGTACCTTGGTTCTCAAACGCCTTGGAACAACTTGGAACCCAAACATTGCAAACCCAGAAGTGTTCCAGTTTGTGAACTTTTTTTGGAAGCCGAATGTGCTCCGATTTGAGTGTTACGCTGAGGTCTGTCTGTTTTTGCTATTTTTTTTGCAGTTTTGCGGCTTTTTTGTTTCATTTTTGTGACTGTGTGGAACCCAGTTCAGCTCCTGAATGATTGTGTGACTGCAGTACATTGCTCATTGCTTTCATCTTATGGATCAATGGTCTCATTAGATAGTAAAATTCATGTTAAATTGCTGTTTTAGGGGTTGTTTTTAAAAGTCAGGTTCCATATGCGACGGTGGCGGCCAGGGTATTGATAGCTCAAAAATGGAAATCAGCAGAGATCCCTACGGTTATGGATTGGCAAGTAAAATTATTTGAATACGCAGAATTAGCAAGAATGACACATAAAATTAGACACCAAGAAGGTACAAAGTTTATTGAAGAATGGAGTAAATTTGTGACATATATTGAAAGTAATTGTAGAAATTTAAAAACTACAGTAGGCTTAACATAAACCTTGTGACGTGTACATAATTGGAACAGAAACTGTAAGAGTAGAAGTATACCAAGAAAACCGCAACGGGATAGGAAGGAAGTCGAGGCGTGATCCAACGCAATGTAAATAAGATGATGGTACCAAAGAATGATTGTTAAGAGTGTTTTAGTTTTTGATTGATTGTTCTGGTTTGTTTTCTGTTTTCTGTTTAACTGAAAATCTTAATAAAAATAAACTAAAAAAAAAGTCAGGTTCAGATTAATCCATTTTGCATTCCTTTCTATGGGAAAGCGCACCTTGCTTTTGGAATGCTTTGGTTTTGGAACAGACTTCTGGAACAGATTAAGTTTGAGAACCAGCATACCACTGTATTTGTTTGAAATGGCTTTAGGTGCCATTACTGAAAAAGCCCTTCCACGCATTGCTTGCTGCACCACAGAAGGTGGAGAGACGCTTTGAAGATGATATTAACAGCCAGGGTGGTTAATATTTCGCATATCTTGAGGTAATAGCTGAGTGGCAGAGCACATCCTTTGCAGGTTCATTGACCCTCCATTATCATGTAGGGCTGGACTTAGTGAAATCCCCCAAAGTCACTGCTAGATAATTAGGCAATGCTGAGCCTATACTTGGAGCTTCCTCTGTTCCAGATCATTTTGGTGTTGTAGACCAAGCCAGGCACTTTGGAATTGTTTCCAGGAATGAATTGATAGCTGCTCTATCTCTTTAAGCACTGTAAGGATGTACTGGGTTGTTGGAGTGTGATCTTATGTGTGCTTGCTTTGCTGATACGTTTTTGGACCAATTGAAGTTTCTGGACAGTCTTCAAAACGTTCCTTCATGTGAGTAGCATGCAAAGGGAGTCCATGTGTAAAAAGGGTGAACCTGTTGCCTCTCCCAAACATGCATGCGTTGGGTGTGGATTTCTGAGCTGGGATGTCCATACCTAATGTGCTGATGTCAGAGATGGGGTTGGGAGAAGCCACATTTGGGAGCAGGGCCAGCAGTACAGTCCTGCTGTTTCTTTATTCATGGGGAACCCCTTGCACACATGAAGCGAGCTAATGCTTCACAGGGTTGTCTGTAACAGTTATTGAAATTTTGTACATGATGAAGTACTTTGCGTGCTGTAGAGTGCTATATAAAATGCTAAGTGTTGATAACATTATTCAGATCTACTGTTTAATGCTCCTTAAGTGTGTTGAAGACCAACATATTGTGTTTTCAGGATAGAAGGCAATGACAATTTAAGATATCAGCCTTGTAGAGTATCGTTATTATCTATCTTCAGTTATATATAACTGGGAATTCCTCTTTTGTAGATAAGGCCATCTCTTTATAAACAGAACCTAGGTAACAAAATCTCTAGGGGTAGAATTGTTCAAATTTGGCTTATCTCAAGGCTGGCTGGCATTTCACAATGCGTACAAGCGTACACAGTCAATTACAGTGTTGGAATCTGAGTTGGATTGTTTCCAAGTTATCAACTTTGCAGCACTGAGTGAATGTGGCTTAGGCTCTCCTGTATTAATTATTCTTGCTAGCAAACCCCAATCAATGTTCCCGAGTCCACCGTGATATGGGTGCCTTCTTCCATTTTTTAATAGATTCAACACAAAGTGAATAAAATCATTATTTTTTTCTGAAGCATGATTGGTTAATTGCTGTACAATTTTTCTCGCTGCCTTTGGGGTGTATAAAACCATGAATCAATCAATCATGAATATTTATTTTCTTCCTGGTCATGGACTTGTGACCCCACTTATTTTTATTTTTATTTTGCTCTGATCCTTTCCCACCAGCATGTAGCACTTGGAGAGGTGGGTAAGGGTGAATGTGACCCTTGCCCCCCTGAAAAAGTGTTAATGGTCTCTGGAGACACCAAGGGAGTTTTTCTATAGCAATTGTTGCATGTCCTGCAACATGCTTATGTTGTCACTGATAGCATGAGGACAATAGTCTTGACTAAAGAATGTGACAGTGTTCTCGAAGCTACCAGCATAAGTTTGACCAAACTGCGGGAGGCAGTGGAAGACAGGAGTGCCTTGCGTGCTCTGGTCCATGGGATCACGAAGAGTTGGACACGACTAAACAACAACAACAACAACAACAACAACAAAGAATGTGATTAGGTTTGAAAACCCATCAGGAAGATGAGTTAAGATTTGCCCAGTTTTTCTTTGGTCAAGGTTCATGTAATTCCTTCACTTGCTAACCTTTTGTTCATTGATTTCTTCTTTCTCACTGTGCCATGCTCTTTTATTGGCCTCTAATTAGATGCACGGGATGCGGGTTGCGCCGTGGGTTAAACCATAGAGCCTAGGGCTTGCCGATCAGAAGGTTGGCGGTTCGAATCCCCGCGGCGGGGTGAGCTCCCATTGTTCGGTCCCTGCTCCTGCCAACCTAGCAGTTTGAAAGCACGTCAAAGTGCAAGTATATAAATAGGTACCGCTCCAGCGGGAAGGTAAACAGCGTTTCCGTGCGCTGCTCTGGTTTGCCAGAAGTGGCTTAGTTATGCTGGCCACATGACCTGGAAGCTGTACGCCGGCTCCCTCGGCCAATAAAGCAAGATGAGCGCCGCAAACCCAGATTCGGCCACGACTGGACCTAATGGTCAGGGGTCCCTTTACCTTTACTAATTAGATGCATATTGCACTGTAGAACCCATATGTAATTAACTACATTTCTTATAATCCATCTTTTGACTGTGTCTGCTATTAGAGCAATCTGTCAGCAAGAAAAGTCTTTAGCTCTTCACCCAGTTTGTCTCTCCCTTCCCCTAACACCAGGTATGGGGCTAAGGATGTGAGGGAATATATAAGTTATCAGTAACAAAGACATTTGTCTTCAACCTCTGGCCAGTGTTTTATACCAAACCATCATAGAGATATGATTGCTGAAAACGTCAAATAAACTTACATAGAGTTCATTCGAGATGACCCTTTGTTACCCCTTAAGCCACCCCATACCTCCAGCTTGAACAGACTCATAAATTCCCAATCCTTGATTTGTGTGCTTCCCTTCTGGTTCAGTCCCATAGCTGCTCTGAAGTAGTAGTCTTATGAGTGTGCCAGTCAAAGGTCCCAGTATCTTGGCTCCAAGTATTGTTATAAATGCTAACCTAAGGTTCCCAGACGTCCCCGTTTCCCGGGGACAGTCCCCGGATTTACAAACCAGTCCCCATACAAAATCCATTGAAGTTGAAAAGTGTCCCCGGATTCATTGAAAAAAATCTGGTAACCTTATGCTAGCCAACAAAATGTTCAGACACGGTGGTTTCCCTTAGCAACCCAAGGGTGCTTCCCACGTTCCATTCATGCAAAAAATAAGCAGCAAGAGACCTACAAATACAACTTGCTTCATTTGCACTGTGGATCATGAGCTAAGGAAAAAGAGGATAGCAAATCAATGCCACTATATTACTATTTGGGGGATTTGTTATTTACCTCTAGGGAGGCCTAGTTCTGTTCTGTATGTACCTTAAAGGAGGTGCCAGGAAGATAGCAGCTCATTTTAGCAGTCGTAAGTAATTAATAAAATTTATATGGCTGCCCATATCCGTATACAGTGGTACCTCGGGTTAAGTACTTAATTCGTTCCGGAGGTCCGTACTTAACCTGAAACTGTTCTTAACCTGAAGCACCACTTTAGCTAATGGGGCCTCCTGCTGCTGCTGCACCGCGGGAGCACGATTTCTGTTCTCAACCTGAAGCAAAGTTCTTAACCTGAAGCACTATTTCTGGGTTAGCGGAGTCTGTAACCGGAAGTGTATGTAACCTGAAGCGTTTATAACCTGAGGTACCAGGTTGTTGTACCACTGTACAGTGGTACCTCGGGTTACATACGCTTCAGGTTACAGACTCCGCTAACCCAGGAATATTACCTCGGGTTAAGAACTTTGCTTCAGAATGAGAACAGAAATCGTGCTCCGGCAGCACAGCGGCAGCAGGAGGCCCCATTAGCTAAAGTGGTGCTTCAGGTTAAGAACAGTTTCAGGTTAAGAACGGACCTCCGGAATGAATTAAGTACTTAACCCGAGGTACCACTGTATATGGTTGGGTGGGTTGGATTGTAAAAAAGTGGGGTCAAACAAAATGAAGGAAAGGAAGGAGATCTTTGTAATGCTTGCATGTACACAAGTTGAGCATGGGTGGAAGCACAATGCTCGAGCACTTCAGCACCCCACTTCTCCCACACCAGATCTTGAGGGAGACTGCCAGCACCCTGTGTTTCTAGAATCCAGAATTCCTAACTGCAGGCTGTGCTTACTTAAACACACACTTCAAAGCTGCTAGATGACATCCTCTGTAGCTAAGGGGTGAGGAGAGAGACATGCCTCTTGCCTGCTTTCAATTATTGCCTAGTCATTCAGGACAGTGATTTAACAATGAGTTCCTATGGCAACATATCACCTATGTTTGCCAGAGCTGTCCAACCCCCCCCCCCCATCCCAAGCCACAAAAGGTAACCTCACAGTGTCAAGATGTATTCTGTTTGGCGCTCTCCCGCTTACCCTCCAAAAGGCAAGTTAAAACATTTTTGTCTTTGCATCTACATTAGCTGTTTGATATGTTTCACTGCATATATATATATATACAGTGGTGCCTCGCAAGACGAAAGTAATTCGTTCTGCGAGTTTTTTCGTCTTGTGGATTTTTCGTCTTGCGAAGCACGGTTTCCCAAAGTCTTCAAAATCACCAAAGTCTTCAAAAACCTCAAAAAAGGCTACCACACCGCGTGCTATGAGTTGCTCCTCGAAGTCACCCTGGGTATTAACGGTTTTAAGAAAAGGAAACAAACTTGCAAGACGTTTTGCTTTTTCGTTTTCATCTTGCGAAGCAAGCCCATAGGGAAATTCGTCTTGTGAAGCAACTCAAAAAACGAAAAACTCTTTCGTCTTGCGAGTTTTTCGTCTTGCGAGGCATTCGTCTTACGAGGTACCACTGTGTGTGTGTGTATATATATATATATATATATATAGATAGATATAGATATATGTATATATATGGCACACTTTTTAAAATGAATATTTTAATAGGTCAACTATTCTAAACATCTTACCCCTTCCTATATCTCTAAAATTAGTAGAATAAAAGAATTGTAGAGTTGTAATGAACCCCAGGGGTCATCTAGTCCAACCCCTTGTAGGAAGCACAACTAAAGAATCCCTGGTACATGGCCATCCAACCTTTGCTTTAAAACCTCCAATAAATTGGATCACTGAAGATTCAGATTCGAGTCCCAAGGGTAGTCATAGATTCTCTGCTGTAGCCATGTCCATGTCCATAATTTTCCTTTGTATGCCTGCATTACAACGGACTACTGGTTTTTATGAGTTTTTAAGAAGGCTTTATGTTGTGTGCTCCAAACTGTGCTTTTATTATTTTTATTATTGTAAAGACCAGTGGTTAAGCAATAAAGTTGCCTGCATTTTTAAACCATAAAATGTAAATAACCACCCTGAAAGGCCAGCTGAGGACGAATGAAATGAGGTTTATAAAACACTTTGCTCAATAAAAGTGTTATATGGATGACAAATGTCAGACCCATCTCTGGCATAATTTCTTGCAGTAGGCTGGATGAAAAGGAATGATATTCAATTCTCCACATTTAACTGGCAGTATCTTAAGAGCGATGATCCCATCTGTTTTATCCACTGACTGCAGGCTGAATGTGATGAATAAAATATTTAGCTCCTGTTGGCTTTGTCTCTGAGAACAAGCTGCTTATCAATATGGATATGCTCTGACTTTTTCAAGTCTTCCCTCTTTTAGCCAACCATAACACTTGGAAGTCTCCTCCTTCCATTCAATGTTTATGGGTTCAAAGTAGTCAGGTGAAGTGTTGTGAACAGTACCTGCATCTGTTTCCTCCCATTGCACCTCAGACGACTTCGTGAGATTTGGGAGGGGAGTATTCATGTTTGTATAGTTGTCTACATGCTAATTCTCCCCACCACATAGAGAAGCATGTATGTATGTGTTAAGTTGTGGGTGAACGTATCAGACGACACAGCGATTCTTCAAACAGCTCTTGTTTATTCACAGGCTAGAACAGAACTGAACTGAAGGGTTCAGTCAGCCTGCTTATATAGAGCTCCAGTACAATGTAACTGTAACAATTTTCTAAAACTATCCAATCACTGAACGTCACTTTCGGCCCCTTATTTGCATAACTATCTACAGTATCCCCCTGCTGGCCCAGGGTGAGAACTTCAGTACATAACAGTATGTATGTATGTATGTATGTATGTATGTATGTTTGTTTTAAAAAAGGACACAAGAGATTGTCCTAATTTGAAGCACATCAGTTAAAGTAAAGCCTGTTATGCAAGAATTATGGCAAAATGCTGTTATTTAGAACAAACACATAAAGTTCTGGTCTTTCCTGAGAGGGTTGTTTGTTGTTGTTTTTTTGCACCCTAGAACAACTTGTGTTGAATTGATTTGTCAAGGCAAAATAGCATAAAGGCAGATATTAATATGCTGTACTGTGAAAGCAACTTTACAGATCTATCCAGTCATGATACAGTAGATAACATGAATCAGGGCCAAGGTACGAAATAGGTTGTTACATAATCTAGGAATATCCCTGCTTGGAGATATTTTATTTGGGTTTATGATATAGTTATGTAACATATACCACCTGATTGTAGGAAAGCCATCTTGTGGTGGAGAGTTCCATTGTCTAGTTCTGTGCTGTGTGCCTCTTTTTGCTTGTCTCGAATCTCTCACCACTGAGCTTCATTGGCTGACCCCGGGTTCTAGTATTAGGAGAGAGGGGAGAACAAAATGTCTATTCTCTATGTGCTTTCTCCACACGATGCTTGCTTGGCTCACCCAATAGCTATGCTCTAGTCAGTGTTTCATCACCAGGTGAAGATCTTTCTATTTTATCAGGCTCTTAAACCTTTTTAGCTTCAGTGTCGATTTTATGGCTCGATATTATCACACATTTTAAAACTTTCAGAATTATGGTATTGCTGTGAGTTTTTGTTAGGTTGCTTTTATCCTCTGGCTGCTGGTTTTATGTTCTTAGATTTTATGGTTATTGGTTTCGTTTTTATTTTTATATGCATTTGTTTTTCCTTCATTGGAAGCCATCCAGAAAACATTTTGTTGTTGGGGAAAATATAAATGCAGTTAGTAAACTTAGAACATGTATATAAATGTCAAGCGTATCCTACTCTTGTCTTTAAAAACAAACCAACAAAAAACAAGACAACTAAAAAGCCTCAGATGTAGGCTTTTCCACTCCCCAAGAATTAACTCTAGCCCCAGATAATCTCTTGTCCTTTTCTGATTCTATAGCACCCTTTTTGAGATAAAGGACAACCAGAATTGTACACAATATTCGAAGTGTGGTGTCACCATAGATTTGTATAAAGGATTCTTAAGGAAATCAGCCCTGAGTGCTCACTGGAAGAACAGATCGTGAAGCTGAGGCTCCGATACTTTGGCCACCTCATGAGAAGAGAAGACTCCCTGGAAAAGACCCTGATGTTGGGGAAAATGGAGGGCACAAGGAGAAGGGGACGACAGAGGATGAGATGGTTGAACAGTGTTCTTGAAGCTACCAGCATGAGTCTGACCAAACTGCGGGAGGCAGTGGAAGACGGGAGTGCCTGGCGTGCTCTGGTCCATGGGGTCACGAAGAGTCATACACGACTAAACGACTAAACAACAACAACATTACGGCTCATCCTTGGATGCCTTCCTTATAAAGAGCAGTGTGCAACAGGGCTGTGTTCTTGCCCCAACTCTCTTGGGCATATTCTTCTCCCTGTTACTCTCCTATGCCTTCAGCTTGACTGAAGATGGTGTGTACATCCATTCAAGGAGTAATGGGGGTCTGTTGAACCAGGCAATGTCTCCATTCCAAGAGAAAATTGTGACAGGTTCCTACCCAAGAAATGTTGTTTGTAAATGACACAAAAAACCTGGAGACAGTCAGGTTGTATATCCATAGCAGTGACCAGAGGAGGAGGAATGACTGCTGGGAGGAGCAGAGAGAGAAGAAATACCATGGCACATCTGCATCAGCACAACTGGATGCCTTCATCTGCCCCAGCTGCAACAAAACATGTCTCTCCCATATCGGTCTCTACAGCCACAGCAGGCGCTGTAGCTCTCCAACAGTTTGACTTAACCCCTGAAGATGTACTCTTCCACTGTATCCTGAGACAGACAGATGCCAACCAACAATTACGGTATTAGCAGTTTCATGACTGGGGAGCTGGAGAAATGTCTCAGATAGTTGAATACTAGATTCAGGTTTAGTTTTATTTTTTAAACAACCTAGAATTGGGTGTGTTTCCCCCCTTCATGTGGGTTGATGCTTGTGCCTTTGTGTAAATCATTACCTCTAGACTGTATAGTCTTGCGTTAGGGCTTGTGACATCTATACATCAGGCAGGGTTTGTTCCAAATTAGCAAGTCTTATGACCAGGGATTCACTCCTGACATATTCTGTGTCTGCTGGCTGAATCAAGGTATTAATTCTGAAGAATTGAGGACTCTAGAAAGTCTTAAATTCAGCCCTGTTAACACTCCATCCTTTTTTTACTGTCAGAATGCTAAACAGCACAGTCGTCTTAACCCCGGAGATTATAAATGTTGTACAACTGCTGCCCCTGAGAAGTCTGGCAGCTGAGAAAGGAGTGCAATACTGCACGTATTCTGGAGGTCTAGGTTTATGGCAAAATGTTCCAGATGCAACCTTCTTGATAGTAAGCTTGGCTTCAGGCAGAGTAGGAGGAATGCTTATTGCTCACCTGCTGAACAAATGGATGAGGACTTCATCTTGCTTTTTGAAGCTGAATCTAATTAGTTAATCTATTTATGACACAAGTCTTGATTATACTTGGTACTTTTCCCTGTGTTGTAGGAGTTTCTGTTGGGGTTTGTGTGTGTAATTGCCAGGGAAGTACACTGGCTTCTGTTAAAAGAGTATTTAATCCAGCAGACAAATCCAGACAAATCGAGCACTATCGTTCTTTGAACTTCAAATGCTGAGCCTCTGAAACATTCATATCCCAGGTGTTTTCGCCTTTTTTAACCTGGCAGGTGTTCTGCTGCATCACTGATCTCCCTTCTGTTTACAGGTGCCTAATTTAGACACCTGTGTGATTTTCTTGGTTTGTAAGGCAAGAGTGCGGGCAAAACTTAGTACAGGACTTCCAGTCTTCAGAATGACTTCTGGCTATCCTTGTGCTTGGAGCCCACACCAGCTCTATATTGGAGCATTGCTTAGGTATGCAGGATGAAATGTTGCTAGAGGAGATCTGGCTGCAGCTTCCTGTGCTGTGAATGTGCTTACACACATCCCTTGGAATTCCCCATGGAATCCCTTGGTTGGCTCTGCTCCAAACAGCAACGTTCTCCTCTCTTCTCCCCTCACTCCCCAGCACAGTCCACCAGTGCCTTTAGCATAATACCCCAAAATCCAATAGGTGCAGATTTGGGGTTGAAACTACATATTAGAGCACCCCCTCCCCCAAAAAACCTCATGAATGAGGGCAGCTTCAAAAAATTGAAGCTGGGGAAGGGAAGGACAGTAATATATAATATTCAGAATGTTTGTCCAGCAAAGGCAGTGATACATGTTATAAGTCATAAGGATAATTGTTTTGCCTTGCTTGCACAATATTGCCGTCTAAATATTTTGAAATTTTCAGCTGGACCTTTCTCGAGTATAAATGCTTATTCATGTTGAGTGTTGTTTCTGTTGCATCACTGTGCTCTCCAGGCGCACTTTATGGTTTCTAAAATAACTTCCGCTGGATTGAAACCCGCAGAAAGTCTGGTGTGCAGTGACATTTTTGTGGTTTTTGTAGCTAATCTATACATCTGTTCTGAAATGTAGCCCAGCCATGTTCTTGCAAGTGAAGTCAGTGAGACAGTCAAAGAAAAGCGTGGCTTTTTTGAATTGTGAGGTGATCAGGAAAGTACTTGTGACATTTTAAAATGAACTTCCTTATGCTGCATGGGAGCAGGAGGGATTTTCAGGCCACTCTGAAATATAAGGGTGCTATAGCGCCTGATTACTTGTTTGCTTTTTCATAATTCATTGTGATTGCAGGATTTAGTTTTTCTTGATAAAGAGTTGCCCTATATTGGGCACAGAATATGCCTTGCCTGCAAGGAGGAGTTATCATCTATCCAGTAGCATAAGGGTGAGCAGGCTTGGGGTTTGTCCATACTGCTTTGGGTTTTTATTAGAGCCTTAAGATTTACCCATCAGAGCTAAGTGCAAAAGACAAACAGTTAGAATTAAAGAACAAGGTGCCTCTGAGCGCATTCTAAGCTGAGGAATTTGGAACACAATTGAGGCCACCAACCCTTCACATGAAAGTCCACTCCTGGTTAGTAGCTTATCTTTATTTTAGCAGCCTAACTTGGGTGGAAAAAGTTGTTTTGCTGTTGCTTATCATTAAACAATGGGGAGTCAGAAACGTTTGCCAATACCCTGCTAATCACCAAGAAATTTACTAGTAGATCCCTAACTGTTTTTTGTCCACCCCTGTTGTAGGATTCCAGCGTCTTCATGATCTGTGTTTCATATCTAGCATTCTTTCTCTTTCTGCAGGCATGGCAGCGATTCGGAAAAAGCTGGTGATTGTTGGAGATGGTGCTTGTGGGAAGACCTGCCTGCTGATTGTGTTCAGTAAGGACCAATTCCCAGAGGTCTATGTGCCAACCGTCTTCGAAAACTACATTGCTGACATTGAAGTAGATGGGAAACAGGTAATTCTCTCTGCTAACAGGAGCACCTTTGAGCGTACATATGCTTTTAACCCCAACTAAATATCACATCAGTTTCTGTTGCAGTTCATCCCTGAGTGCTGAACTTCATGCTGCTCCTTCTGACACCAATCCCTTTAAAATGTTCTTGCCCACCTCTGTCACCTGTTGCCAAAACCCTGATTTCATCCTATTCGTCCCCTCTCCTGCCTCAAGTTAGGTTTTCCCTTTGGGCCAAGCTGTGTACTGTCCATATCATAAATACTCAATAAAGGTTTACAGTAACTTCAGTAGAACTGTTCTAAAGTGGTATCAATGTCATGCTGTTATCTCTCTGAGTCTGCACATCTTGTAACTGACCGTCCCACGTTGGTTAGGAGGGATGTTGCTGTGAGCCGTGTTTGGACCTGGCCTCTCCTGACAGCTTCATGATCATCTGACACCGTTTGGTGGCACCCTTGAGGGTAGCGCTGCAGTCCTATAAAACACACTGGATAATGGATAATCAATTCCTGGGCTCAGGCAGTTTAATTAGGGTAGATGTTGTGCCAGGTTGCCTTTAAAGCTGCCTGTTAAGCAAGATGTACTATGGGGAGAGAAAGAAAAAGGGGTCTGTGTTCCTGTTTGCTTTTATTTATTATCCAGAGTGGTACTGATGCTCCTGCTCACTGATATAAACTTCCTTCTGTCTCTCCAGGTGGAGCTGGCCCTTTGGGACACGGCTGGGCAGGAAGACTATGACAGGCTACGGCCCCTCTCTTATCCAGACACAGATGTTATCCTCATGTGCTTTTCCATTGATAGTCCAGACAGCTTAGGTAAGGCTATGGCACTCTAGGCTTGAGGTAAGAGGCCGTGAGGACACAGAGCATGTGATAATGCCCATTTGGTTGCTCATGGCCTCACCCACAGGATACAAGGGAACTCTGTGAGCGGGTGGATTGGGAAAGCTGAAACACCTAATTTAGCTTTCAAAGTAGTGATTCTTCCAGTCCCTGCAGGATCCAGATAAGCAATGGCTATTTTGGGAAACATTGGTCACATTCACACCAGATATTTAAAGCACACTTTAAGGATAATAGCCTCCTGCAAAGAATCACAGGAACTGTAGTTTATTAAGGGTGCTTAGAGTTGTTAGGGGGTCATTTGCAGAGCTACATTTCCCAGCACCCTTAAACTACAGTTCCCAGCATTTTCCACAACTGTTGCAGTAGTCTAAGAATATTAAGGGAAGTGCCATAGCTCAATGTAAAGTACATTTTTTTGAGTAGGTGACCGTAAGTCTAATTTCTGGCATCTTCAGTTAAAATGGTCAGTGGCAGTAGATGGAAAAGACATTGCTGGAGAGCCAGCAGACATTGAGCAAGATCAGTGGTGGGGAACCCCTGGCCTCTCTCTCTCCCTCCCCCCCCCATAAAAGACCTGGATTCAAGTTTGGATCATAGAACAAACAAGGAAGAACAGAGGTTATACCGGCTGATTCATGTGTTAATAATTTTGTTGAAATTGTCGCTGGTTTTATTTTATATTGTTTGAGGTACCCCACCTTGTTTGATCATGGACAAGTTAAAAATGAGATAAGTAGGTAATAAATAAAGGCCTACTGGTCTATACATGAAAGCAGCTGCCTTGCCCTGTTATCCAGGGGTTTTTCAAACACGTTTGGCTGCTTGCAATATTTTTCTCACTTGAAAAAGGGGAAACCTTATTCCAGTAACCACTGCCTTTGAATGCACAATCGAGAATCAGGAGTACTATTTCTAACTAGGAATTTATTCATAGGACTTTATGGACCGCAGTATTGTCACATTTTAACAGATAACACTTTGCCTCTAAAACTCCAGGTAGTGACACTTTTAAACAGCCTCTACACATAGATACGTGTACGGGTTTGGCAGATGATGCAGGGTATAACCAGCAAGGCCCATGTTAGAGCAGTTCTGTGTTAAACAGCATCTTGTTGGCTGGAGGGTGATGATAGGATCCTGCCTCTGCATTTGAGGGCAAACAGTTAACCGGGACCTTATACAACTACTAAACTGCGTTGACTCCTTGGGCATCTGCTAGCGCTATAGACTTAATAATGATGACAGTATTTGTCATAGCTGGATTCTGCAGGGAAGTGTGTGTGCTGGGAAATGCTTTGAACTTTTCTGCACAGCTCCTTCTGTGTGGTGTTCTGTCTCTCTGAAACTGATCTTTGCCCACGTCTCCAGGGATTTTTTGCTGTGGCTCTGGGATTTATGTGAGGAGAGCTTTCCCATATTCCCAGTCACTTTATTTCTTTCATTGGCATAGGGAGTTCAGTGTTCCCTTTCAGCTGCTACAGGGTGTGGTAGGGAGAGCAGGCTCTCAGCCATGCGCTGGCCAGGGCTCTGGAAATAGGACTCTCATTGTATCCAGTCTTGCTTTTGGCAACAAACTGGATCTGGGGATGGCCTGTTTTGAAGAGGTCTCAAACAGCTTCCTTTTTAAGTGCCATGGGATTATTATACCTGTGAATCTGTCCTTCATTGGGAGGAGGGCTTTTATTTCATGGCCTGACCTGGTTCATGAGAATGTGATTGGCCTTTCTAGAAAACATCCCAGAGAAATGGACACCTGAAGTGAAACACTTCTGCCCTAATGTGCCCATCATCCTTGTGGGGAACAAGAAGGACTTGCGGAATGATGATCACACCCGCAGGGAACTGGCAAAGATGAAACAGGTAGGAGGAGCCTGTTGTATTTTTTTTTAAAAAAAAGCTTGTTGAGTTTTTGTAGCAAGAAATAATTCACTTGCTTTACATAATGTTGTGTAATGTTGTCATTGTGATGTTTCTGGGAAGGCTTTATACCAACAGCCACTGTTGCCACAGCTTGGAGAACTCTTCATACCAGAATTACTGATGGCTGCTGCTATGCAGTAAAGTGCTCTTGGGGAGAATCTATATCCCTCCTATCCTTTTCTAAACAGCAAGTCATCTAATACCCCTTAAAATGGGTGAGATAACTGAAGATTTTCGGATAAAACAAGTGCCTTTTGTGTATTCTGAAACTCTGCAACTAGGGAGCATTATTCCAAGCAGGATCACATGAGAAATCTTCAAAAGTAAATAAAAAACTTAAAAGTGTGTAAAAAAAAAAAGAATTAGATCATTAACGCAATTAAATAGTATACATGGATCTGTGCTCTACTCCATACAATGTGTGATGCAATATGCATCTTATTTTAAATATTACACTGAAGTATTAGGTGAAACTTGGAAATGCTCTGGATTTTTCACACAAGAAATTTAGGGAATCACTTTTCTTTCTGGGAGATCAGACTATTATTTCAGAACTAGAATGATTTGTCAGTACTTGAATTGTTATACTAACTTCACCCCCGCCCCAAAGTTTCCCATCTCATATTATATTGGTGATTAAGAGAACAAAATGTCTTGTGAATAATCATTTGCTCTTTAGTGGAGCACTCCTAGAAAGATGTTGGGTTGCTTTTAGGAGGTTGATGCAAGTGTCTCGATTCTGGAATATTATGTATGGATTTAGTTGAGTTTCTACATTGCAGGGCGTTGGGACTAGATGACCCTCAGGGTAGCTTCCAACTCTACAACTCTGACACTACCATCTTTCATTATGATTTCATGTTACCTTATTTCTTGATATTGTAGCAATATGCTCTAAATCTTTGGTCCACCTGGAAGATAGTGCCCTACTCCAATGGTGCTCTTAATCAGTTCTGACTTTCCTCATAATTCTTGGGAGGATATTCAGGGCTTTTACAAGAAAGTCCATGGGAAGTTGCTCCCACTTCCACTTTCCGCAACACAGTAACCACTGCAGAAGGGGAGGACTGGTGGTGAAGCTGCCTCTGAGCAGGGTCAGTAAGATCTCTTCCAGGCAGAGGTATTGGCAGTTAAAACTCACATAGATCACTGCTATTGAGCGTTATCAAACATTCAGGCTGTACAGTGGTACCTCGGATTACATACGCTTCAGGTTACAGACTCCGCTAACCCAGAAATAGTACCTCGGGTTAAGAACTTTGCTTCCGGATGAGAACAGAAATTGTGCTCCGGCGGCGCAGCGGGAGGCCCCATTAGCTAAAGTGGTACCTCAGGTTAAGAACAGTTTCAGGTTAAGAACAGACCTCAGGAACGAATTAAGTACTTAACCCAAGGTACCACTGTAATGATAAAAGTCTCTCCTACTGACACTCAGTGCTCCTACTTTTGGAAGTGTTGGTCTACATGCAGGCCATGCATTTAAAGCACCCCCCAAAAAAAGAATAATGGGAATTGTAGTTTAAGGGTGCAGGGAAATGTAGTTTTGTAAGGATGAACTATAGTCCCCACAATTTCCTTTGGGGGGGGGGGAGAGAATGGAATGTGCTTTAAACATTTGGTGTATATGCAGCCCAAAGGGGAAAGGGTGGGCTGGCATGTGCAGAGTGTAAGATTCCTTGCTCCGTGGTTTTACCTGATGGTGAAACCATTGTGAACTGAACTTCAGAGTGGGTTCGTGCTGGGAATTTTGAGCTGAAGGAATTAAAAACTAAATGAACACCAATCTTCCTAATTCTGAATTTGGCAATATCTTTGGTTAAGACCCAGAAGGTGGATTAAAGGATTTTGGAGTGGGAGGGAAGAGAGGCAGTTTGTACTGTAACAACAAGAAGAAGATGGGCCTAGGCTGGAGTTAAAGTTGGACCGCATCTCTTAAAAGATTGAAAACTACTGCTTGGAAGCAGCGTTCCTGAAGCCCTATGAGATACAGAAGACCTACAGTGGAGTCAGAGCCTAGTTTGGGAGGGACTCCCTGATTTTTTCAGTAGGACAAGCCTAGCACCAGGGCAAGACAGAGACACCATAAAGGTAGATGGCAGAGATTGCAGATTGATGATGGGGCAGTGTCCTGCAGGGTGTAGCATGGAATAGTGGTCCAGAGGAGATTTGATCACTGCAGAAGCCCATAACAAATTTTGCTAAGACGTTTACATGTTTGCTGTCCTCTCTCCCTTGCATCCAGATGGCTTGGGGCAGGTACATGAACCACAAAGTTCTCAGGTACAAAGATTTAAGGCCCATCTTACCCTGTATGTCTATAGGAAGGATGTTAAAATCTGCTTCAAGTGTTGTGTGAATGGGGGTCCACATATAGAAAGCGCCAATGGGGCCACAGCACTGGCCCTGCCCCTGCCCCAGAATTTGAACTGCCCAGCCCTCTGGCCTTCCAAACACTGAGTATATATCTGAGCATGGAAAAGGCCTTGCTGACCCTTTCTATATGTGGACCATTCTCTCCCCCCACCCCCAATTCATGTGAGAATGTCCTTTCAGTCTTGCCAAAATGGCCACCCATATTTCTGCGAGGAGCTGTGCTGCTTTTCTCAGCCAGGATAGGGTGTTACACCTGTGCTAACTCGAGTTCTTCCTTAAATCGAGCCTTGCATTGGTTTCATTAATTTGGATTGTGTTTTTTGCTTTGTCTTCATAAGGAGCCAGTGAAACCAGAGGAAGGGAGAGACATGGCAAACCGGATCAATGCTTTTGGCTACCTTGAGTGCTCAGCCAAGACGAAGGACGGTGTGCGGGAAGTGTTCGAAATGGCAACTCGAGCCGCCTTGCAAGTCAGGAAGAACAAAAAGCGCAAAGGTTGCCCCCTCCTGTAAAAGGGGTGCATTGGCAGATGATGTGACTGTGCTGTCTGAAGTGTATCTTTCCCTTTCCATGCACCCCACAGATGGGGTCGAGGTGGAGAGGTGGAGCTATTAGCTCTATCTAGAATAAAAAATTTAACATGCTGGCTATGTCCTTCATCCCTCTGCACAGTAAAACTTCCTGGGACACACAATATAGGCATCTACACGGTCTCTTCCTGTGTTGCATGCCCAGGCTGCCTTTTCCAGCTCTCTCAAGGGCCAGAGGTGTCTTTCTGAATCCTCCTTATAAACAATGTCCTTTTTGTATTGGGCAGGCAGTGTACTTGAACTAACTCTGTATTGTTCTTTGCTCCCATTTTATACTAATCCTACTCTTCAGTGCTTTGTACAGATTCACCAGTGCTTACCCTTGTGTCTTCCTGTTCTTACATATTACGGAAGCTAAATTTCTGAATATTGCAATCTGAGAATGTGGAGCCTGCCTCTGGTTTACAAATGAATGCACTGGCTTCTCTCCACAAATGTGCTAAAGCAAGCGGGGTAAGTCTTGCCAAAATGGCCTCCTGTATTCGCATTAAGGAGCTGCGCTCTGTAGTGGTCAGAAATAATCTTTGCTTCTCTTTGGAGCAGCAGTGCCTTGTGTTTTTGGCAATACTGTATTCTCACTTCATTAAATTAATTCAAACTTGAGCTCGACTCTTTTTGTTGTGGATGCTATATGGCTGTCCATCTGCACACTGAACTGTATGAAGCTGTGTTAATTCTGCTGAGCACCACTAGGGCAGTCAACCTGTGTTGGAAGTTTCTCAGCTGCTTCACCGTATCTGTCTTGTTACCTTCTTCCTCACAATTCCATAAAGTGTAGCAACTCAGCTCGTTATCTTTGGGCAAATCTATTAATACAAGGTTATTGGTGGGTATTGGGATGCGGGTGGTGCTGTGGGTTAAACCACAGAGCCTAGGACTTGCCGATCAGAAGGTCAGCGGTTCGAATCCCTGCAACGGGTTGAGCTCCCATTGCTCGGTCCCTGCTCCTGCCAACCTAGCAGTTCAAAAGCACGTCAAAGTGCAAGTAGATAAATAGGTACTGCTCCTGCAGGAAGGTAAACGGCGTTTCTGTGCGCTGCTCTGGTTTGCCAGAAGTGGCTTATTCATGCTGGCCACATGACCCGGAAGCTGTACGCCGGCTCCCTCGGCCAATAAAGCGAGATGAGTGCCGCAACCCCAGAGTCGGCCACGACTGGACCTCATGGTCAGGGGATCCTTTATCTTTATTGGTGGGTATTAGGAATCCCAAGGTCATAGAATGATGAACTGCTTCGCTTCAGAGTCCAGATAGTTGGACTATTTTTTTAAAAAGTAGGTGGAAAGCTAGCAGAGCAGGGGGGAAGGTGTTCCATTTAAGCTCTTTTCCCAGTGCTGGGATAGGAGCAGTGTTAGAAACTGAGATATGAAAGCTCAGAGCTAAATGGCACCTTAAACAGAGGTTATAGGCGCAACAACAGAATGTCTAGGCGTGCTTTTTTAGTAACAAGAACACAAAGCTGAAAGTGAATAAACTGCAGCTAAAATATTATGTTCATTTTTCACATGGTCTAGTCCTCCCCCTTCCCACCCCCTAATATTCTTAAGAGGGTCTCTTCTCCAGTCTTTCATAGAGTAGTGGGGAGGCAGAAAAGGGTCCTCCTTTCCTGCCACTCTGCAGTTTTAATCTGAAATCTTTGAGCCCAGAGCTCAGAAACTGCTCACACTAATGAAATTCCCTGTCGCAAAATGCGCCTAGAAACACTGGATAGGAGATTGCCCTGGACTCCCATGTGTACCACCTGCCATTGGGGAAAAAGGGAGGCTAGTAACTTACTACACTTTCTAAACATGTAAAGACTTTTTAAAAATTAAGAGTGATCAGTGCTGCGATCTGACACCATGGGGCAGCCTATTCTGATAGTGGCGGGCTGACAACTCTCTTATCACCTCACTACAACTGCTTTGTTTCTCATGTAGACTGACCTTGTGCATTCCTTTCTGAGTGAGCAATTCTGTGGTTCACAGGTAAGAAGGGAGGAGCAAGGAGCACACAGCAATAAGAATGAAGCATTGGTGGGAACATGGAAATGGGTCCGTCCCCCCCATGCAAAAGGTGAGAAAGTTGGCAGGGTTATCCTACTTTAACGGCTTTGTCCCCCTGGCCTCCTAACCCACTCCTACTGCTAAATAAAACAGTGGCCAGATTCTTTTTGCAGATAGAAAAAGCAGGCTCTGGGAAGAAGATGTGGGAGAAACGATTGATTTTATACACGTCAATCGGAACTCACGTGCATTTTATACCTCTTGTCATGGGACAGGAACCCCCTTCATTAGCAACCCTCAAATGCTATTGAGCAGGTAACTGTAGATGGTGCCATCTGGTGGATGAATTTTGTGTTGCTTGAGAACAGCAATGGCATTCTCTTAATTATTTTTTTTTAATCCCAATCAGAGAGAGAATTCATATAGAAGGCACTAGACTTTATATTTTTAAAATACGATTTTCCTAACTAATTGAAAACTCCTCATGGGTTCTCTTGCCGTAACACAATAGGCTTCCAAAATCCATTGCTGTGGAACAAGCAATGCATTACTGCCTTTTAAAATGCCTTGCCTATGTTTACAGAAGATAAACCAAGTTATCTGCCTCTATTAATGCAACAATATGTAATTTTAAAAGTAGAAAACAATCTATTGTAACTCTTCCTTGCTTTGCACACTGCTGTACTCCCAAGTGCTACAGATCACTCGTGTTTAATTTAATAGACTTGGAACTTGCCAAACATAGCTTCCATAAGCCATTTTTTTTAGCTTGCAACATTCCTAGCAAGAGTCAGTACAGAAATGGTGGTCTCAGCATCAGAGTCCCAACATCCACTCAGCCACAAAGCTCCCCTTTAGGCCAGTCGCTCTCTCTGTCTAACCTGTCGCACAGGTTTGTTGGGAGGATAAAATGGAGATAGAACCATGTGCCTTGCCTCGAGTTCCCTGAAGAAATGAGCTGGGTTGTCTATAAAGGTAAAGGACCCCTGGACGGTTAAGTCCAGTCAAAGGCGACTATGGGGTTGCGGCGCTCATCTTGCTTTCAGGCCGAGGGAGCCAGCGTTTGTCCACAGACAGCATTCCAGGTCATGTGGACAGCATGACTAAACCACTTCTGGCGCAACGGGACATTATGATGGAAACCAGAGCGCATGGAAACACCGTTTACCTTCCCGCCACAGCAGTACCTATTTTTTTACTTGCACTGGTGTGCTTTCGAACTGCTAGGTTGGCAGGAGCTGGGACAGAGCAACGGGAGCTCACTCCATTGCAGGCATTTGAACCGCCAACCTTCTGATCAGCAAGCCCAAGAGGCTCAGTGGTTTAGACCACAGTGAAACTAAGGCTGCAGCCCTAAACCTTTATCTCAGAGTAAGCCCCACTGAATTCAGTAAGCCTTACTTCTGAGCAGACGTTCTTAGAATTGCAGTTTCAGCCAGTTTGGCTGGCTTCTTTAGGCAAGGTGAGGCAGCAGGTAAGACCATGTTCCTTGCATTTCGCTACAGTAAGATGGAGCTCTGCGAGCAGGATCCTCTCACTTTGGTGCATAGAGAAGGCTTGGATAGGGAAATGTCATGGGTGGGAAGCCGTGGACTTCCAGATGCATGTTGGAGTACCACTAGCAGCCCTGACCGTGCTACTGGTTTGTAATGGGTCACAGCTGTTCTGGATGTAAACTTGAGTCTTCTTTTGTACTTTGAAATTACCAATTATGGCAGCAGTTCACGATCCAAGAAAAGGAACTGCATATGTGCCGCCAGCACCAACAGCAGTAAGACTACACTAGAATGAAAGAAAACAGCCACAACCTTTAGGGAATTCTTCCTCAAGTAGGACTTCTGAGAGTTTACAGCTCTCCACAGAGCTGCACCACTTTGGTTATCCCCTAGTTGCAAATTCATTGTCAGTATTTATGGCCACAGTTGTGCCAGGAACTGCAGAAGAAACCAACGTTCTTACTCTTCTGTTTACTTCAGAGGCAGGCAAAGAGCCAAACATTGCTGCTCCAATCTGCGAACTGTACCAGCTGCTCCCTTAACATGCAGCTCTCCAAAGGCTTTGTGAATAATAGTTGCTATTTGTACCATTCACAGCGTCATCTCCTCAGCAGGCAGAAATAAAAAATGACACAATGGCAATAAAGCAGAATCTTGCCCCAGGGGAGGAAGAATGTCACTTTAGCTGAGCAGTGTTTTGAGATTAGCTTTTACTTATCCATGGGGTGAAGAAAAAAAGCACGTTTCCCAACTCCTGCAAGAAACGGACCTCTGTTTGTGTAAACTACAGCATAACATCCTTCTACAATACATATTGCTGCAGGAAAGTTATTTCTCCAAGGGGTTAAGTTTTATTTTCCTCTCAATACTCAAATATGGGGTAATCCAATACCTTAGTTGCTGGAGATTCCAGATTCCAGCAGGCTGCACCAGAGACAGAAGTTAGGAGAAGAGGATAACACAGGAGCAGGCTAAATTAATTCCTTGCATACACTGTTGTGACTCTGATCCAGACAGAGCCACAACAAGTTTTTTGTTTTGTTTTTTGTAAAGACGACGACAGGGGCAGTCCCAAGAACGTGCTAAAAAGGCATGTATTTTGAAACTTAGAATAATGTGTACTTGACCTACTCTCCTTCTCCCCTGTTCTCTCTTTTTTCTATCAGTACTACAACAGGAAGGTGGGTGGAAAGGGAAAGCAGGGCAGTGTCTCATTCAATAACATAATACACGCTGTAAATTTTAGAAGCTTTAATGACAATCCAGTAGAAAAAACACCTGATAAAATCTGACATAGTCTTGGAAATGGGAAGGGTTTAAGAGTTAAGGTTCATCTTCCCCCTGGTCCCCCAAAACAATTTCATGATAAACTAAATGCAGCTTGAAATAGAAATCTAGCTGTCAGTCTCTGAACCGCAAAAAGGGAGGGTTTCCTCCTGCCAGTTTCAAAAGGAGAGGTTAAGCCTCTGCACTCAGTGCCATTCCCCAGTCTTTTCTTATTTCTGATTGCTTTATAATCCAGCACATCTGCGTTTCAAACTAATACCAGTCTTTTCTCATACACCGCTGGACACAAAAGGAAGGAATGCAGAGAAGTCTTGCACAACAAGAAAGTGGATTTACACTGCATTAGGTGGATGCAGGTAACTGCACACTGCATTCCCTCTTGCACAATTAGGATATCTTTATAAAATTCTGGCTTTAACCCCCTGATAAATAGTAATAGGGAGCTCAAATATGATTCATTTATAGTTGGGTCATCATCTGCTTTTTCAGTATGTAAACAGGAGAAATAACTTATTCAAGAATGCAGGCTGCAGTAGCAGTACCAAGATTTCGGACAGTACAGGTCCTCAGCGTTCACGTGACCATTCTGGGTCCACCTGCTGCTGGAGGTGACTCTCACCAGAACTGTTGCCTGCAGAGAAGGAAAACCAGATGAAGAGCAAACGAAAGTGCTTCCTTAGTTTGCCCTTGCTTCCAAATTGATCTGACATGCTCCAGAGCTGCCAATTTATTGGTGGGGAATATGTTATAGCAGAAGGACCTGCGCTGCATTGTGAGCACTTGCCAAGCTCCAACTGCCAGGACTTTCCTCTGCGCTCAAGCACCCATCTCCTTGACAATGTGCAGCCCCTTGCACTGACAAGGCAGCCTTCAGGGGTACTTAAAAGATAGGCACTTCTTTAAAATAAATACACAGGACTTTGTCCAACAAAAATCATTTATGCTTTGTTATTTTGCAATCCTTATTCCTCAAAATGTATGAAGTGAGTTGCAGCGAAAGTCCACATTTGTGTGTGTGTGTGTGTGTGTGTGCTTAGAAAGCAGGATTTCTAAACAATCTACCCCAATTTGGATCAAAATTGATGTTGAGCCCTTGCAGAAAATGTGCAAAAATAAAATAAAATTGAACATTGGCTTTGGTCAAATGGGCTTGTGGCTGAAAAAAATGCTGATCTTTCTCTTTTTAAATAAAACTGGGAGATAGAAAGGGTGGCTTCTGCAACCCTATCCATTGTACAGCACACAGGAATTGAAAAAAAATACAGCCATAGAAGTATTTCATCACGATTCAGATGGTTGCATTTATTTTGGTAACTGCTCATCCACTCTCCAGTCACAGACGGAACCCAGCAGATAATTACTAGAACTGTCAACTGAGCAGCCTCCTTGGGCTGCCCCAACTCTGATAAGGCTTTTCAGGTTAGTTGCTATGCATTTAGGATTACTATACATCCAAGAAATAACTGGAGTCCAATTTAGGTCACGTTAGCCTCTTACCTTCTGGCTTCAAGGAGAGAGAAGCGAGTTCTACCAGCACGTCATCCTCTTCATTCTCATCTGCCTCATACCAATATCCTCGGCATGCATTATTGTCCTTGCAATACTTGAGAAACCTAGGGGCGCCAATAAAATAGTAGTGTTAATGCCACCAGCCTGACCCATGAGCTTTAGAGGAAGTCAGAATAATTTTAAAAGGATATATTTGCACTAAACCAGAATAGCCGAGGGGATTCTTGCTCAGACGTAGCTCACTGCTTCCTGAAATGGCCCATGTTCTAATTCTCAAGTAACCATTGGCTATGAAGTATATTTCAACATCAGTTCTTGCTTAAGGGTGTGCTGTGATTAGAATCGCATGTCCCCAGGACAGGGAGCCACAGAGGTAAGCACCTACTTTGCAACAACAAGATCCCATGTTTAGTTCCTGGCATATCAAATACCTGGGCTGGAAAAGATTTTACATCGAGGTCTTGGTAAGCTGAAGCCTGTCAGAGTAGACAACACCAGGCTATATGAACCAACAGTCTGATTCAAGATATGGCACATTCATGTTCATAAAAAACCAAAGGTCTATATAAATGCAACACCTTGACAGGGGCAGAATGATCTATTCGCCCAGGCTACAGGCACAACAGTCGAGCGCCGCAACCCCAGAGTCGGCCACATCTCGCTTTATTGGCCGAGGGAGCCGGTGTACAGCTTCCGGGTCATGTGGCCAGCATGACTAAGCCACTTCTGGCAAACCAGAGCAGTGCACGGAAACGCTGTTTATCTTCCCACCAGAGCGGTACCTATTTATCTACTTGCACTTTGACGTGCTTTCAAACTGCTAGGCTGCCAGGAGCAGGCACCAAGCAACGGGAGCTCACCCCATCGTGGGGATTCGAACCGCCGACCTTCTGATCGGCAAGTCCTAGGCTCTAAGGTTTAACCCACAGCGCCACCCGCGTCATCTAATGCTTATTTCCCTAAATTGATTTCTGAATTTTGAATTTTATTGTTATTCGTGTTTTTATACTGTATTTTATGCTGCTTTTACAAGTAAGTGTTTTAAATTTGTTGTTAGCTGCCCTGAGCCCAGTTTTTGAACCGGGAAGGGCAGGGTATAAATAAAAAAATATTTTTATTATTATTATAAGAGGGTGTAGGAACTGGAGGGCAACACTTACTCGCTCCAGCACTGATCCTTGCTGAGAGTAGCTGGATTTCCTACAATTATCAAGAGTGCCTTGGCTCTTGTAATGGCCACATTGAAGCGCTGAAAGTGGAGAGAAGAAAAAGAAGAAAAATTAATCCACCTGGCCTGGCAGTAAGTGAAGATTACATTCAGAAACACACTATGACCAAGCCAAGCCACAAATGGTACTGCTTCTCTCGCAATCTCTGGAGGGGTAGTGTTTCTTGACCTGCCCTGGATCCCAAAGGAAAGGCGACAAGGGCCTTTCTGAAGATTATAGGATGATGTGCCCAGATTTGTACCTTGGGGTTCTGAAGGAAGCCTATACTGAACTCCTCATCTATATTGAAGTAATTGCTGCTGCTGCGCACTGTTGAGACAAGCACCACACGCCGCTCCTGGCCCTGGAACTCTTCAACACAGCCAATCTGGAGGGAGAGAAGAAGAATAGCCAGATAACAAGGATTAGGAAAATAAATCTTCAAATCCCAAACTCAGGAAAGGCAAGCAGCTTAGCTGGGGGCCTTCTTCCTTCTGGTACTGAGATGCTTGATCCTGCTGCCCTCCAGATGTTGCAGGACAACCGCTCCCATCAACGTAGATAATTGACAATGCTGTAGTTGTAAGTCAATCACCATCTGGAGGGCATCTTCAGGAAGGCTGAGGAAAACTGTCTGAAAGCCAATCAGTGTAGACCAGGGTATTCTAATCTTGAGTCTCTAGCTGCTTTTGGACTACAATTTCCATCATCCCTGACCACTGGTCCTGCTAGCTAGGGATGTAGTCCAATAACAGCTGGAGAGCCAAATTTGGAAGGCCCTGGTGTAAACAATACTGTGTTAGATGAACCAATAGTCAGATTCCATATAAAGCAACTTATTGTGTTTCTGTCCTTGATGCAGTGCTTACTGTGATGTAAGAAGGCATACTTCATCATACAAAACCTCACTTGGGAACTTTTTTGGACCATATGATTAGCCGCTGCTGGACACACAAGTGGCAGAACAGATGGATTTTTGGTTGGGTGCAATAAAGCTATTCTTATTTAAGATGCACCACGTCTGATGTGGATATATATCCAAACCATTTCTCCCTTGGCATGACTGGCAGGAAAACTTAAGTCTCACCTTTAGTTCCTTGATATCGTTCACACCCTTTAGTTCCAGACCAATGGCTTTTCTTATCTTCTCCACCTGGGAGAGAAAAGCAAAACCAGTTATTTGTGCACCCCCTCATTCTTATTGTCCGATTCAGTTTCTAGCAAGCAAGAATGCTGCACGTCTGCTGTCTAATGCCCTCAGCAAATGGATGAATTCCTTTGGGCCACTAAATAGGGATGGTGGCTTCAGAAATCTTCCCTGCCACAAATGGGAGGGTAGCCTTTAATTCTCTGTTGATGCAGTAGGAGTAACTGGTCTGATATTCCTGGTAGAGATGATGGGAGTGGTGCAGGAAGGATTCAGACCCTGGGCAAAGGCTATACTATATTGGCCCTGCAGTCACTGCTACCTTTAGCAGAAACCCAGGACATGATGGAGCCTTGAGGTTACACAGCACAACTATTCACAGCATCCACATGGAGAATGCAAGACATAGCCTGGGCCACACATGACTAGCTGCAACCACCCAAAAGCAAGTTATATGACTGCCACACCACATTTTTAGCTGCTCCAACCGTAACAGCCGTAGCATCTGTCTGCAGCAGAGTGCATCCTTCCACTGACCACATGCATGCATATAACTAGTTGCAACCACCTAAGCTGGAGGACAACTTGGCCAATGAAGAGGCTCCAAGTTTCCATGACTCCTGGAAGGGAATCTTGTTCAGTGAGCTGGGACCAGCAGAAGATCTCACCTGCTTCCTGTATGGAGTGATGACTCCAATGTCTTTGGGGGAAATGCGAGACATGCCTTTCTTGCCCTGCTCCTCCAGAAGCAGTTTTTTGAGGTAGTCAGTCAGCACTTTAACCTCGGCCGCGTTGAAAAACGAAGGGCTGTTCCCTTCACGCTGGTCTTCCCCGCAGACTCCGTGAAAGATGATGGGAAACCCCTGCAAGGTGAAAGCACGCTGACTCAGCTGTGTTCATGCCTATGGAAGAATTCCCAGGTGCCTACCACTCCTCACCTGCTTCACCAGCTCCTTCCATTTGCAGTAGGACTCAGTGATGAGGCGGTTGCCATGCTCCTGCAGCTCCCCATCATAGAACTTATCATTGGGGAACTTGAGGATGGCAGCATGGGACCTGGGGGGCAAGGAAGACCATACTTTAGCACATATAAGATCCTTCGCTTTCCTCTTATGCTCATAATAATGCAATGCCACATTACACAAAATGGGCCCACTGATGCTGTAGCAGCGTTTGATCGTTTTCACTTATATACAAATGGTAAATGGGCGGCCTCCATGCCATGCCATTTGCAAATAGTTTTCACAAGTTGGCAGGAGCTGAGTGTGTGAGGGCGAGCAAGTGCTTTTCTTTTTAGGAAATGGGCCGAGGGGCTGTGGGAGAGGCAAAACTTGCTTCTGTGTGAAGGCCATCTCTTTGATAAGGAAAGGGTAGTAGTAGTTGTAAAACACGACATTTACAGACTGCAATTTGTAAAAATGTGTTAGATGTCGCTATTCTTTGAAGGCAGTGGCTTCCTTCCATGAAATGGGTCTATAAACATCTGGGATGCAGACCTGAATCTCTCATTCCAGCCCCTAGTTGAAGTCACTCTTCTGATATCTTACCCTCAAGTAAAATAAACATTTTGTCTGTGTTTTAGAGCAAGATGATCATTGTTTAACAGTAACTGGCAATCTTCCTGCATTAGTATAAAGCACTGGCTGGCCCCACTTCTGCTATAGTCTCTTAAGAAGCTGGCCCAGTCCACATCAACCTGAATTGGGAAGACAGAACCCAGGAATACCACTCAAGTCAACCTAATGTAACCTGTGTTACATTAAATAGGCAAGATCCATACAGACACACTTGTGCGCCACCTGCTGGAATTCTGAGGCAGAGCGGTGAATGTACCTGTAGTTACGCAGCAGCTTAGTGACAAACTGTGGATTGTAGCTCCCATCCTTCTTTTCGTACAGTGAGTTTTCATGCATCAGCCGCTCCAGCAGGGAAAGTCCTATAAGAGCCGAGATGCTGCTCAGAGCTTCCAAATGAATGCAAGGGACTGGGGCTGGGAACTCTCTTATCTATCCTTTTCTAAACCCTTTTTCAGAACAGAGCTAAGGCCCAATTCATGCGCCTGTCCTGCAGCACAGTTGCTGCTAAGAACAAGAACGATGCAGGTGCAACCTCAAGAGGGGCAAGCCATTTGTGTGAAGCACGCTCCCATAATTTGAGTCAACTTGCAAAAATCTCTCGGTTTCAGAATGTTTTGTTTATGCACTTAACATAATTGCCAGCTGTATGGTGCAGTTTTGCAGAAACAGCTCAAGAAGCACCAAGGAAGCTGCTTCTTACTGAGCCTGGACCAAGGGTCCATCTAGCTCAGCACTGTCTACACTGATTGGCAGCAGCTCTCTCACATTTCAGGCAAGCGTCTTTCCCAGCCCTAATCTGGAGATGCCAAGGATTGAACCTGGAACCTTCTGCAGGCAACCCCCATTCTCTTATCACTGAGCCTTGGTTCTTCCTCAACTTGCCACATGGGTTGCATCCGCTGCAACAACTGTATTGCTGGCATTGCATGAATCGAGCCTAGAAGCAGACTGTTCAACAAGGGAGGAGTCCGCACAGAGACTCCTTTGGTCGAATCAACCATTGCCCACTTAAAAACCCACTAGGAAGATTTCAGCACAGAGCTCAAATGATTTATGCTCCTCCTCCTCCTCCTAACCTTAAGAACAGATACCTCAACTTGCATGAAATGCCACGCAAAGCAAAATAAAATAAAATACATGTCAGTGGGTTTTTAAAAAATTGCTACCTGCTCCTTACTCACCTAAGCCATGCTCCTTAGCCAGAGGAGACCTCAGGATTGGTCCCAGTTGCTGGGGATCACCTGCCAAAACCAGCTGACCTCCTTTAGCATTAGTCCTTGGGTCCATCATGGCTAGGATGCCTAAAGGAAGAGGAGAAAAAGACAGGGCTCTAGCCATTTGCTCAGTCTGGTCCATAACCAGAGTCCTGGGGCTTGAACGTTAATCTGCTTTCCCCTAAAGCAGAATAAGGTTTAGAAACGCAGAACTAACTAGACCTGGAATGTGTTTTGGGAAAGGCAGCCTGATCATCAACAGCGGAAGCAAATACAGAAAGCAAACAAGATAAGCTAAATGCTGTTTAAAATGAGTGAAGGACGTTTTAGGAAGAAACATTTCGATTCAGGGCCTTCCAGAACTCTGGGGGCTGAACATAGTGAAACATGCTAGCGAGAACATACATGACAAGGCAATTGCCCCACAATGAACCCTGTCAGTTTAGTGAATAAAATGAAAGTTTGCATTCTGTTCCATTAAAAACCAGTATGTTAAAAAAAAAACGTTTCCCACAGAAATGACAATCCTTTTCAGGGTAGAAAACGTACCTGCAATGGCAATCAGGCTCTGAGGTTCCTCAGCATGACCACTCTCATCGATGAAGACGTGAGTAAAGTGTCCCGGAGGGAACTGAGCATAGACCACCCTAGCCAGGAGAAACAAAAGGGAGCACAGGGAGGATATCTGACTTCCCAGCTAGAGGACAACCACATCAAGTGGCAGTTTAACAGAGGAGTCACACGGGAAGATGGAGGAAGAAGCTTGTTTTCTGATGTCCCGGAGGGTAGGAACAGAATCAGTGGGTTCAAATTGCAAGAAAGGAGATTCCGAATAAACATTAGGAAGAACTTTCTGATGGCAAGAGCTGTTCGCCAGTGGAATGGACTGCCTTGGAAAGTGGACTCTCCTTCATTGGAGGTTGTTAAGCAGAGGTTGGATGGCCATCTGTCACCGATTCTTTAGCTGTGATTCCTGCACTGCAGGGCAGACTAGATGACCCTTGGTGTCCCTTCCAAGTCTGTGATTCTATGTAACATGGCTGCCACCAAAAATGCCATTTCTGTTTTGGTCTGGATTCCATTCACATGGTGGCAAACAGCAGTTATGTGGCGTCCTGAGTACTAAACCAGGGCCTTCAGTAGCAGCTGTGTCACTATGGTCTTAACTCTGGTTTTAGGTTTCACAGATAGCAATGTAACATGCCCAGAAGAAAGAATTGTGCTTCAGATTGGTGTCTTGGTGAATTGCATCAACTGACAACTAAAACATTTTCTCTCAAAAATAGCTAATAAAGACCATCTTGGCTGTGAGTCCTGGAATACCTGCTCCCTTCCTTGCAGACCATTTCCACCTGGCCTGGGAGGGCAAAGTCCTGACTTACGCCAGCTGCAATACCCGAGGGCTGTTATTTAGGGATTTTTTTTAGGGGGTGCTGCTGCTGCTGCTATTGATTATTTTTTCTATCTTTATTTTAGATCTTATTATGATTCATGTGGAAATGTTTAACGTGGTTGTGTATTTTTCAATGTTTATTTATTGCTTAGGACTACTTTATGCTTGTAATTATGTAACTTTTTATGTTGTAAGTGGCCTTGAGCATGGTTTTAACTAAGGAAAGGCGGAACACAAATAAAATGATGTATGTATTTATGTATTCCATCTCCTTCAGTGGTGACTGGCAAAGAGAATGTGAAAGGGTTTATTTAAAATTTTGTGGCAACAATGGTAACAAAACAGTTTTCCGTCTAAACATATTATGTCTTCCCCACTACATATGCAAACACATACAGATTTTCACTTCTCACCTATTCACATTTGTCATTTCTGAATGATATCTGAGCCTTCTTACCTTCCTGCTGTTATCAGGGTGGTGATGATCACTTGGTAGTTTTCTAGAATCTCCCTGCTAGGAAAGACGGGAGAATCCAGTTTCTTGTCCCAGTTACAGACATGCTATAAGCAAAAACAGGTATTAGGCATAAGCTGGGCTCTAGCAACATCCTTGTTCACCTTGTATCCAAGGAGGAAGAGGGTACTACAAGCTTACTACCCTGAGAGGAGTGAATAAAGAACCCTAGGTAGGACAGAACATTTAGCTTGGACACATGGAACTAGTATATACCTTGATATTCTCAGGGATGCTGCGGTAATCCCTGCTGCTAGCATTCATCCTGTAGATTTTCCTGCTGTCCACATGTTTCAGGAGGAGCTGACAGAGCAGGTCAGAGGCACTGTTGGAGGGGGCGCAGGCAAGCACGTGGGAACCCTCAACATGCTTTAGTACCTGAGTAGAATAGGGAAATAATACTGGGGGACTGGTGACCAGCCAAAGAAAACACTTCCAGGCTTATAAGGAACGGTAGCATTTAGAGGGCTCAAGAGTTACCCTGAGACTGGTCCAGACTTGCAGGATGCAAGATGGGGATGATAACAAACCAGTTAGGTTTCTGCAAGACTCTTGAATTAGGTGAGTATCCCGGTTCCATCATTTCAATACTCTTAAGCAAGTCTATTTCTCTCCCGCATTTAATAGTACAGTGGTACCTCGGGTTAAGAACTTAATTCATTCTGAAGGTCTGTTCTTAACCTGAAACTGTTCTTAACCTGAAGCACCACTTTGGCTAATGGGGCCTCCTGCTGCTGCTGCACCGCCGCTGAACGATTTCTGTTCTCATCCTGAAGCAAAGTTCTTAACCCGAGGTAATATTTCTGGGTTAGCGGAGTCTGTAACCTGAAGCGTCTGTAACCCGAGGTACCACTGTATACTCAATGCTAATCTAATCACAGTGATCAAGTTCTCTCCTCACCTGATTAATGGCCTCCACCATAGTGACTGTCTTGCCCGTACCTGGTGGCCCAAATATAAGGTACGGGGCTGGTCTGGACATGCCTGCTACCACCTGATAGACAGCTTTCACTTGCTCTTGGTTGCTCTCCAGATTCCGGTCATATAATCTGAAAGAGTGAGTGGGAAGAGTGAGTGAGAAAAAAGAAGAGGTACCAAAGCGCAGGGCAAAGAGAAAGTAAAAAGGCACGTTCATACCACATACTCATATGAACCCTCAGCTCTAAGACCTCCATACAGTTAGGGCATTTCCATGGCAGAAAGGGACCTTTGTCCACTTCCAATCTCTCCCTGCTTCCTTTCCATACACTCACTTGAGCAGCTGACCGGCAGTGAGTAGAGAATGTCCCAGTGAGAAAGATGGGAATAGCAGGTTCTGAAGTTGCGTCTCTTGGGCAAGGTCAACGGCACGATGCTGGACTCGTAACGGCAGACGACAGAAGGTGAAGTTCACATCAAACTTCATTTTATTGATGAAGCGAGATGTCAACCTGGGAAAAGGAAAGGGTGCTGAATAAATTACCAACAAGCTCTGGGCATCGCTGATCTCAGGTCACTCTTGCAGGCTACCAATTTCCACCAACCTTTCTAGCTCCAACTTACATACCCTTCCCCCACACAATACCACCTGCTGAATCCATCAGCTTGAGAGCCACCTGCTGCCAATTCAGGCCAATCATAAAGTCAAACTATCCAACTACACTGCTTCCCTTTCCCTTTCAACTACTTCCATTTCCCCCTTAACCTTCAGGGCAATCCCACCCCCAACCCGCTTCAGCCATTCTTCAAAAGGCCACAGACCAGAACTGCTCCACTTCATCTGCTGGTCCCACCTGACCTGCTGGAACTAATGAATTTGCTTTCCAATACTGTCTACCAACCTCCTGGACTTTGCTTCCCCTTCTTTCTTTTGCCTGCCTACAATATTGCATCTCTTGAGTTTTGTCCATCTGATGGTGTCTCTAGCAAGTGAAAATCTTGGTTTGACAGCTCCTGACCCAAAGGATATCCCTTTGCTTTTAACAGCCAAGTGATGAAGAAAGGCAGAGCAGGTTCTGCAATGTTGTGAATTACATCTGCTACATGTCCACAAACACAAAATTACAAGTAGCCACACCTGAGTTGGAAATCTTAATTCCATTTTCAATGGAAGGAGGTCTAAACAAAGCCTCAGGCCGGAGGACTCACCTGTCAGAGAAGCCCAGCTTGAGTTTATCCCATTCCACAGCATGGACATAGCCCTTGTATTGGACAATCGGGTGCCGTTTGCGTTCTTCAGCCAATGTTACTAAAATATGATCACCTCTCAGGACTGATGGGCGGTTCTCGGCCACACCAGGTGCCTAGAGCAGAAAACAGAACCCAGTCTGAGAGGCAACCATGCCCTTTTAACTTCATGCTCCCAATAACTACCTGAAGAGGGGAAGGCGGCATCTTGCACACAATCTGGTCCTTTCCATTGGTGCCTCCTCAGCTGACTTCTACATTTGACTTGCTTGCCCCCTTCCTGCTCTCCAACTGGTTCACCTCTACCACTCTCTTCACTGCTCAGCACTGAATTGGCATGTTCCTCCTCAGCACCAAAGGAAAGGGGCACCATGAAGTCCTTGAGATCTCCTCTCACCTCCCCAGGTACTGGAAACAGCTGAGGAGTGCACATTAGGGTATTCCTCAGCTCCTCCTAGTGTCCATCAGTGGAGAGGCGCTGGGATCTTAATGTGCTGGGAGGGGGAAGGTTGTGTGTTTTAGTGTGGATGGTAGGAGAGAGGAGCCCAGGCCTGCCAGCAAGTGCCCCAACCCACACTACATGCAACCCAAAGCCCAATCCACATCCCTGATCTAACTGCTACATATGATTCACACAATATGAGAAACTCTCTTCTCTAAGAGAACTCTTTGTCTGCTGCTTACCGTCAGGACAAGAAACGGACTATTCTTGTCTGCTTCCATGCAAACATCGGACTGATCGTATCGATGAATGTCCACCTCCATCTGGATCTCCTCTAGGTAAAGGAGCAGATGAAACTTCTTACTGTAGTTGTCAAACTGCAAGGCAGCTTTCAGGTCGCTCCTATGGAAATGAATCATAGTATCAAATCAAATTTAACCTTCTCAATTCATGAAGTTGGAAGGAACCTCACCGGTTACCTGGTCCAACTTCCGGTCAATGCAGGAAATCGACTACTGCAGCAGCATCCCAAACCAGGAAATGCACTGAACCCCCAACAGGGAGCCATCCAACTTCTGCTTATAAACCTCTAAGGCAGGCGAGTCCACCACCTTCCAAGGGAGTTTGTTCCACTGTTTAACAGTTTGTAAAAATATAGCAATATGCGCTTAATAAGGGAAGAAACATTGGAGGAGGGGGGCGGTCTTACCTGAGCTGTGCAATCTTCTCACGGGTGCCATCTTTGGGTGCGTCACCTTTATTCATGCATTCTACCTGATCCTTCAGGTCTTTTGGGTAGTTGTAGTGCTGCAGAGGTATTTTTTGCTCAAGGTCATAGTTCAAAGTGCTAGAGGGGTAAAAAGCAGTGCAAGGTTTTATTGATTAATGTCACGTGTAACAGGACAACCCCCAGTTGTAGCAATGCTAACTCCCGTATAGCATGTAAGCTGTCAATCTGAGCAGCAAGCAAACAATTCCAGTTACCACCGAGCAATACTTCACTTTCTCTCACAGGAGAATTAATTCAACGATACAAAGTCAAAGGGCGTGGCACTCTCACCCTCTGGTGACCCACCACCTCCCTTTGGTGTTGACCCTTATATGTTTGGCCTGCTGTCCTGCAGAAGCCCTCCTATCTAGTCTGTGGGCTGGGAGGCAAGTCAATTAATTGCATCTGTTTGCACTTGTCTACTCCTCAGGAGTCTCCTGACTGCTAGAGCAACCAGTAAGTACGTGTGTGCAGCTGCAGTGCTTGTGGCATGAGCAGCGGCTGTGACAGTTTCCTCAATTTGCAGATGTGCTCATAGGCCCCCAAAGGTTGCTGATCCCTGGTATAGAACATTAGGTTCTGCACAGTCTCCCTGTAGGCAGTCTGCAACCTTTACTTGCAAGTTCAACAATGCCCCACAAATTCCCAGAATGGGCAATTGCAAGGAAGATCCAGGAAACTCTCAAAGCTCTACATGGATGGCCAAATTCACAGAAGCATGTCAACCTCTTGATGATTATACCAAGTGGTTCCTAGCATTTGTGGAACAATAACCATGGATCAAACACTATAGACAGTGCTTTGATATGCAGTGATGCAGATAATTGGATGTGAGGTGGTATATTTACAAGCAGCAGCTCCTTCGACTCCCTCCCATTGTAGGAAGAGCCTGGAATATGGACAATGCCATCAACTGACAGAGACTAGAAGAGATAGCCATAAAAATTTATCTGTATTATAATTGTACCTTTCTGTGCATTTTCATTGTAAGCTGCTTTGAGAGCAAATATTGGTTAAAAAAAAATGTATCAATACACAAGTTAAAATTTCACCTGACTTTTCAGACACAATATTATCCCTTTCTGCGGATGCCATCTACATGTTTGAGTCTCACTGGATGAGAAGTGGCTGAGGCAGAGCTTTCCAAACTGTGTGTTGCAGCACATTAATGTGTCGGCTGCAGTGTGTAGGTGTGTCACGTGAACACTCCCCGCACTCCTCCCGGGGCTGGAAAGAAGTTAGTTTAACCTCTGGTTTGCTAGTAAAACTGAATTACTGTATTGCGAATGATACATGTCTAAAAATTGTGTCACCAACATGAAAAGTTTGGAAAGCTCTGAGCTACATACACATGCATGAATCAATCAATCCCCCACCTAGATAGTTCATGAATGACTTATCTCAAGGAAGATTTAGGAGAAAGAATGAGGTGAAGACTTCGGAATGCTTATGGAAGGACATAAACAAGCAAGAGGTCTAACTCTATCTGAAGTCCAGCTCCATGCAACAACTCAGATGTTGCCTATTACAGTCATACTTTGGCTCCTGAATGCCTTGGTACTCATACGTTTTGGCTCCCAAACCCAGAAGTGAGTGTTCCGGTTTGTGAATGTTCTTTGGAACCCAAACGTCTGATGCGGCTTCCGACTGGCTGCAGGAGCTTCCTGTAGCCAATCAAAAGCTGCACTTTGGTTTCTGAATGTTTTGGAAGTCGGACAGACTTCCAGAACGGATTCTGTTCGACTTCCAGTGTATTTATTTAGCACTGATAGAAAGCTAGGTGCTGTGCAGCGTCAAGTTGAGAGTTTTAAGTATCTACATCAGCTGGGAAAGACATCAGAAAGGAAAAACTTAAGAGACTGAGTAATTCAAAGGAAGGAAGGAAGGAAGGAGTGTTGGGATGGCAGGAGAAAAACAGCTAGGAGACAGCAAGACTGGTTAAGGACAGAGTTCTTAAAGAGTATAAATTTGAGAAGTGGTTGGACAAAGAAGGAAGCAAGAGAACATAACACTAACAGAATCCCCACATACTTTTTTGGTGCAATGCCTTCCACTATCTCAACTTCCTGTGGCTTGTGCAGTTTGGCTTGGTATGGCTTGTAAGGTGCTGAGGGAGCCAGCTGTTCTTCTAATTTACTGTGAGCAACAGCAGACATGAAACGTCCAATGATGAAGCGTCCAGTCTGTGCACTATCAAAATCAAACATCATGGTGACAGGAAAGTATCCGTAGTCCTTTGTCTCACAGCGCACTCGGATCCTATACGTTTCTCCTGAAAGTAACAAAGCCCCTTAACAGTACAAGCTATGAGGAGGGAGGAGGGTGCCTGTTTCTCAGTCTTTCTAGTGTAATTCCTAACAACAATATCTGAAATCAGGGGACTGAGATACATGCCCTCCAGAATATGTAATGCAATTTATTAACTGTTAACAGATCATCTGGTTTTAAAATGTATCAAGTAAACAGAAAATGTTAATGGTTTGTGGTAACTTATTTTATATTTCATCTAGCAGAATATAAAATATTTGCTTCTTGAACACACACAAAACATGCTAGGAATTTTTTTTTTTGTGCTTTTATGTGTCATCTTAAAGGTAGTGATAGGAAACAATTTAATTTTTTTTTTTAATTCTGGAGGAGGACGAGGGGCAGCCAATAGGGTTTCTCCACATAGTTTTGATCAGATTTTCCCTTTCACTACCATGGTGGTTTCAATTCCATGAAACTGAGGGAAAAATTGTTTCCAAAAAAGAACAAGACCCTTTTTGTTTTCCCCACCAATTTTAAATAAGCACCTCCCCACCAACTTTAAAAAGTGCATAGCAAAAACCTTCAACCTATTTGGCTGCAATTTGGCAGGATTCTTACCTAGGGATACCTCTCATATCTGTTAATTTTCATAACAACTGCCCAAATAATGTTAGGAGAGAGTAACTCTTCCAAACAGTAAAGGCTGCCCTTATCCTTCTGTAATTTGGCAGGATTCATCCCCTCAGGAGGGAGAAAAATATATAAATTTTAAAATATGCCCAGCACAAAATCCCCATAATCTATATCTCTATTATCTGGTAGGCTTTATCCACTCAGAAGGGTTACTATGCCTGCAAATTTCATCCACTTCTGTCAAAAGGTAAAAAAAGGGTGAAATCCATATAGTGAAAAGGGGGAAGAATTAAGCTTAGTTTTTCTGAAGTAGATTTTGCCTTGGACCCCAAGCCAAACCACAGACCGCAGCAAACTGAATCAGGGTCTAACTCAAACTGACCCTCAATTCATCTTCAATGACATTTCAGACACTGCCCTGCACCCACCAGCACCCATTTAGTGACATACTCTCAAATTTCCAAGAAAATATATATCAACAACAATACTGTTAATATATATCAATGACAATTCCGGATTTCTAGTAAAATAATAAATATAAAAGGCTTATATGCTTTTTGTGCTAGAGAAGTCCTTTCAGTTTGGGTGAGAAGTTGCTTGAATAATTTGTAAGTTGGTTGTCTCTGCACTGGCACTACTTTCCCTTGGAGGCTCACTAAAGTCCAAGTTTGAGCATATTCCACATGAATGGAAAAACTTTTTGAGCTGACCTTTGGGGTTTTAAGGGGTTTCAACAATATTTTTGCAACTATTTAATTGGACGGTAGTGAGATATTTTACATATCTCGTGGTTACCCAATTTAATCCCCTTCAATGGGTTAACCAATACATTTCAACAAATAAGCACATAAGTTACCTGGCTGTAATTTCACAGGTAGCTGTTTATAAGAAAAGATAAATTCACGACGTCCACGTAGTTTTCTGAAACTCGACAGCGTCACTTCATTTTCTCCATTATTTTGTACCTCTATTACAATATTCTTTACTTCATTTCGAGACACATGCAAACTGATTTTACCATTCTCCCCATCACAACTCGAAACAATGTCCACTCCATGCTTCTTGGAGACCAATTCGGCTCTAGGGAATTGAAACAGCAGAGTAACAAGTTCCTAAAATATTCTATCCTATATACACATCTGCAATTGCTCCGAGATAATGCCCCATGTTCTGATGTGGAGTTATTCAGAGGGTATCAATGATATTCTAACATTATTGTACAGCAGGAAGTAGATATAATGACCCAGTATCAAAAAGAGGAACTGAACCCATTACAGCAACACTTTTTAATGCCAACCAAATCTGCACTCAGCCCTGAAGCTCACTGAGTGACCTCAGGCCAGTCACTGGCTCTCAGCCTTAGCTACCCTCACAAGATTGTCGTGAGGACAAAATGGGGAAGAGAACTATGTATGCCACCCTGAGCTCCTTGCGGAAAGAGTGGGATAAAAATGTAACAAACAAACAAACAAACAGCAGCAGATAGTCTGACATCACTTATCCATGCCAAAATTTTCTCCAGGTTAGACTACGGTAGTGTTGTGCATGTCTCTGAAGGCTGCTCGAAAGTACAGTTAGTAATCTAACAAATTCATCCAGCACTAAGCGGGACTGGATATTATTATCATATTTTGCCTCTACAGCACAGTGGATCCAATTTGAAGTACTGAGTCATTATTGGCTTTTTACATTCAAAGGCCTTGGAAGTTTAGGACAGGATACTTGTGAAGGCCCTTCTGTCTTCATAAGACCTTCAGCTGAGGGGCCCCTGGGAATGCCCCTGCTATTGGCAATGTGACTGGCTTCTTGAGAATCTTGGATTTAAAATGTTGCTTTCAAATTTTATTTTCTTGCAAGACTGTATTGAGCCCCCTGATCTGCCTAGCTTTTGTGAGAGTTAAGACAAAGACCAGAATTCTTTTTCCACATCCGCAAGGCTGCATGTATACTATGACACACATACACAAATCCAAATTCCATGCAAATATAAATAACTTACCCTGCACTATGTAAATTAAGGACATTTGCATTTCCCATAATTTATTGCACTTGCTCTAGCCATACGTGAGGAATAAGGGGCTAAATGGATTCTGATTATCTACCCCTAGTGAGCTAGTCAGAGTGAGCTCACAGTTTATGTTTTCAAGTTTATTTCCACAGCAAAGAGGGCCGAAAATGTTTTCTTAAATAAAGATGAAGATTCCAAAGATTCTGAAAACAAGGGCCAACCCCAGCCCGATTTTCAGTTATGTGGTAGGACTGGGGACTCGGGGAATGCAAAGACCTATCTCTGAAATGCAGAGTGCTAGAAAGTTGTGCTCACACACAATCCCAGTCTTTTAAGTCTTCATCATCTCCTTCGTTACCTGTCCTTAGCACGTGACCTGCGAGGAGGTGGGGCAGCACCTGGGCTTTGGTCCTGGTTAGGCTGATCTCCAGCATCATAGCTTGGTCTCCAGTACTGATCAGTAAACTTTACTTTTTTCTTTACCTACACAAGGGGAACAAAGTGTAGTGACCATGAACAATTGGAAGACTCTGAGAATAAAGTTCATAGCAGGAAGCAGGGAGTTCATAATGGGTCATACTTTGGATTCAATACAATCCAACTTCAGAAGGAGCCTTCTCAAAGTGCCCCACCATTGGGGGATATTTTCAGTAGAACCCATCTCTACATACTAGATGGAAACTTGTGTTCAGGGCTGCGTATCCTCTCTGGTTTAAAACAAACAAGAACAAATCCAAGACTTTTGCAGCAAGATTAACTCTGATTCCGTGTCAAATAATCTAAGTACAGCTACTTGTATAAATTACTGATTTGCATATACTTTCTTTGTTCTGCTTTTGGCAGCTTCTTGCTCAATGGAAAAGAGTTTAGCACAGCAATTAAGGGAGAAGCAGACTCGAGAATGGAAAAAATTGTTGGGCCAGCCAGCCTGTGTCCTGTATAGAAGGAATTGCCGGATGCCAAGTGAGAACAACAGTGCATTCGACTCAGCCCTGTCTACACTATTTGGTAGCTGCTTCCTGGAGTCTCAATCAGAGGCTCTTTCCAATTAACAGCCTTGAAATGTGTCAATGACAGGTGCCAGTAAATTAACTGCGTGAATTCTGTGTTCCTTTAGTTTTTGTGGGCTTGTGGCTTCTGAGGCTTCCCTCTCACAGAAAATCTGGGTACAAGGGTGGCTTGGTTTCTTCCTTCCCAAGAATGCAAAAAGGAACCATAATTTTTTGACATGGTACAGTCAAACAAGTTGATTTTGCTGTCTAAAGAGCTGAAATGGATGAATTAATAATATATGGGGACACCACTGTTATTGTTCAAGTAAACTGAGAAAGATTTACATTTTAAAAAATGTGTAAAGCAAAAGAGAGAGTGGGAGAGGGTAGACCCTAAAGATATACAGTACTGGGCCTCCATACCACCTCCCACTTTAACAGGCCTCAAGAGACATATGTTTTAGTCTCCATCAGGCCTCGTAGCTGCTCAACACAATGTATCAGATGAGGAGTCAAAAATCAATAAGATAATCATCTCTCACCCTTCCAAACATCACAGAGTCCCCACGGAACTCGGCAAGGCCAAAGCGCCAGAGTGCATAGAGAACAGCTGAGAAGTTAGGTCCTCTAACATCATGTCTGCCAACACAAGAAACAGAAAGAAGACCGTTATTCAACAAAGGAAGCTAAATTGAGCAGGACCATTCTGATGGATTAACATCTAACTCAGTACACATAGGGACTCCCCTTTTCCAACACAGTTGATAGAAGGAATTTTTTTCCTAATAAGTTCTTGCATCACTGCAGCAGGAATAAACTACAAATCTTCTGCCTTCATTGTATTTTAAAGGCACAAGAGCCTTGCCTTGCCCTGAATGTGCAGGCAGACACAAATCTGCTGGCCAAATACATCTGCTGTGTATTTCTGTGTGAAACTGTTTGTCTTTCTGTTTGTCTTATATGTACTGTACATTAAAATATAATGTACATCAAGAAGCTTAAATGAATTGTAAAAGTTCCAGGGAAGCTCCACACTACCAGAAACAATTTCTCCACAGCTAAATTGTTGCAGAAATCATTGTGCAATTGTTGAGTTTCTGTGTAACTTCTGAGTACAGTATCTGGCTTATTTTCTGAATCTGTTTATTTATCCTGTTTGGTTGAGAAGCTTATACATTAAATGCATGACATTCAAATCAATGAACAAAAACCACAAATTGGTAAACAGCATACACATCTTGGTATACAGTTTATATTTTCTGGGATGACTGTCTACATATACCTGGTTAAACTACTTTCTGCTCTCCATTTGGATTTCAATAAAAACTTAAGAGTTTGTAGCAGCAGCTTGGGCAGTTTTCATATAAACTGAGTGTAGAAGAGAACCATTATTGTTTTGTTTACTCATCTCCTTTGCCTCATGTCCTACTTGTAAATTTAGACAATTGTGTCTTACATACTTGGGACTTCCTGGGAAAGAAAGACAGGATTAACCAACTGTTTTAGAATGCCGATTTTGTTGTACTGTTACATTTTGGATAATTAAAAAGTTAGGATTTCTTTTTTAAAAGACAGGGTGGGAAGAGAGGAGCTAACAGGCCTGGAGAACATGAACCAAACAATTCAGGCAAATATTCAGAAATGTAAGAGTCGCTTCCCAGGCTCCTCAGAATAAAAACCTGGGAAAGTTCAATGTGACTTTTCCCTCTCTTTGCTTACCGAGCCTAGACAAACTCCCTTGCAAACGACCTTGAAAAACGAGCCTTTTCCTATCAGACAAATTCCAAAGGAGCAGCCAAAACAAAAAAGCAATCTTGTGCCATTATGTGTTTTCTTTACTGTGCTGCGACTCCCTACCCCACACACTTTTTTTAACATTCCAAGAATCTGAACTTAGCTACTCACTGAAAATCCTGTGCATACAAGTCTTGCCAGGAGCTAACCAAAGTACAGTCATACCTCAGGTTTCAGATGCTTCAGGCTGTGTTTTTTCAGGTTACGGACCGTCGAAGCCCGGAAGTACCAGAACGGGTTACTTCCGGGTTTCGGCGGTTGCGCATGCGCAGAAGCGCTGAATCGCAACCCGCGCGTGCGCAGATGTGGGTTGCGAATGTGCATCCCACACGGATCACATTCGCAACCCAAGCGTCCACTGTGTTTCTTTGAAGTGTATTTCATTTGGCACAGAACAGTTCAGGTAAATTAGGAGAAGCTGCTTCAAGCCATTAAAATATCTGGGGAAGGCTAGCTCAGTGGCTGTCAGGGCTGTCTGAAGCATATGCGTCGCCGGGGTGCAAAGATCCACCTGCCCCCCCCCCCCCAGTTGCTCAGTCCCAGGCATGCAGGAGGGTGGAGCCGGCCGTCTCAGTGTCTTGCTGGCTCAGTCACCCTGAAACTCGTGACGCAGAGCCACCCGCAGCAGAAGAGCCTGCCGCGGCGCTCCAACCAATGGGCGGGCTCTTCCCCGGACTCAACTCTCGGACCCCAGACTCTTGGTCTGGCACCCCTGAGAGCCCGGCACCCCACACCCCTAGTGCCTATGGGTAAGGCGGCCCTGGTAGCTGTAGTCCTCAACCTGAGCAGTACAGTATGGGGAAATTTTGTTGTTGTTTCTTACAAGCTCCGCTTCCCATGCTGCATCAGCAGCCCTGAATTTGAGTGCTAAAGTGCCTGTAACACTGAGGTGGGAAGGGGGGAGATTTCAGGGCTTGATGAGCCAGCTGGTCCCCAACTTGAGTGAAAGAGTGCAGGGAGGGAAGATTAATAAGTACTCTGTATTCAAAAGTGAGGTGCAGGTTGTGCAGACAGCAAATAAATAAATAAATAAGAGATTATTTCTACCTCAGCCACTCTAGGCGGCTTTCAACAGAACATTCAAAACAGAATAAAACTTCAAATATTAAAAACTTCCCTAAACAGGGCTGACTTCAGATGTCTTCTAAAAGCCATATAGTTGTTTACGGTATTTTCTTGACATCAGAAAGCTACAGACGAGAAATATTTCTGGGTTAGCCCACAAAGTGGAGCAAGGAACTCCTTGCAGAGCATCTCCTCTGTGTGCTGCCTGGGAAAGCTCTTGGGAGGAAGAGAAAATTTGACCTCACACCTTTCCACTGTGAGCATACAATAAACAGAACAAACAATAAACTGTTTGCTAAGCAGCAGCTTGGTTCCTTGTTGTTACCTGATATTTTCATGCTGCTCTCTTCAATCAGGTTAACTGACAGGTTTCTCTGTCCTCTCTTCAGGGAAAAATGGCTTTTCGCTAGCCTGTGATGGCAGTTTGGGGATAAAAAGGCTACCTCAGCTGGAGGTAGTGAGCAGGCTGTCTAGCTTTTCTCTTCTTACCTTAGAACTAGGTTGTTGCTCGGGAGATTTGCTTTCGATTTTTCTAATGCTCTGCTTATAGGGGAGGATTTTGCGCATACACAATGCTCAATGTAAGTCGTCCCATCCCCATCCCCCCATGAAGAGCCCTCCAAACATACAGAAACACCTATCTTGTCTGTGGATACCCCACTCCTTTTCATTTCCACATTGCTGAAAAGGAGAAGGGAGGTCACAATAACATTGCTGTCCTAGGCCCAGTTACCTCAGACTAGAATGGTCACATACTTTTAGCAGCTTAAACCTTGACCATTTATAACAGCCTTCCTACCAGTAAGACAAACAATGTTATTTGCACAGATATGGTTCTGTTCTGAGGAACACTAATCATTAATCTTTTAAAGGCATGACACAGCTTGGTCCCTTTTGCTCTTTTTCTACAATAAATTCCACCTTCTAGAAATTACAACACCTGAAAGTGACCCTTTGGTTCTCCTCCAACAAGCTCTCCAATTTCCAAACCAAACTCTAATTCTCCAGCCACATTCTTGTGCTCCCAGATTCTTAAAAACACCCTCTCAGGGGATGCCTACACTATCTTTTAAAACATTCTTCTCATTCCATTTTTTTTTTCAAAATTACAAACGTGAGCGCAGTAGAGAAATTCCTTTCCAACATCCAAAATGGTCATTTAAGAAAATCGTCCCAAAGAGGGGAAATTGCTTTTTTTAAAGCAGTTGTCAGCCTATGAGCAATAGTCCACTTCTATCTGATGCATATCAACACAACAGTCACTGTAAGCAGCTTCAAAGAGGAAGAAATTGGCTTGTATCCAATGAGCCAAACTATGCGGCTTCCCCATCCCACCTAACTCATCTATAAAATCTTTGAACAATCTTTAGCGTCTTCTGCCTTTTCACCATCCGAGACTGGGCCTCATTGTTACAGAACTCTTGTGTTGCCATTTCCACTTCCTACTTTGGTCATTTCCCGATGGCCTATTTATTGAGAATTTACCCCAAATTCTTTGAATAAAGTTTGTGGGGAGGTTAGATGATGCCAGTGAATCGGGCTGTTGTATCAGAAAATTGTTAACCCCACTTTCCAGTGCATTTTCCTGTCACTTTCCTCATTGCAAAATGTCCTGTTTTGGTGGGGCAAGGACTCTGGTCACACGCAAGTGTCAAAGCCTGAATTTGCAAGTACTTTATTGGCTCCCATCCCCAAAAAGTGACTATCTGCAAGTGCCCAATAACTCCACCAGCTAGACTGCACCGCTAAACCACAAATGCACAATTTTCATAGGGAGTCCTGGGTGTTGTTGGGTTTGTTTGAGCACTTGTGTTCATTTCAGTTGCATAATTTAGAGCCTGAGAACTGGGAGACTGAGGTGAACAGAACAAAGCTATGTATTGAGAGCTTTATTTTGGGAATATGGGAAGAATTTATTTTACCCGCTTTCCTAACCTCAACCTACCCAACCATAGCCACGTCAGACCACGAGAATCCCGGGAACTGTCGTTTAAGGTGTTGTGAATTACAGGCCTGGGATGGGCAAACTACAGTTCCCATAGTTCCCTTTTTTATTATTTTGGGTGGGGAAGGGAATGTGCTTTGAAGATCTGGTACTTTACAGAAAACATGGCTGTAGGCTGCTCTGAACCCACCAGAGAAGGCGACGTTTAAAGATCAACAGGATGTTGCATGTTTCAACCAAACCATTCTGAAACCGGTCTACTTATCCTGGAGGCCAACCCATCCAATCTTCTCCTCGGGGCCCTTCCTTTCCTTCGCCTACTACCTTTCCTCTGAGCACTGTCTAACTCCCTCCCTTCGACCCCACACCCTTGCTCCATTTTTCTTCTCCTCAGACCCTTCTCTCGAGCGCTAATATGTAAGGCCGAACAACTGAGAGAAGCCACCCCAGCCTTTTCCCTCCCCTCGAACACGGCCGTCTGTAGTAAACCGACGTGCCCCATTTTGCGCCACGGATGCGCCTTTGCGCTGCGCCGAGAACGCAGCCGGGCTGCTTGCCAAACTCAAAAAGGAAAGGCGTCGGGGCGCGCGAAGTTCCGCTCCACCGAGGAGACCCAGAGGCGAGTTTGAATGAAGCGAGAGGCCCGGGGGGGGGGGTCCCACTCTGGGCAAGCCTGGGCTTGCTGCTCAGTAGGGATTCCAGCGCTTTCCCCTTCATTCCAAAGCCAGGAAGCCGAGAGGAAAAGCCTCCTGCGCTGCAGAGATGCTGGCCGCTCCGCCATCCTTGAACCTCTCCGCCCCCCATTGCTCTCGTCTACTAACCTGTACCGAAACTCCTGATTGTAGATCGCCGCCAGCTCTTTTTTGTTGCTCACTTTTTCCTTGCCAGATTCCTTTAGGGACTGCAGGAATCGCTCTCCGATCTCCTTATTCTCCCTTACGGTGCGTTTAGGCATCGTGGTCGTTTCCTCGCCTCCGCTCCCACCAACAAGCTCCAGCAAATCCGCCTGCCCGGCTTCCCTCCGCCTGTGAAATGATCCAGCCTGCAGCTGATCTGCTTGCAAGACTATCGGCTCTGAACCGGAAGAAACGAAACTGAAAGCTAATGGCCAGGCTGACTCAGGCTCCTCGTCAAGCCTGGGAAGGGTGGAGACAAACCAATCGCCTCTTCCCCTGCCAATCCAAGGATTCAGGCTTGCTGATGGTTTTCCTTTTTTTTTTATCAGTCCACCCATGGGGTGGGGAAAGAAATAAGGAAGGAGGGGAAAGCACAATTCTATAACCTGAGCTCAATGGTCGAACGCTTAGACGTGGAACAGGTGAAGAAATAAGTAAGAACTGTGAATATGTACAAAATAACTTTTGCTAAGTCTTTAATAACGAGGATTATGACTGTTCCTCTTGTTAGGCAGGCTGCAAACCTCTATTCATTCAGTGGGGCTTGAGTAAGTAAAGATAGGATTGCACTGCGAAGCAGCAGATTTTAGGTACTATTAAAAGGCACCAAACATTCAGTTGTTTTAATACGTTTTTCACTGCCATCAGAAGAGGCAGATTTTTAATTTCTGCCTCAGGTATCAAAATGGCTTGGGGCATTCTCTAATTTGGAGGCAGGAAGTTTGGCTCTCTCAGCAAGCTGACTTTCACCAACTCCCATTTTAGAAATTTATCCATACAATAGTGACTTAGCTCACAGATGGGTGCATTTTTTGATTAAAAGTGCTTTATATTGCAATTCTGTGCATTTCTACTCACAAGTAAGCCTCATGTATTTCAATGCAGGTTAAAAGGTAAAAAGGTAAAGGGACCTCTGACCATTAGGTCCAGTTGTGACTGACTCTGGGGTTGTGGCGCTCATCTTATTGGCCGAGGAAGCTGGGTACAGCTTCCGGGTCACGTGGCCAGCATGACTAAGCCGCTTCTGGCGAACCAGAGCAGCGCACGAAAACGCCGTTTGCCTTCCCGCCGGAGCGGTACCTATTTATCTACTTGCACTTTGACATGCTTTTGAACTGCTAGGTTGGCAGGAGCAGGGACCGAGCAATGGGAGCTCACCCCGTTGCGGGGATTCGAACCGCCAACCTTCTGATAAGCAAGTCCTAGGTTTAACCCACAGTGCCGGTAAATAGGTGTAGAGTTGCATTTTCATTAAATATGCCCAATAACTCAGGGTGGCCCACAAGTGTTCTCAAAACCAGGTTTAGAACAGACACTAGTAGGTCCAAAGTGTATCTAATGTTGATTCAGTAACCTGAGTCCTTTTAGATGGCTTTGTCAGTTTATGCAGACCCTCCCTTGATAATTAAAAAAGTTTTGTTCCTGTGTCTCAGAGGATGATCAGCAGTAGCTAAACAAATACGTAGTCGGACAATTCCTCCTTATCAGCATTTCTCCAAAGTCAAATATCCTTCCAAAATTATCTCCATTGTGATTGAGGCATCCCAATATACTGATACAGACTTTGGCATTTGCTTTAGATCTCAGAACTGCATTGTTTAATCTTAAAAGCAAGACCTGTAAAAAAAGAAGAAGTAAGACCTCTTCCAACATACACTCCCATGCTATTTTCCCATTTCTCTACCCATCCACCATCAGTTAGGAAGCATGAATTTTCTTGATTTCTCAGATGAACTTAAAATCAAGTGGATAGCAGACTTTTTATTATATACTTCATTGCAGATTTCTAAACTTACGTGTAAGCTATTTTAATCTTAAACTTTATACCTACATTTTTATAATTATTGAAAAGGCTGCATATATGTGAGATGGGCCAATGCAAGATCCATTTTTATATGCATGAGCAAGACCGACTCCATCTTGTGTAGCCATCTCCATCTCAGTTATGCTTGCTAGCATCAAAAGCTTAAGGTGAAGCAGGACTACCTGGATGAATTTTACCCTTATGATTTCTATATAATCATATATCCATATATAACCATATATCTTTATGATGATTTCTATATACCCATGTATACGAAGGGTGTTTGAATCATGAAGGCTTCTGCAGAGCTAAATGCTTAGATTTTAGAAATCCAAAATGACCTCTGCCCCATTTCTCCCTCCCCCCCGTTCTTCTAATGCACTCAGTGGTTCGCCAACATAGTAGGAAGCAATAAATCTGATGTGCTGGTACTTTCCTCCGTCCAGGCAAGCCCCATAGCGGCTAAAAACAGGAAAACGCTAACCACCATGTCTCTGTTTATAACAGATGGTGTGTAGGAGGGTTACCAACATTGTAATGGGCAAATAAGTTTATTTTCTCCTTTCTTACTATAAATCAGGAGAAAGGTCAGGCTGATGTACCGTCTGAGGAAAGCAGAAGTTGGGGAGGATTCTTTACATGGTCAGGGGCAAGGTTTATGCATGCGTTCATTGGTTTGATTTTTGCTGCCATATGCGATTATATACGATTATGTCATGTTTTATGATGTATGTACTCAGGTATAAAGCCTTAGGGCGCTAGAGCTTCGGCGGCGCCCAGTCTTTGGAAATCATTCCACTGGGTCATTATTGCTCAGCAATAAAATACCACTTTCTTTTTCTCCATTGCTGCGTCTGTCAATTCTTGGACACAATTTGAGTGGGCCACATGTACTTTAAAAATCCTTCCAACAAAGGCATGAGCCCAGATTGCTATTGCATGTGTTTCATAATATGGTGTTGTGAGGAGGTTTGGTGCCCTGTGGGGGGAAACTGTCCACACAGCCTTAATTCTGTAGGATGTGGTTAAGTAGACATATACAGAGAATTTCTGGTGGTTACCTATTGTGGAAATATTATCTCATTTACTTGTACGTATAAAAGGATTTGGAAACCCATCTGAGGTTTTCCAGCTCTGAACAAGCTTTGCGGTTTGCTTGTCAAGCAACCTTTCTTGTCTGTAGCTTGAAATAAAATCTGATTCTGCCTGTTTGAAAGAAGCACTTCCTGGACTCTCTCATCATTGCTGGGACAAAGTGACTCGGCCATGTCTGAACCTCGGATGTGCTTTCACCCACATCATATGGTATGTTAACATTTACAGCAATAATAGTTCTTATGCTTGGGGATGACACACCATACTCCAGCATTCTAACAATTTCAATTAAATGTGATATTCCTCAGAGGATCATTGATTCAAAAGGCAAAATATAAATCTTTTAAGTAACTGACTAAAATACAGGGAAAATAGCCTAGCTTTAGCCCAGAAAACCTTAGAACACCAAGTAGCCCAAACAAAAGACAGTTACTTAAAGGCAGTCTTTAGCAATTTCATTCAAACTAAGTAAACATAATGAACTATGAAAAGCTGTGGCCAGATCATCATTTTCCAGTGAAGTCCCTTCATTTATCCCATGATTGGTAACAAGATGGTAGCTGGTTGAAAACAGGCATCAGAGAGTAATAATTAATGCACATTTTTCATGACAGTTGGAAGTACTTTTGTATCAATATTGGCATTGCTATTAATTTAGGCATGAATGTTTGGGAATCGGGTGAACGTCAAGGTAGCCAGTTGCAGTCACCAGATTATTTAAGAAGGTAAAATGCCACGTTGAATTATGTGAAACATTTCTTCAAACTGAATAAAGGGGATGTTCAACCTAAGTGAGCATGGACAGGGTACATGAGCAAGTTGTAGCAATGACGCTCCAGAGGTTTTAGATGAAACTGATTATATGGTTCCATTCCAATTTAGATTCCGGACTGATTTTGGTACGTATTGCTCTAGTGGATTATCTACACTGGGGGAAGGTTAGATAGGGGGAGCACGTGACCGTGTGTGTTGCTATATTCATAGGATGTCTATCTCCATTATCAGGAAAACATGGTGGCTTGGAAATGGGCTTGAGGATCTTGATCTAGAGTTGGGCCAAAGAGACAGGTTGCAGATTGTTAGTGGTACATTGCTCATTTCACTAACCAGCAGCTTCCCCAACAGAGCTGGTGCAGATGGCTTCCAATGAGTTGTTGGAAGAACCCAGGAGACTTCAACATTCACAGGGAGGCCAGCTTGAGATTTCATGGCCTCCATGATAACCATGGGGTTGTCCCAAATTGTCAGCCAAATGCACAGAGTGAGGCATACCCTCAACTTGGTATTTGGTCCAAGTGGCATCACTGGTGAAGTCTGGGCTTACGGTAGCACATTTCCTTCAATCAGAAAATTCAGTGTGTAGCCTTGAGCTGCCCTCAAATCCATCTGTCATTGGAGTTGAAGGTGGCCATATTTGGCTTGTGCAATAGCTGCAGCCTTGCCTGGATAGGATAACTTAACTGCAATAGTCCAGACATCAATCACCTCCAGATTATATCACTGCAATGCACTCTATGTGCCCCAAGGTCTACTCGGAAGCTGAAGCTGTTGTAGAATGCTCCAGAAAGACTGTAGGCGATGCCCTAGTAACAGCATATAATACCTGTGCTGAAATTGCTGCTGCATTGGTTGCCAATATGCTACCAGGCCAAGTTTATTGTCTTGCTATTGGCATATACTGTACTGGCCAGAATAAGTTGGGACCAGGTTACTTCCAGGAATGCCTTACTTTGTATACCATTGCCTTGTCATTTTGATCTTTGGGAGCGTTGCAACTGAAGCAAGACCACCTCCATCTTCGTCATAATTGAAGCAAGACAAATGCCAGCTTGTTGCAGGCTTACAACATAATCATGTATTCACACTGTGATCACGCTGAAATGCAAACTTAAAAGAGGAACAGAGAAAGTGCAAACCATAAGGGTGTGAAGGGAGAGGGAAGGGTTAACCCCACCATGTATTAGGGCCCCAGCTAACAGCTGTTCCAGTTATGCCAGTTAACAGTTGCTCCAGTTATGGCTGCACAGTTGCTTCAGCTATGTAGGCCAGCAGTGGTTTCCTGCCTGGCTTCCTGCTTCAGTTATGCTAGGTATGCAAACATATAGAAGCTAACAGACATATAGAAGGGGGGGGAGGAGCTTAGCTAGCATAATAAGGTAATGAATTGTAACTCTGCCAGCTGATTGGGGAAACAATTGAGGAAACAAGTGTGCAACTGGGTATAAGAATGCTTGTAAGACACAATAGAGGGGCCGCCAGTATTTGGAAGCTATTCCGCTGGCTGCCTCTGCGCAGACTTGCAATAAACTTTTTTCTGTGTGAAACCACACCCAGGTGTTGCTTGACTCCTTCACGCTCCTGGCGAGGGTACGAGGTGACTGGATCCGGACCCTGGGATCAGATAAGCTAACAGGTGTGTGTGTGTGTAAATTAAAGGTTTAAGAGTGTGCAAGGGCATGACATTTAAAACAAGGGTATAAACAGGAAATACATAGCTAGTGGAAACTTCTGTCTTTGTGGTCAAGCTGGCAGTAAGACTATTTTGGGATGTCTCGAATGTGCAACCTATATGACTATAAAAACTGTTGTGTAAACAGATCAGGGTTCACCCTCTGATTAATTTCCTGATCACTGCTGTAACCTTTCCTGCTCAAGCAAGAAATAAAAGTTTTTTAGATAATTCTTGGGTGTCACTCATCACAGTTAATGAGTAAAGGACTCGGCTGGGCAACTGACCTCAGGTGCGGTTTTCCCACATCAGGATACACATTCTTAGTATAGAATTCTGAGGTTAGTCTTATGTCTGCCAATATCAAAATTGTTAGTCTTGCACTTTTGAATGTGATTCCAATGAAAAACAGGCAGACACCACAGTATTGGTATGTAGGTGCCTGCTTAAAATTTACCTTTTCACCCAGGCTTTTCCCAGAGGGTCATCTTGCTAGTTGATATAGCCATCTGATCTACTGATTCTGATCTACTGATGCATTGTATTTTACTTTATACTGCTCACTGCCATGAACTATACAGGATTCCTGCTCCACCTGCTGCAAGCAGTGCTGAATAAAAATAAAGAAAAAAAAAGTTTCCAGAAATATACTATGTGGAATGACAGGGCCTACATTTGTTTTTAGTGACCCAGAATATAAAAAATGGGATCTTTGTAGAAAGCTTGCTATAAAGATCCAGCAATAATGATTACCCCTGACAAATACTGCAATCAGAGAAAATGTGTTGGGAATAAAACAACAAAGGATGGTTGGCGATCTGGTATCAGAATTGGCATTCAGGACTAAATGGCCTTTGGTCCAATTTAGCAAACATTCTCATGTTAGGAACCAATTCCCAGTATCTCCAAAGTCTTTAAGGATTTAAAATCTCAACAAATAGTCAACCAAGCAGTGTTTTCTGAGCATGTCAAAAGACTGGTGACACGAAGAAATGCGATGGTGCAAATCTTTTATTGACCATTTAGACATGTCCATTCATACATCTCTGGGACAAATGCAATGAACTTGCCACAAAGCATTAAAGCACAAGAAACCCAAAGTTCATTAAACATTTACAGTTTTTCATTTCTGTAATTTCTTCCTCCATCTAAACAAAACATCTCTGCAGCAATCAGACAAGTATTAAAAAAGGAAAATGGAGAACCCATCCTGTAAAAATGCAGATGTCTAAATTAACCGTACTTCCAGGAAAGAACAAAGAAAAAAGTAGTTCACTTGAAGAGAATGTGGCTCAAGTCTTTGGATTTAAAAAACAAAAACAACTCCTCCCAAAAAACACCTTTCCAGAGGACCTGGCCTTCTTGGGATTTCTGGGAGAAATCTTGTAAACAACCTGCAAACATGAAAAGCTAAGCCTAGAGGATATTGCTAGGTGGTGATTGGCAGTTTTTTTTGGGGGGAGGGACAGGTCATGACAAGTTGTATCTGGTGCAGTGCAGCACCTTAAAGCTGCCAGCAGTCCCATTAAGCTGAATACAATACCTGGACTGGTGGCAAGGAAACAATATTTCCAGCACTACCCAGCCTGCATTTCTAGAAGGACTTCCTTAGCAAAGAAGTTTACCAACCAATATAAGGACAGATCGTGCTGATCCCAAAGTGGCCAAATGAAGAAAGCCTACTAGGAAATGCATGATTACTTTTACAAAGGAAATTTATGTTTATATGGCAGGGAAACGGAAAACAAGACAATGCTGTGTGTTGACAGTCCTCCATAAGGCTAGAAAACCTGTTAAGTCTGAAAGCCCTAGACAAGTGCCAACATACTAGAGAACCCACCTACTTGGCATAGGATCACCTTTGCTTTGCTTTCTTAGCATGCTAACATTGCCTACACCACCTCTGCTCCGTCCTTAAGCATTCTGCATTTCCTTGCCGATCTTGTAGCTGAGGATTTTGTTCCAGTCAATCTTGGTGCGGGTGACAGGCAGTTGGCGACGTAAGGCTTTGAACGTGGTATCTGACATTGTCTGATAATTTTCACTGATTGCTGTCTGTAAACAAGTTAGTGAGCTAGAGGTTAGAGCTTGATGATACATAAACAAGTTCCCTTAAGACTGGTTATCTCTTGACATGTTTTAGCTACCCCTTGGTTCACTCAGCCAACATGGCCAAACAAGTGGTAGAAGTACAGTTGTACCTTGGAAGTCGAACAGAATCTGTTCCGGAAGTCTGTTCCACTTCCGAAATGTTCAACTTCCAATACGCAGCTTCTGATTGATACGAAGCTCCTGCAGCTAATTGGAAGCCGTGTTCGGCTTCTGAAAGAACGTTCGAAAACCGGAACGCTTACCTCCGGTTTTCAATCAGGGAGCCGAAATGTTCAACTCCCAAGGCGTTCAGGAGCCGAGGTACGACTGTACAGTATAGCCTTTCTATGTCACCTCAATGCAAGCTTCTGAGTGAATGCTTACCCATGAAATTAGTACACTGTACAGCAAAGAAAGAAACATTAGGACTCCTTTCTTTGGGGAAAGGCCACACTTCTTTAGTAGTGTATCTGCATACAGGTTTTAGGTTCAATCTCAAGCACTTTCAGGTAGGGCTGGGAAAGTATCCTGCCTGAAACCCTGCCAGTCAGTATAGACAGTGCAGAGTTAGATGAACCAATGATTTGACTCTGTACAAGGCAGCGTCCTTTGTTCCTTTAAAAAGAACCCCACATGAAATGTATATTTTCAGGACCCACACTATTTCTTAGGATGGTAATTTTTGTAATTGTAAATTTTAAAACTGTTTTTCATGTTGTAGTTTAAAGTGTTGCAATCCACCTGGAACCTTAGGGTGAGCAGCATGGTTAACAATGACAACCAAGAGCCAGACTAGTGGTAACAGAAGATCCATGTGCTTAAATCCAGAATTGTTGCAATCATGTAGGGAAAAAAAAGGATGGGAGTGATTGGATTTCAAAAGCAAGAAATAGCCTCTTCCTACACAATGGATCTGCTGCCACACCCTACTTAACACGGTCTAAAGACTGTCAATACTATTGCCACATACTGATCTGGACAGGGCTTCAACACTCTACTGTGTACTTGGAGCCACTCTAATTCTGAATGACAAGTGTATTGTTTCCTCCAGTTCTGCTATGATACTTCCCCCTCTCCTCCTGCATATGGAACGCTGACTGCACCAGTGCAGCAACCTTTGAACCTTTGAATGAGATCACTGAAATTCCTATAGCTCACACTGCTCATGACGGCAGACATGGGCACAAAGTCCACAGGTAGAAGTGTCGCTGCCCATTGTAACAGCTGAAAGCTGGCTCTCTAAATCTGTGATTCTCTGCAAACCAGAGATAAGTAGCTTATAACTTTCTTGATCATGATATAAATACACTGACAACTGTATGATGTCCCTGGAAATTGTAGATGTATCCAGTAGACATGTAAGGTAAGTGTCTGAATTTGTACCACTATATATAAAGGGTGCGGTATAGCGCGAGCACTAGGGGCCAGATTTAGAAGCCTGGCAGGCTAGAGGTTCCCTGTGCCTAACCTACAGGCTTATGTTCTGGAAATACAGACAATTGCACATTATTCTGAAATAACTTACCAACATAGTCATGCCCTACTGTCTACTTCATTGGGGGTGGGGAGGGAGCCAGGTCAGAAACCAGGCCCCTAGTGTACAGTACCATGATAGGGAAAGTATCCATTTCCTGGAGTTATGAGTCAAATAATTAAGGATGGGAATGGGGAAAAGAATTGTTGCTCATGAGTTTCTGTTCTCAAGTCTACTCTTTATAGTTCTATTCTATCGTTATATTCACTTTTAAATCCTGCCCCAGATCTTTCTTTATTAGGCAATTTGTATAATTATATAAACCCTGTAATTATGCTTGCAGTGGAGGCTGGTCCATTAGGACAATTGAGGCACTGTCCCACCAACTAACGTTTCCTCCTTAGCCACCCCCCCATCTTACAACCAGTCCAGGAGGTGATAGCGGCTGTTGGCTTCTTACCCCTCAGTCTCAGTGTTGCCTTTGCAGAACTTAGCAAGGAGGTGGATGGGGAACAAAACTAAGATCAGTTGGCTCTGCCTGTCATTGCCTCTGGCTCCACCTCCTGTTGGCTTCTTTGCCTTCGATCCTACCAGACCCAATGGGCACCACACACATATATGACTGTATAGAGAAGAAAAACTACATTCCTTGTCAGTTATGGTGCATCCAGTAACTAAATAAATACATAAATGGGGAGATAATACACCGATTATCATAGGGCATTGCATGAAGGGCCTTGAACATGGGAACCTTACTGAAGTTTGGCAGGTCTAGGCAGTGCCTGGGCGACAGACTGCATAGGAATCCAATGAAAGCTATTGAGTTCTATTACAGAACAAAGGTGGGATATAAATGCAATAAATGGATGCAGCTTAGAAAATAAAATGTTCTTTCTGTAATCTAAAGGTGTTAATTTAAAACAAATATTGTTAAAGAACAATACTCTTACCTGGTACTCATTTTCTGCATGCTCAATGATTTTAATAAACTCCTTGGCTGTTTGGACATCATTCTATAAAGATGAACAGGCAACAATTAGCATATCAACACATGGTCAACATCTAAAAGTTCCATGGGGAACTCACATTCCCACCCAAGCTTTGGAGTGAACATGAGTACCACAGCTCCCAATCCCTCAAGATATAGTCAATTATAGACATTATATTTTGATTTATTTTTAAACGAATTACTGACTAATGGAATTGGTTAGTGTACCTGTTAGTGTTTTGAAAACCACTACAGTGAATGTTTTAAAATTCCTTTGCTACATAGTGAAAAAACAGCAAGTTTTAGGCAGAGACTGCTGTCCTTTGTAGGAAAATACAACTTAAGAGATCAAACATGTGACCTGATCTCTCTCTCCACCTCCCCCAGCAATAAACTGAAGATTAAAATTTTGGGAACAGGGAATGATGATATGTAATCTGGAACTAGATTCAGGTAGGTAGCTGTGTTGGTCTGACAAAGTCGAAATAAATAAAAAATTTGTCCAGTAGCACCTTAGAGACTAACTAAGTTTGTTCTGGGTATAAGCTTTCGTGTGCATGTACTTCAGATACACTGAAACACCAGACCATTATATCAGATCACCCATCTCCTACGACCCTTCTGAGAAAAACCCCACTCCACCCTCCCACTATATATAATGGTTCAATAAAAACATGGTTTCTTTGCAATTCTGGGATTGTGATAAAATATATTGAGAGAAGGTATGCATGCGGCACAGCATGTAGATAAAGCTGTTTTCCTGACATTAAGCCTGGAGAAAGAATACTTCCTGAAGCCTGGAGTGTTTCTTACAAATGCCCTGCTGCCCACAAACACTCATCAGGAACTGCTTGGATATTTGAGTTTGGCCTGAGTGATAGAAACAGTCCCACTCCCAAGGTCACACAGTTCTCCCCGATATCCATGTGTTAGGCATGAATATCTGCAGGGGCTATGCATGTAAATTTCTAAGGGAACTGAAAATGTCATCCTAAGAAAGCCTTCCCTCTCTCCTCCCCCCCCCCCAGGTTTGAAAGCAAAATTATATGTAGTATAAAGGAAACTTGCTGCACTCACCGACACTGCTACAGAATCCTGTATGTCTTTGTGACTCACCAGCTGCACATTACCATCTTCATAGTAATGCACCTAGATTAAAATAAAACCCATAGTTTTAAGCAGTATTTAAGCCTCTGCCTGGGGGACTATGTTGTGCTAAGTATTGTACAGGCAGAAGGGAAAGCTCCAGCTCCCAACCCCAAAGCTAAACATCTCAACAGCAGTTTAGCTTCTTCTCATAATATGCATCATTTCCCAAAAGTCTTTTAAAAAACGATCCAACTAATATCTTTCTTTTTGAACAGCCATTGTATCATGAAGAATCCTGACAAAGACTTTGCCGCCGATAAGCTTTTAAAAAGGCTCAGTCTCAATTTCAATTGTATTGTAGATAAAAGCAGAATACAGGGCTTTGTTGCCTTAAACACCAAAGTGGGGCTGCATCATGCTCCAGCACATTTCATCTTGGCTATGCAAATCAGTGAGAGCCTTTTTATGCAGTCAGGCATGTTAACTTGTAGCTTCGAAAGTTCTACTCTGGGAAGGTACCAACCAACAAAGCACTAATTTCATCATTCTAGACTAAACCGAAAGGTTTTCTTTAAGCCAAGACATGTAGAAACTGCTGAAGGAAGCCTCATTGCATTTGCTGGCATTGCTTCTGTATAACTGACCTGGATCTTGAGCACTGCAACCACCTGAGCTGTAGGTGGTGTGATGGTAAACTTCCATTCTGACCTCCAGCGCCCATTCCTACACAGAAACAGAGCAGACACTTGCAGTGACCAAATAGCTCCTTAGAGCAAAAGTGAACTGGACAAGTCCTCCCTCCACCATAGGTTTACTGAAGCAGGCTAATTGTTTACTGGTCTCACTTGTTCAGGCATATTTGCTTGGAATTTATATAGCTGACAACTCCTATGCAGATGAACATTACTTCACAGCTGAACTCTATCCACATTCTGAAAGCAGAGCTTCCAGTGAACTACTGTTTTTGTTAATTATAACAAAATAGGCAAAATTGAGTTATACAAAAGAGCACTAGGAGTGTGCTCTTAGTCCAAAACACAAATCATTTGCCTGTGGTAATTTATTCTGACAGTAGATTAAAGCAACAGTTAAGGCCTTTGGGCTTTGAAACAAGTAAGGCTACTGCCTCTCTTCTGATTCAGCTAAATTAGATATTAAATGCCTCCTTGTCTTTCACATGCAGGTTGGTTTTTTAAAAAATTCTGAGACCATAGATGGGATATGATTATCAGGATCACAGGTGACAAAGAAAGCCTTTCATCATGTGCTTTGGTTTTGAGGGAAATCCTTCCTTTTAAGGTGAGACTTGCTCTGGGTGGAAATCCCCTATTAATGCCAATGGGTGATTTCACACAAATGTAAATGCCAGCTTCAAAGGATGGAAGGGTTAAATCCCCCCTCTACACCTGCTACGATTAAGATTATCAGCCCCCACCTGATGTTATTTGCATTTTTAATGTCCACATAGTTTGGTCCAAAGAAGAGCAGGTCTGCCCCTGAGGAATTTAAACTTCCAGGGAAGGTGGTCCATTAAGTCACAGTAGATAGTTCCCTTTTTCAAGCCATGAAGGATAAGATGGACCAGTGTGGATTAATTTGTGCTGAATAAAGATTATGTATCAGAGACATGCTTACCAGAAGTTTTTGGGCTGAAACTGGTGACTCTCAATGCAAGCAATGACTGTTGGCTGCCCATCTATTGTCTTACTGTAAACCTATTTCCAGGAGAGAAGCTTACATAAGAGAACACAAAAACTTCAAACTCACCTGGCTTTAGATATTATAGCAGCAGAGTGGGATACACTTTTCTGTAGGTTTATTCCAGGCATGGCCCACCACCATGAGCAGCAGACAAATTGCCACCCAACTGTCATCTCAATTTCAGTCAGATGACAATTGTGCAGCAAGAGTTATGCAAATGGTCCTGTCCATGTGCTGGCAGACTTGTAAATAGTGCATCAATACTATCAATACTATGTAATAAACCCATGGAAAAACAGCTCCCATGCAACAGCTGTAACATCCAAAGGGAACCCAATTTCTTGGTAAAACCAGTTCTAAAGAGCATCAGGCTGAAACACAACAGCCTGCTTTATTGACTAATGATGTGTTACTTGGGTGCCAATTTGTTATCCTATACTCCCTTTTTGCCTGCATATCCAAATGGATTTCTCTTCCATTTTGTTTAAATGTCAGACATACACTGTATGTCATTTAAGCACAACACCATTTTACACTTGTCCTTCTGTCAAGGGGGAAAGGGAGGGAATATTTTGGTTCCATTTTGTAGCCAGAATAGGGAAGATGCTGGAGTTGCTTGAAGCCTATAAAATACATTTCAAGGTTATTTAATTCAGCTTTCATATTTCTAGGCCATGTGTAAGTAGCACACACACTTTTTTAACCTCCCATTGCAACACAGAAAAAACAAAGTGCTAATAATGTTAGCTAACGACATCTATGTCACTGGTAGAGTCAAACTTTTTCTGTTCTTTACATTAGTCAACATAAGAACAATGAGTCAACAGAGAAGAACATTGGATACTTAACAGTACAGAAGCCATGTGGATAGTGATCTTTCACATAGGCCCTTAGTGCACCATCACAGGCATCCCTCCAGGTCTTCAGCGCTGCATCTGTGTCCTCTGGCTGGGGATCACTTGCTTCTTTCCTTAAATGATCAAATTTAAAGGAAAGCTTGTTCCTTGGGTCTAGAAATCGACCATTACCAAGATCACCATGTTCCGTAATTAAAACCTTAAAAAGAAAAAAAGAAAAACTATTATAGTTAGAACACTGGCAAGCCATTGTGAGTGCACCTTCTTACAGGCTTCCTTGGCTCTTGTTTCAGGTACAGTGGTATCTCGGTTTACGAACTTAATCCATTCCGGAAGTCCATTCTTAAACCAAAATCGTTCTTAAACTGAGGCACACTTTCCCTAATGAGGCCTCCCGCCACTGGTGCCCTTCCACTGTTTGGATTCCATTCTTAGACCCAAGGTAAAGTTTGCAAACTGGGACACTATTTCTGGTTTTGCAGAGTTTGTAAACAGGGCTGTTCTTAAACCGAGGTACCACTGTACATTAAAAAATAAATAAATAGATCCTTCTCTGTTTGCAAGAGGGACCCTTGAGAAGCATTAAGTAACCCAATTCTGAAAGGGCCAAGTTAAGGAAAGGCAGAAGCACAAAACTGGATCATATCAGTGGCCGATGTGTAACCCTGCACCACCACTAGCTTCCTGGGAAGGTGGAAAACCCCTATGAGGCAAGCATCTTCCTCAAGGAAGAGACTACTCAACAGCTTTGCTGAACAGGAAACCTTATATCTCTTTTCAAACTCAACATTAATTAGTATATTCTCCACAAAACTTGGTAAGCCCTCCCCCTCCCATCATTGTCACTCCACCTCAATGCCCTTGACGAAGCGTTTTCTCCCTTTGCTCCAGCTGTCCTCTTCTTGCTTCACTACCTTGCTGGTATCAAGTCCACCTTCAGACCTGAAGAGGTTTCAAGGCTGTGCTGGATACCTACAGTTTATTCAAGATGATACTGCCTTAAAGGCATTAAAGCCAGCCATGCTTAGTTGCTGCTTGACGATTCAGTCCTCTGGGTGAGTAACGAGATGGCAAGAGGTATGGCAGGAGGAGGGAACATATGGTTGAAGCACCTTTAAGGAAAGCTTGTGCACATGATGAATCACCTGCTTGCTTTCCCCAACATGTAGCCAGAAGTCACATTCCCCTTAGCTGGGGTGCAGTCTTGTCTTCACCCTATTCCACCCCTCCTGAGGCTATAGAGCTTCCTGTTCCTGCAGGGGGAGTTGGAGGAGGTTTTGGGCAGCAAGCAGTGAAGCCAGCCATAATCTTTCCAGCTTCTCACCAGATTCAATACTTTAATGCAGCACTGCGCCACATATTAAAAACTACACTTTTTTATAGAGCATTAAAATACAGGCATGCTCAAAATTCTCTCCTTCACCACACACGTGATGTCCAGTGCCAATATATGCAAGCTGAATGACATCCCAAGATCTCCAACCTTTAATCATTCCCACAAGAACAAGCATTTTGCAAGCATAAAGAGAGGCAGGGGAGACCAGGCACAGAGGAGGTCTTAATATCTAGTTACACATGAAGTTCAATATGCAAACACCATGGAGAATCGAAAGGAGAATAATTTACCTGATCATCATATCCTTCTATCTTCACAGGAGTGAACTGATCCATGTTGTACTGGGCAAATGCACTGTAAGAGACAGAAAACAAGTAAGGAAATATTAGATCCTGACTCTGCAGAAAGAAAACACACATAGCCCTACTGTGTTCAAACATATTTGCAAATTATGGGCCTCTATTAATATTTCACCACTGCAGAAAGCATACAATTTCTATAGTTGGCAGGTTTATAGTGAACAAACTCACTTCAGTATTGGAAACAATTATATTCAACAATCCCTCCATCCCTCCTATTTCAAGCTTTACTGAAGTGGTTTATGAACAAATTGCATAGCTTGAGGCAACACGGATCTTAACATAAAATAAGGGGTACTTACTGGGCTGCCCCTTCCCTAAGAAGATTGTCATTGTTAAGCAGCAACCGGACATCTAAAAAAGAAGAAGAAAACATTCATACAGATGAGCAACAATTGCACTGCTTCAATATAATGTTTACTAGCACACAGATAAATGTTTGAACAACAAATTGTTTGGATTGGATACAAAAAAAATTGTTGACAAAAAATCGTTCTCATTTTTTAGGAATGTGAGAGCTTCTAACAGAAAAATAAAGAAAGTGTGTTGCATTTAGAATATCCTCTGATATAGTGAGTACTTCTGAAAGGTATTTCCTTTTGAGGCAGTATTTTTCTTAGTATAGTATATGTCAAAGGATTAGGTTTCAAAGAGTTAAAGAACTATTCAGACTGGAGTGGAGGGAAATCAATTATACACCCATTTTTAGATGGAACCTAAGCAAACAGCTGACTGGCCGGGTGGGAATCAGAACCCCACCCCCTTTATTTCTTAAACAAAAACCAGGCTGGAATTCTCTACTACAATGATATTGGATACCAAAAAGGAGCACACTGGAGGACAGATAAGTTTTGTGTGCGAAATTTTGCATTTCTATGAATGGCTCCAGAGAAGACCCATAATCTTGAAAGTTACTAAGGAGGCAGTTGACAAAAATACAAGTGCTACTTGGACAGTTCAAGTGCTGCTCCTGAACACCTTTTCTTTATGAACTACCGGAGGTAACTTTATGCTGTGAACTGCCCTGAGATCTATGGATGAAGTGCGGTATAAAAAATTAGTAAATAGTAAGTAACAACTGAAGTTCCCACTTTACATGTATATTGGCACCACAAAAGCATTCATGTTCACTCAGCAGGAAGCAGCATATGTAGTTTTATCTTCCTTCCCAGCTACTTGAATCAGGCAGCAGCATAGCAGCTATTTGTTTGCATAGCCCCAATTGCCCTGTCACACAAAAAATAAGATGTTGGGGACAGACCTACGTATATAAAATGCAAGACCACCAAAAGCCAAGACACTCACAAGCAATCCGCAATTTTTGGTACAGAAGACATTTTAAAGGCGAGTTTATTTATTAAAAACACCAAATTCCCTATTTCTGAATGACAGTAACCCCAACAGCAAGAACTTTGGTCTTAAATAGTTCAGTATAGCCTCATAGGCATTCAATGATTTTTTTGTTAACTGATAAAATGGAGAACTTATATGAATCATTTTGTTTTTTTAACTTACCATTAAACACTTCATTGAATTCCCCAGGAGGTGCATGAGTGATGAATTTTGCAGCTATACGCACCTGCAAATAAATCAGATGGGCTTCAGTCTGTGCTCTTAAACAGATATTTAGCAGTGGCTGCAGTTGAAGCCACACAACATGCATGGTTGCAACAGGTGCAGCCACAGCAGAGTCATATTGCAATCCAGTTAACAGTGCAAACTGGTGCCCTTGAAAGTCCCTGGTTATCCCATTTGAGAAACCCCAAACTAATTAGTTATGTTCCTCTTTTGGGGGGTGGGCAACAGCAAACTGCAACATGCATAAAATGGGTCACTGAAAGACTTAAACCACAGGGGACAATCTAAGTTAGAGCTTCTGTACTTTTCCCAGTCATGTATACAAGATTCAGATTTTCCATTTTATGCAGGATTATGATGTTGAAACTTCCTCATCAACACAACTGCTACAGGTATAGATACCCTAAAGAAGAGAGATTGTCCCTTCTGGTATTAAAACAAATTTCTTATGATCTACTATCTGTTGTCATGTCCTCTCTTCCATATAAACGTACACAATGTAAAAATTTAACATCCCCAAAATTTGTGACTGATATCCTAAGGTCCACGTTATATATCAACAGGCCTAGTTTTCACATCAAATGAACATCCAAGTAAATTGAGTCAAATGGCAGTCAAAGTGAAAAAAATATTTTCAAGTAATAGTTCTTTTACTATTGATCATAAGATGGCAGACTTTGGCAGAAGTAATAATAATACTCTCCTGTTGACTTCAGGAATATCTGCAGTTCTGTCAGATTGCCTCAAAGGTTTTTTTGTTTTTTTTTAATGGGATTCAGACATCTATGTGCTTACTACATATCTCCCACAGTCGTGATGCAATTCATTTGCAGAGGATGCCTGGTTAGGAAAGCAAATGCTCCAGGTCAGCATTAAATCAGAACAGTTATGAGGTGTCTGAGGGACTTCAAATTCCTCCTAAAGTACAAAGGATACCAATCTAAAGAGATATTAGGGATATCTAGACTAGAAATGAGTACAAGGGATTGAGATTGATATAGGATAAGTTTCATGTTTTCTAGGCTATAAAAAGATGGTTGAATAAAAACTTCATTGCAAGTAATACATATACAGTGGTGCCCCGCAAGACGAATGCCTCGAAAGATGAAAAACTCGCTAGACGAAAGAGTTTTCCGTTTTTTGAGTCGTTCCGCAAGACGAATTTCCCTATGGGCTTGCTTCGCAAGACGAAACGTCTTGCGAGTTCGTTTCCTTTTTCTTAAAGCCGCTAAGCCGTTAATAGCCGCTAAGCCGTTAATAGCCGCTAAGCCGTTAAGCGCCGCTAATAGCCATGCTTCGCAAGACGAAAAAACCGCAAGACGAAGAGTCTCGCGGAACGGATTAATTTCGTCTTGCGAGGCACCACTGTACATAAAGCAACAAAACTTTCTCTGAGGGAAGCAAACATAGGATTACAGCCATAGATATTAAAGCCCACTTCATATACAGGCGGTGACCATTTTAGCCAGGTCCAACTGATATGTGATTGCTGATGAGCGGGTCCTTTTGGACCCAGAAGAGGGTGGAACGGGGTGTGGCATGCTTATACATGCTCCACTGACACGCATGGAGGCTGGGAACAGAACCCCTGCATGAAATAGTTACTGCAGGCTTCCTCAAACTCGGCCCCCCAGATGTTTTTGGCCTACAATTCCCATGATCCCTAGCTAGCAGGACCAGTGGTCAGGGATGATGGGAATTTTAGTCTCAAAACATCTGGAGGGCCGAGTTTGAGGAAGCCTGGGTTACTGCCTGTATTCAATTGTCCTACACAGGTGAGTGAACAAGTTGATCTATGCGAGTTTCCCAAGTGGCATTGGCTCAGCAAAAATACACTCCCACCATCACACAAAGCTACTATCTATATGATTTTTCCAAATTTTAACACGTCAGAGGAGAAAAAAACACATGACGTGGATCCAAGGCAGATTTTATTGTATTTAAACATTAGCATGCCTAGTTAGATGATAAAAACAAGCTTTGTTGTTGTTGGCATCCGTCTGTCTCGAGAGAATGGTGCATGCCTCCGGGAGTGAAGTCAAACCACTGTGTTACCAACAGTGAAGTGACCTCCTGAGGGTGCAAGCCAGGGCAATGTGTATGGAGGTCCTGGGCTGCCCAGATGATAAGACACACACTCCTCGCTGATGTGGTCCAAAGGAAAGCAAAGCAATACATTTGGCACCAGCTTAGCTGTACAAGGTGCCATACAACCATCTTAGGGACTCCATTCTGGATTTGTGGAGGGTTTATCCCTTAGCATGTTCTTCTCCCAAAGATACCCCTCAAGGCAGCAGAGGTTTAGGATCAGAGTACAGGGGAACCTCAGTTTTTGAGCATCTCGGAAGCCGAACGATTCGGAACCTGAATGCTGAAAACCCAGAAGTGAATGCTTCCATTTTTGAACGAGCCTCGGAAGTCAAACAGCTTCCAAGGCCTGTTTCTCCATTTTCTCAATGGAATTTGCTGACCACCCATTGCGTCTCAGTTGTTGAAGATTTCGGAAGTTGAATGGTCTTCCGGAACGGATTACGTTTGTCAACCCATATACCACTGTATTTCTTCTCCTATGGTTACCTTCCGAGGTAGACGAGCCCCATCTGCCCCTCATTTCCCTCTACAACATGTGCAGAAACTACCTTCTTGACCACTGGACCCACCATTTGCTCATTTCACCAGAACCTGTCTTTGCATGTAGGGGAAGTCCATGTAGGGTTTGAGACTCATCAGCCACCCTCACCTGGTTTGGCCGGCCATTTGAAGCTGTTTCCTGGAGTGTGGCCGCTGTCTCATGCTGACAGCTTCTAGGTAAGAGCTGAGTGGCAGGGCTGGGACCAAAGGTGGAAAGACTACCCCCAGAAGGAGAACATCGTGTCCCCCCACTAGAGGTACTTCCCCTCTCCCAACCCCCCATGTAAGCATCATTGGACCTGAAACAGATGCACAGTTGTACTGTCATGATTCTAAGAGCACTACACAAGTTGGCCTAATACATACTGCAGCACCATATTATCCAAAAGAAACCTGCTCCTATCCTCCTCCCCCCCCAAACTCCACCCACATAGATGTAGCCCTGAGAGGCACATAGCTGGGAACAAAGCCTCCTCTGCCTTTTGGTGTATGTAACAGAACTGGAACACAGTGTCTATCATATCATAATGCCAAGGAAGAAAAGGGACTGCTATATTTTGATTCTGAAACATGAATCTATATAAAAGAAGAACAAGGAATGGAGTATATCCTCCCACCACTACCAAGCTGCCACTGCTGTCAATTGGGGGGGGGGGCATTAATAATTCCCTGGTGAAAATTACTGAAAAGCAACGTCTAGAAATAATTTCCCCTAAGACTTTCCCGAGCATTGCCCTAGATGGCTGAAAGTCTCCTTCAAACTATAGCATGTGCTTTTATTAGAAAGTGCATCTGTAAGCAGTAAGCATGACGCTCTGGTTGCATTAAAGCACTCCTACAAATACTGTGCTCAAAGAACATATTACTTTGTCTAACAAGCACCAGGATTCATTTCAATGGAGAGTATCGGATCCATTTCCCCTCATTTGACCATCTTCACCTACAATTATCTCTCAGGGGTACCCAAAAAATAACAAGCAGACAAAGTGAGAAACTGAAAGCAGGGTGGGAGGAGGAGGAATACAACGCTTTTGCAGTCTTTTATAATCCAACTAATAGCAACTTATTAAAACACAAATCTATTGTGGACACAGTCCTATCAAATTCATCACGGGTACTAAAACTTTTTTGATTGTTTTCAGATTTCAGATCCAAACTCAACTAATCAAAAAGTGTGTGTTCATCAGTGTGCTGAAATCTATTTTCATTTCCATTCTCTCTGACAAGATACCTATATCAAGCAATGAATGTGTCCAAGCTGCAAGGGAAAAACAAACATATACATTAAATCACACAGCCTTATATTATTTCTTTAGAAAAATAAAGGCATAGCAGCTATGGCTAAGCTAAAAAATAATGCATTTGCCTTTGTTAAACTGAGCAAAGTTCTAGTTATTTGGTGAGGTAAGCACTATTTTCAAGCTTATCAACAACCTGCAATTTTGACTTCTGTTTTCTTAGTGTACTAATGCAGACAGGTCCCCATCTGCTTCAATTTCACATGAAAACAAAGCTGGAAGAAATTGATTTCCCTTCTCTAGAGCAGAAAATGCACCAAAATAAATGTTACTGTATTTGGGTTGTCATGGGTACATGCAGACTCTACATATTCAGACAGACTGCAATCGAATATTGTGACTACAGTAATTCTAGCCTTTGCTGAATTAGCAATTCATTGCCATGTCCTACAGCAATCTTACTAAATTTAAAGCTGAAATTCCCAATACATAACCTGCAGGTTTTAAACTATGCAATGTATCCAAATCAACACTTCCTTGTAATTTCTTACTATACAGATTCTAGGTTTCATGGTGCCCTCAGCCCAATTTTTTTTGCATCTCTTTACTATGCGAATAAGAGACGTGGGTGGCGCTGTGGCCTAGGGCTTGCCGATCAGAAGGTCGGCGGTTTGAATCATCGCGACAGGGTGAGCTCCTGTTGCTCAGTCCCTGCGCCGGCTAACCTAGCAGTTCAAAAGCACGTCAAAGTGCAAGTAGATAAATAGGTACCGCTCTGGGGGGAAGGTAAACAGTGTTTCTGTGCGCTGCTCTGGTTCGCGAGAAGTGGCTTAGTCATGTTGGCCACATGACCCGGAAGCTGTATGCCGGCTCCCTCGGCCAGTAAAGCGAGATTAGTGCCGCAACCCCAGAGTCGTCCACAACTGGACCTATAAGGGTCCCTTTACCTTACTATCCGAATACCGTAATTTTGCATAAAGAACTCTTTGATGTGCACTTTGTGAACTGTTTTCACTCAGATTTAAATTAAGTACTATAAACTGAAAGGAATAGCATTTGGACAGTGGAGAAATTAGCAGAACTTTATAAGTCATTAAATGCCAAGACTGGGCCTACAGTATAAAAACAAGGTCTCATTTGCTGCTGTTCAACTTTCTGTGTCATCTGCCATAGTAGCCAAAGTAAGCTAAAGTAAGCAAAAATGCAACTTCTGCAGATTAGCAGCAATCACTGAATGGAGTGGATGTCTGTTTCCCTAGCTTTCTGACTAGCTTTAAGATGCTTGCTCATGACCAGAGAAGAGCTACAAAAATGATGTGCATACTTACACGATTTGCTTATGTGCAACTGGAAAGAAGGGACAAGAAACTGCCTAGTTACCATGTTCGATCTCAGACAAGTATTCACACACCTTGTTTCTCATATCCTGCTGTCAAGATGTCATAATCATGGATATTCCACCCCCCCTCAAATTGAACACTATAGGATAAAGCTCCAGGAGCAAAAGAGTCCATCAAATCTATCTGTAAAGCGATCAGCATTTTGCATTTCCACTTCCTTGCAAGTGACTTAGTTAGAAGAAAACTGATTAGAAACAGAAAGGTAGGTATATGTCCTGTATTAGCTGCAGTAGTATGTATGCGCTCTCACACACATACACCCATGCCATTCTTTACCTGGCATGGTTCTCTCAGCTATGTTGCAGATCAAACAAGCATTTGCTTCCAAGTCACTAGCTAAACACTTGGGTGGAAAGCAAATAAGATTACCTTTATTAGAACACTAGAAGGTTTGATGATTGTATTTCCTCAGAAAGTGTCTAGGAGCCACAAGTAAGGCAAAAAAACTAACGTAACTACACTGAACTGTATGACACTGTTCCTGTCACTCAACTGCTTCCACCTCCTGCCTCAAGCACAGGCCAATTATTTCCTTACATTTTTATAATTCATGTATAAGCACACCTACTATTATTTGATCAAACAAATTCCATAGCCTGGATGTAGCACTCCTTTGTATTCCTTCCCATGTGAGAGGTGCTCTGATGGCATAGCAGAAATGCAAAAGAAAAAATTCCCTGGGTCAAAAGCATATTCCATTAAAGATCAAGAGACATGTTTGTAGACTGGACAGGCATAGAATCATAGAGTTGGAAGAGACCACAAGGGCCATCGAGTCCAACCCCCTGCCAAATAGGATAGCTGAAAGTGATTGAGAAATATAGCTTCCTATATGGCACACACATTTCTTCTGCCCCAATGCCGACCCTGGCGAATTGTTTTGAAACGTGTAAAACCTGTTTCTCCAGGGTCAACAATGAAATTTATACATAGGAGATAACAATCCTTTCAAACTGCTCCTCAGCTCTCCACAAAAATCGCTCACCTGTGTCCCTGAGAGAACAAAATGAGTACTGTGGGTTCAATACTACATTTCTTAGCAAGAAATGTTATTTTGTTAGGCTAACAATATTGGGATTTCTCCTACACTGGGGAATTCCTTCAAGGGGCACTGCAACAGCAGAAGCGCAATATAACGTTCATAAGTGTTGTCACTTCACAAGAACAGCACAATCCCCGCCACAGGTTGTTGTGACGATAAAACAGTCAAGATTAAGATGTAGTAAATAAATACCGGACCGGTAAAACAAATAAACCGGTAACTAAATATCAGGCGATCAGAGCAGCATCGTAGATGAGCGTATGCATTTTCCCATAAAGCAAAGGAAGATGTCAATAAAACGGGAAATCGGGGACAGCCTGTCATACAATTTAGTCCCCCATCAGTCGAAAGAGGCACTGGCGAATGTTCTTGCAGTTGAACTTATTAAAAGAGACACGGCGGGTGGGGGAAAAAAGCAGAGAAAACGAGTCTCTCGAAATCGAGGAAGTAAAAGGAACCTTCAGCTCACGAGGCTTCACACTTTCAGGAGCCTTAGAAACACCAGCAAGAAGAACCAAGGAGGAGGATACCGCTTCGCTATGTGCACAAAATAATCGTTTTGTGCCCGAAGAACACAGAAACAGCCCTCTGCTCTTCCCCGGACAACTTATTACCTTCTCTTCATCCGACACCCGATCCTCAAAGTCCGCCATTTTGGGTTCTCTAAACCCAGCCCCACCTGTCAGCCCAGCGCAAAGCGCGCTGGGAATGGGGGCGTGGCTGGAGGCGAGGCACCACCCAGCCCACATGTCAATGGTGAGCGATGCGCTTCTTTGCTTTTCAGGGGATCTTATTGAAGCGGACAGGCGCCATCTTAGGTACGGGCAAGCCTGCCCTTTTAAGTCAAAGCAATGCAACTAGGCGGCCGCTACTCGCTGTGTAGAGCTGAGTGACGTTTACGCTCGCCATGATGGGTAAGGGCAGAGCTACTGTAACGTGGAAGGAGTCGTCCGGCCACGCCCATTTAATGCCCCAGGGCGCAACCCTGCCCAGCGCTCAGATTATATCGGAGGCGGACACAGCGTACCGCAATTCAGCAGCTCAGTTCCGTTCGCCGGGCAGCATGTGGATTTCGCAAGGCGTGCTAAAAAATGTCTCTCTGTCTGCCCCCCCCAAAACACCCATCATCCTGAAAAAGAAAGGAAAGTGGGAGAACGCCATTCGCCCAAATTCCTAATGGTTAAAAACAGGGACTATCAGGCTACATTCTTGTATCTGCGTGCTGTGCATTTCACATGTACAGCATGCATTCAGTGGAGCGCACTTAGTTATTAAAAATGTATATCCCGTTTGTAAAAAAAACCCAACCCTTAAAGACCACTTTACAATTCCAAGCAGAAAAGCAATAATAAAATAAAAAAAAATTCCCGCGGGTGGGGAATCAAAAATCGGAGCCGCGTCCCTTTTAATGAAAAAATCTGCACGGGATGGCAGCCCTAAAAAAACCGGAAAGAACAAAAGCGCCCCTTTTAAAGCAGGCCGGCGGTGGGAGTGTATCCTCAAGGGGTCCCCGCGAAGGCGGCTAACAGACACGTGCGCGGGGGACGAGAGACGGAGCAGCGGGCGCGCTCCCGCTTCTCTCAGAGTCAGGCGGCGGCGCGCCCGGCTAGTCCCTCCCCTCCCTCCGTTCCTCCAGCCAGCCAGGCCTGAGCGAGCGAAGGGCGGGAGTCATGGCGGAGAGTGGTCCTTCTCCTGTGGATGGGGATGCGGCGCCTTCCTCCTCCTCCTCCTCCTCCTCCTCCTCCCAGCTGCCCAGCCACTGCCCTCGGCGGTGGGAGAGGCTGAGACTGGCGGGGGGACCCTGGGCGCGGGCGCTGGCCCTGCTGGCGGCGCTCGGGCTCCTTTACTTCTTGCGAGGCCCGCTCCGGCTGCGGGATAACTTGGCGGCAGGTGAGGGGCTGCTCGCGGGGAGCGGGAGGGGAGAGCAGCTCTGTGGGCGCTGAGGGGACTCCGCCGCCGGGGAGGGGCGCGGGCTGGCCCGCCTCCTTTCCCTCCGCTGCTATGGACGTGAGGGATGGGGGGCTTTGGGGCGGCCGGTTAGGGGTCTGTTTGGGCTACTCGCTGCCCCACAACTCTTCAGCCCTAATCTCGGGTGCTTGAGGTGCCGTTTGTGGAAAGAACTCTGCACGTGCTCCGTGAAACTGGCTTTACGCCGTTCATTTCCTGGCTGAGCCCTGCGGGTGAAAACAGGCTTCTCTAGAGCTATGACTTTGCCTCACACTAAAATCTGGGATGTGCTTACCTTGGGGTTGGTTGCATACAAATACAGTTTTCGTAAGAAGGGTCGTATTATCAGAAAGGATTGGTTCTTGCAGGTCTCCTGGGCTCTGTTCTCCTTTGTGTTTTGGTGTGTATTTAAGTGCTTCTGTCCTTCGGGGGCCTCATTATTTTTTGTCAAGCTATTTGTAAGCCAAGTTGGTTTTAAATCTGGTTCTCCACTTTTTCTTTGTGTCTGTTTATTTTAAAGATTGCAAGTCAGTCTGTAGTCCGTGATTTCTTCCCTTTGTCAGCTTTTTTTTTTAAAAAAAAAAAGCTTTCTATCATCTGTTGCTGTCTGCAAGCCCTGAATGATGACAGCATCTATACTACCAGCTGTCAAATCCTCTGTGTCATCAAAACAGAAAGAAACTAGACCTGTTGTTTGAAAGCTGCAATTTACACACAGTCACTATTCTTTTATTAGAGCAGTGAGCTCCATACTCCCCTTTTGTTGCTTTTTAAATTGCAGGCCTTACATAGATGCTAAGTCTCATAATATTTTGTTGGTCTAAAGTTAATGGTTGGGGAGTTAAAAGCACACTCTTAAGTCTGCAGGCCAGGATACAGCATGACTTACAGCTCAATCCTCTCCATGTTTATTTAAAAGTAAGTGCCATTATATTCAATGGGACTTATGTCATATGGTTACATCCTTAGTATCGGGTATTTTAATAATACATCCCAAAGCATGATGATACATGCATAGGTAAAGGTGCCTGGACCGTTAAGTCCAGTCGCGAACGACTCTGGGGTTGTGGCGCTCATTTCGCTTTACTGGCCGAGGGAGTCAGTGTTTGTCAGACAGCTTCCAGGTCATGTGGCCAGCATGACTAAGCCGCTTCTGGCAAACCTTCCCACTAGAGTGGTACCTATTTAGCTACTTGCACTTTGACCTGCTTTCGAACTGCTAGGTGGGCAGGAGCTGGGACTGAACAACAGGAGCTCACCCCGTCGTGGGGATTTGAACCGCCGACCTTCTGATCAGCAAGCCCTAGGCTCAGTGGTTTAGACCACAGCGCCACTCGCATCCTCAATACATGCCTAACTTCAGAACAATGTGTTCATGGGTTAAAGTTCTAGGGAATGAAGGAGAGTCTGCTTATTTACTTGCCTGGTGGGCCTACTGAGTTTTGCCATACTCAGCACATGAAGCACTACATCAAGTTAAGTTGACTTTTACCTTAGGATCCCCCTCAGGGCTTAATGCACATGCCCTGCTTTTAACTTGGTCTTAGTTTGTGTGTTTAAGACTTTGTTTCTTGCATTCTGTGGTTTCAAAAGCCCAGGAAGGTAGACTTGTTCAGACAAAACTAGCTATACTGGTTAAATTGTGAGACTGACACTAATATAAGAGCTGTCAATTTCTCATTGTCAACATACCATATTCATTTTCTTTAGACTTTTTATCTACTAATCTCTTGCTAAATAACAATCAGTAGGCCTAACCCACAAACAAGATTCAGTGTTGTAGGTTGGTTAATAAAATGCCTCAGGTAGTATCTGTCTGGATTTTATGAATCAGTCCTAAACATGCATATTCAAAAGTAAATCTTACAGAGTACAATGAGATTTACTTCCTGTTAGTATGCAGCAGTGTTAGTTTACCTTTGAGCTGCTTCAGATATGTTGTTCCTACATGGAAATAGATGTTTGCAATGATCTGTATTCAAATTTCTCACAATTACAAGGAACCCTTAAGTGTTGACACTTCTTGGAAGATTACGGCTTAATTTTGAATACTTTGAACCCTTGTTACAAGAAGCACATTCTATGCTCCATGCTAAAAGAAATGTTTGTGCCCATTCTAATAAAAAAATGAAACTAGTGTCTATTGTTGTTTATTAAATTTCTACACCGCCCTTCATCCTAGGATCACAGGGCAGTTTACAATGTAAGAACGCAAAACTGCATAACATAGTAACAAACAAAAACAGTTACACTCCCTCACAGTTTTAAAGGCTGCAGATGGCTTAATTAGCCAGAGGCTTAGGAGAAGAGGGACGTTTTCACCTGGTGCCTAAATATATGTAATGAAGGTGCCAGGCAAGCCTCCCTATGGAGAGCATTCCACAAATGGGGAGCCACTGCAAAAAAGCCCATTCTTGTGTTGCCATCTTCTGAACCTCTCATGGAGTGGGTACACAAAGAAGTGGCTCAGATGATGGCCACAGGTTCTGAGTCTGTTCATATGGGAAGAGGCAATCCTTGAGGTATTGCAGTCCTGAGCTGTTTAAGGCTTTATGGGTAAAAACCAGCACTTTGAATTTGTCTCAGGAATTGATTGGCAGCCATTACAGTTAGACCAGGATTGGCATTATATGCTCAAACTTTCTTGCTCCGGTGAGCAACCTGACCGCTGACTTCTGCACCAGTTGAAGCTTCCTGTTTTCAGAGGCTGCCCCACATATAATGCATTGTAGTAATCTCGGTCCTTATTTAAATATATCTATACTGCTCTTCACCATATGGTCACAAGGCAAGGTACAACACACCAATATGTGTTTTCAAAAGTATTTAAAATTGAGCAAATATCCATAATTCCCCATATTTTACTCTTTACAGATTTAAGTTAAACCTATTAAACTTGTGTTAAAACTGTGGTTTGCTGTTTTGGATCCTTGTCTTTGACTGTATCTAGGTTAAGAGAAAGCTAAAATATCAGTTAAAACATTTAGGGTTAGCTGTTTGAACTCAAACTCATGGACTTCTTATGAAGCTAAACATTGAACAAAGAAACAAAAAGTACTTAGCACAGCACGTAGTGAAATTATGGTATTCTCTACCATGAACAGTGGTGATGCCTACCATGTTGGATGGCTTTCAATGGACTAGCCACAGTAGCTAGGTTCTAGCTCTACTGTTGGAAGCAGTACAGTATGTCTTTGAATAGCAGTTTATGGGAATCACAGGTGGGAAGAGTGTTGTTGTGTTTGAGTCCTGTCCAGCACTTTTAGCTAAAAAGTCTACTTTAACATTAATGGTTCTCCTCTAACATTCAAAGCATAGCTTACCTGGGTTACATCATTTCCGGATTCAGACTTTCCAAAAAGTACCCACAACCAACGGAGGAACTGATACTGTGTAGGTGTGTGCGTGCGTTGCTTAAGTAATGTCATCTCAGACACTGAGAGGCAAATGTATTGATTGACAAAGCTTCCCTTTTTCTTTGACAGTGACCATTTTCTTGAGCACATTGACTCCAAAATTCTATGTTGCACTTACTGGGACATCTTCTCTGATATCCGGTCTGATATTTGTAAGTAATTTTCTCTATTTACTCATGCTGGAATTTTTGTTGATCCTACAGAACCAGAAATATAGTATGATTGTGTCTTGTGCTGGGGTTGCATTCCAGGGATGGCACATACATGCAAAAATGCATATACTTGAACCTCCCCCTTCGAACCACCCTCACAGGGCCATCCTGACCTTCCAAGCAAGGCAGAGACCTCTTAAGCTCTCCATCTTGCTTACGAGGCTCTGGGAGGCTCTCATGATATTTCATGTGGCCACTCAAGTTCCTGCAATATCTAACGAGAGCCTCCCAAAGCCTGGTAAGCAAGTCTGAGAGCTTAAAAGTGCTTTCCACACCAGGAAAACCAAGTGCAAAAGGAGCTTTTAGGCTCTGCTTTGCATGCAATTAATTTGTGGGATTTCAGCTGGCCAGCTTTCAACTATGCAAGGTTGAAATTGCACACGTTAGGATGCAATTGCACTGTAGAGTAAAAGTGAGATTATGCTACTACATAGGCTAGTATTTAAAATGCAGCACACAAGTATTGTATAGAAATCTTCAGATTTTAGATGTTTAGAAGATTAAAAGTTATTTTTTTAATTGCTAAGATGGCTATTTAGTCCCTTCTGCTGCTTAGGACAAAGAAGTAAGAGATTAATGCATACTCAATCCTAAATTTTGGCCTGCTTTTAAGACTGTTATTAAAATGTCCAGGAAAATGTCTACAGCAACTAAGAATAGTTCATGTCTGCATCCACAGTACCTTTTGGGGATTTTTGGAAGATGAGGAATAGTTACTGTGAAATGTGATGCATCTGTGTTTACAGTGTTACAGATTAATTTTTAAAATTAGTCTTTTGTAAACTGTGCCAGTCTGAAGATGAAAGTTACCTTTGATATGCCAGCTGAACTCTAGGTGGCGCTCCTGTACAGAAAAAGAAACCAACATTTTTATTCATTTTGATGTGATTCCTTGCTGGTAACCACAGCCTTCCAAGTAAAAAAATGAAATGGTTTATAGCATTATAAGGGGCAGCTGTGACAATAGTGTTGAGCCTTTCCCGGCAGTATTCTGAATCACATTGCTTAGGCTGCCAAGTCATTTGTGGGACTCTACCTGCATTGCCTCATTATCATGGCTGTATGAGGGGGCCTTATGCATAGCCACAGTTGCACTATACAGTGATACTTCGGGTTACATACGCTTCAGGTTATAGACTCTGCTAACCCAGAAATAGTACCTCGGGTTTAAGAACTTTGCTTCAGGATGAGAACAGAAATCGTGCGGTGGCAGCAGCGGGAGGCCCCATTAGCTAAAGTGGTGCTTCAGGTTAAGAACGGACCTCCGGAACGAGTTAAGTACGTAACCAAAGGTACCACTGTAATGCCATTCCATTGAACATAAAATATGCATATTAGGAGCAGTGTACAAACCAAAAAGATGATGAAAATATTATCATTTGCCTTAAGGCAGTTCTTGTTCATCTTGAGTCCACCAGCATATGATTTATGGCACCCCATGTTTTACCAGAATTGCCAGAGTAGCATTTAGTTTTTGCCTGGATCCTACTTGCTGGGGCCAAATCTCTGACATAGGACATGCTAGTTCCGAGTCCTGTGCAGCACTGTGTTCAAAAGGTAAGATGAAACCTGTCTATCTATTCCTAACCCTCATGCAGTGCCACAAATAAATGTACACAAGTGGTTGTAGGAGCGGTGTGCTATCACAGGGTAGTAAAATGACCAAAATCAAGTGCATAGTATTAGAAGAAAGACGGTTAAGTCTGCTTTCCTGGATTAGTTTTAATTTGAAAAACATAGGATACTATTTTTAAGCCAATATTTTCCATTGGAAGCGGGGGGAGCAGCCCTGTGGTAAGAACAAATAGATTTCTTGGGCTATCTTATATCTCCATTACACTTTTGTTTACAGAGAAACAGGAAGTGGCTGAAATTTGGGGGCATTGCTTACAACTTTGCTGGTGGCTGTGCCCTAAAAGGGCTTTGTTTAGAAACAATTCTTTTCTATCACCTTATCTGTGGGCAAACTGTCAACCTTTGCTGAAAGGAACCATAAATATAATTGCGGCCGGCCTATTGTTTTGTGAGCAAGTGACGTGACTTGAGATTCTTGACCCAATGGTTTATTGTATGTTTTTCTGTTTCTCACTGCAGATATTTGAATGGTGGTATTTCAGGAAATATGGCACATCTTTCATTGAGCAGGTATCCGTGAGCCATTTACGACCACTTATTGGAGGAGCAGAGAATACTAATTCTCCACAGGCAACTTTCTCTGCCACTAGTGGAGAAAATGAGACAAGCAGGCAGAGTTTGTCAGGTGATTGCTTCTAACATCTGGCTTTGTGCAAATGTATTTCGTGATAGCTGGCCTTAGCCAAAGCCTGTAAATACAATTTATGTTTATTTTTGTAAATGGGCTTAGCTTTGCATCAGGTAATGCCTTTGTCTTGCTTAGGAAAAACAAGAGAGATAAAGTAAATCAGATTGGGCAAAGCCTTTTTTAGTGGGGGCAGGTGAGTTGTTGAGTTTAGTATTTTATTTTCCACAACCCCTTGCAATTTCCAAATCAATATGATTTTTAATTTTTTTATAATAGATATCTTGCCTTTATATATTTTGCTATATAGATCAATGTGACAAGTGGCTTTTGTTTTTGTTTTTTGGAAAATTGCTTGCTTTGCACCTACATGTGATAGAAAAACTGTTTTCTTGAAGTGGTATCTCAATTTAGACATTCATCCAAACTGTAATTTGGGCTATCAAAAACAAACCAGGGTTTCCTCTGTTTCCTCTCTTCTTACATGGGGCTTTCCCTTTTTAAATTTTCTGTTTAACACCATTAACACTGGTAATTTGTCATGCCATCCACATTTTAATACTATGGTTAGGGCTTGCCATGCCTGCTTCAAACGATTGTTTATGAATCTAGTTTTGAAAGCAAGTGCTAGCCATCATTTCAGATTTGCATGTCATGGTAAATTATGACTACTGCAGACCAGAAAAGGGAGAAACCAGAATGTGAGCCCATGATTATTTCTGATTCTGTGGAGGAAACATTTTTTTAATATGTGGGCCAGTTCAGAAGTAATGATTTCATATTTATTGAACCAAGATTCTTATGGTGAACCAGCCTCAACACACAAGGCATATAGGTTAGAAATCTACAGTTCTGGCTTAATTTTGAGATTAAACTGTTTCCTTTTACAGAGTGCAAAGTATGGAGAAATCCCCTCAATCTCTTTAGAGGAGCAGAATATAGCAGGTATTTTTATCTTTGTGATATTAGTGTATAGCCATTTTTGTAAAATAAATTAAAATAGAACTAGAGCTTCTGGTTTGTCAGAACGTTGTAATCTTACTCTTTCCTGTAAATTCCATATATAAAGACAAAGATGGATCTGTTTGGATAGATGATTCATTTCTAAATGCGTCCTTTAGGTTGGCATGTAGATACTTAAATGGGAGCGTATCCCACTGGCTTTCTTTTGAGTAGATATGCAAAGAATTGGGCTGTTAATGAAGCCTCTTTTCTTTTTCTTTCTTTTTTTAAAGATATACATGGGTGACTGGAAAGGAGCCACTTACATATTATGACATGAACTTATCTGCTCAGGATCACCAGACCTTTTTCACATGTGAAACGGACTCAGTTCGACCTTCAGATGCAGGTATCAAATGTATCTCTTGTATGAAAGATAAAAAGATGTCTGGCCATGAATAGTTTTTTATGTTGGGAATGCTTGTTCTAAATATCTTTTCTAAGTCTCTTTTATGTTTGATGGATAATTTATGCCATTTTTCCTAATGTTTCTGATCTCTTGGGATGGAGAAACCAGGATGAGAAAAATAAACCTTAAGTCATTATTATTGCCAGAACTTTGCATGTCTGTGATAATATTTTTACATATGTCCTCTGCTCACCTGAGAGTCCTGTCCAAGACTACATAGCAGGAAAGAAAGGTGTATTGTGGCACCTTAAAGACTAAAATGTTTACCATGCACATGGACCTCATTGGATGCATTCAGCAGAATTTTTGTGACAGTTCAAGACCCTCACTGTTCTTGCTACAGCAAGATAGATATGGCTACCCCTCGAGTTTGTTACTCTCAATAGTAAGACTTACAAATGTTATGGACTTCTGAATGTTGAATTACTACTATAAAAAACCCCTGCCATGCCCCGAGATTATTATATTTCTTTGCTTTTGATTGCACCAAATTGTATTGAGGGTTACATATTGTCTATTCTATCTTTAAAGCAATGGCATTTGTCATATCTGGCCTTTGTCAGCTTATGTGTTAATTCTTACTAGTTCATCTAAATCAGCAAGAGTTAGCTGTCTACACATTAATCTGATGAGATGTTTAATGATATGAGAGCTGTAGTTTTTGTTTTATAAACATCGTATATTGTTTCATCATCAGAGCCAAAACTAACATTATGTTTTCAGAAAAATGCTCCAACATTTTCCACACTATTCTTGCTGGACAGTTGCAGGTTTAGTTCCAAAAGAAACATATATTGGTTCTCTCCCTTTCTTATAAAAACTGAGGACCATCAGATATATTCAAACTGCAATCCTGTACTTTCTCACCTGGGAGTCAGCTCAATTGAAATCAGTTGGATTTACTTCTGAGTAGACATGAATAGGATTGTGCAATCAGTTCATGAATGTTGACTTTTTAGCCTTTGTTGGGATTAGGGTTTCATTTCAAAAAAATTGAACCCAGCCAAGTGAGTGGCAATGATGAGAATTTTATTCACTTAAAATGAATAGCATCTGGCAGAAGAGGAGGAAACAACAGCCAGGCCAATCCCACCAGCTTTGGCACTGTTCTCCATGTAGCCACACTCATTCCACTCAGAGACTATCAGTGACCAAACTTACCTTGCAGCCAGCAGGAGGGAAAACAACAAACTTTCATGAGCCACCTGGGGCTAATTGCCACAAGTTCTGCCCCCCTCTTCTGTCGGTCACCTTATGAATTTTTCTCTTTTAAAAATAAAGATCAAGAATAATATACATTTATGATAGGGCAGGGGTCGGCACTCTAGCAGGGCTGGTTCACTCTAGCAGAGATCCCTCCGTGGGTCAGATCATGCGCACGCGCGATTTCCGGCGTCTGCGCAGACGTGATTTCTGGTGCCGTGGAAGTGAGTCCATGCGCTGTGCTGCGCCAGTTTAGCACAGCGCATGGGGACTCGCTGAGCAGGCAGCTCAGTTTGGGGGCAGCTCGTGGGTTAATTAAATGACCCCCATGGGTCGCTTGTGGCCCATGGGCCTTAGGTTGCCAACCCCTGTGATAGGGGCTGGTGTTCAGTTTGGTAGTGGCTTTATTCTTAGAAAGAGAGATGTTTGTTTGTTTGTTTCTCCATGAATACTTACAGTCATGACTTGCCTGTAAATAAATCCTATTTTCCCCCAACAGTTATGCAGAAGGCATGGCGGGAGAGGAACCCTCAGGCCCGAATAAAAGCAGCATATCAAGCTTTAGAATTAAATAATGAGTAAGTTTGATAACAAGTCTCACCCTAATTTTATGAACTAAAATTAAAGCTATACAGCATTGTTAAGTAATTTCTTAGGGCCTATTCATATTGTTGTAGACTTAGGATAAACATAGAAATTAATACATTCTAGGATTGTGATTATTTGGGGGTGGAAGATATAAGCTGCAAAAGAATTTCTGACTGGCTGGGGGGAAGAGCAGACCTGTTAGCATTAGAAAAAAGGTGCTGATGGGACATAGAAGGATCCTTTGGCCTGGGGAGTCAGATGTCACAAAGCTTGCCAGGGTAACTGTGTTTGAGGGGACAGGAAAAGGGAGGTTTGAAGCAAGGGTTTCTGGGTAGAAGAAGAAGGAAGTAAGGCTGAGATCCATCTTGGTGGGGGAGAAGGAAAGGTTGCCTGCAATGGTTTGGGCCAAGCTGTAAGATCTGGAATTCCTCCATGCAAACTGAATGTGTAAATAGGCGAATAAACCCTATTTCTCAAAGCATGACAGTCTCCGATGTTTCTTCTGTTCTCCAAAGGGACCCAGACCCTGTGTGTGTGCATGTGGCCCCATGCGCTTGTGCCACTGCTTGGTGAAAATAGGGGCGAGCACTGGGTTTTTGTAACAATATGATTGACATGTTCAAGTGATGTGACCTTTGGTGGGCTGTAACACTATCCCATATTAAGTTTTTAACCCTTGACATATAAAGCTAACATGTAAGACGTTTTTGTAATTGTTGGACATTGAGATGTTACAATTTTCCCGACCTACAGTCTGAAGTGGATACTTCACACAAGTTTGAATTGATGCCGAACCATAGAAATGAAGTAAAGAATCTCATCTTTTTCAGTGCAACTGAACTAAGGGTCCATTTTAATCGGACTCAAAATTCTTATGTTTGGCTCAGTTGTGTCCAAAATTAGCATGCACCTTTTAGAAAATGAGATCTTCAAGTAGCAGGGGTATTTTTCAACTCAAAATAAACACAATTGTTATAAAAATCTTCATAGTTAAGTCATTTTAAAAAATGTTCTGGGAATTCCCTCTTTTTCTTTTCCTTTTCCTAACATTTCCCCTTCTGTATCTCACACAATGTTCCACTTAAGAGAGAGAAAGCAGAGCAAAAGTTTCCATACCTTTTTAAACAATACACCACTTTGCAAATCTATTTTGTACATTTGACTATCCAAGTGCACTTTTATATGTGGGGGCTGGTATTTTTATATGACTCATCATGGATATCTGAAACACTGCTTTATAGAAATTCAGAATATTTGAGCACAGTTGTTGTTTATGAAACTACCCGTATTTCCATTTTAAGCCCCTGCTCCCCCAGTTTATTAATTTCAAGGTCAAAAGTAATGGGTGGGATGCACCTAACACTCCCCGTCAGCAGAAGCCCTTCACAAGGACATCCACTTGTGCAATGGAGCTTTCCCTCCTTCTGCTTTGCTCACGTGCCCCTCAAAATGAACTTGGGGTTGGGACAATCCCAAGAACAATGGTGGGGGGGGGGACATCATTCCATGTGGCAAGCTGTAATGCTCACACAGATGAGTAGTTCATAATAACACACCATTAAATTCCACCCAATATTTTGAGCTTCTACATAGAATGAACTGCAGTCCTTTTTTAAAAAACTTCATTTTTGTAGTTTAACAGATATTGAAATTTACCTTTTACTTAGTGCATTTTGTAGTCATCTTGATCGTAAAATAGCCACCCTCAATGAAAATTAGTAGTCCCCCTCCTGCCTGGGGTCAATGTCACAGAGCCTGTTTTCCTTTTAATGTGTACCGAAACATTTTACATGTATTGTTTGGATGAAAATAGTTTTGTTCCACATCTTTGATTGGAGTTTATTTGTAAGTATGTTCAGCTACTGTACTGTATACATTGTTAATCTTTTCACTGTGTCAACATACATCTTTTGAATACCTGGTTTCATTTTTTCTCTTTCTCAGTTGTGCCACAGCATATGTTCTTTTGGCCGAGGAAGAAGCAACTACTATTGTGGATGCTGAGAAATATTTTAAGCAGGCTCTGAAAGCAGGAGAAACCATTTATAGAAAGTCTCAGCACTGCAGTTCCCAGAGTCCACAGCATGAAGCACAGTTTAGTAAGTATCCTTTCACAAATCATTCAAAATGGTCAATAGTGCTGTGCTTGGTCATGCTCGAATCTACAGAAGCACTAGAAAAGTTTAATGCTGAAGGATTAAAATCCACATGAACACAAAAATTAAAAGTACACATAATAAGTACAGGCAGCAGTTGTACAAGCTGCATTTTAATTTCAGAAAGTGCTGAATGTTTTGCACTGCAATTCTATATGTGTCAAAACAGAAGTAAGCTGAACTGAATACAATGGGACTCATTTTCAGTTAAGTGTGTAAAGGATAAGGCTTTAGCCTTATTTTAAAATATTATGAGAATATTTTAAAATATGCTGGTCACAGAAGGAGAGTTGCACTCTAAGAAAGAGGTCATTCTATTCACAGAGCAGCAACACGATACAGTTCTATATTAACTACATTGCAGTTAGCAGGGCTGTGGGAAATAATATTTTACCTTTGGTATTTTACCTTTGGTGGGTTCATCCCTCTACCAACAGCTCATCCTTTTTGCTTTTTCTAGCAAGTCTCTGTCAATAGCTCAAGGTTACAATAGCATTCTCTCTCTTTGTATTTCTCTCTCTCTTGCTGCCTTGTGCCATGGAATGCGGTGTCTTAATTTTGAGGCCACAAACAAGTTGTCAAACTTCAGTTTTTTATTACAATGGAACAGCAAATATGTGCTGAAGCTATGAATATGTTGTTTGGATGAAAGGGTGTTAGAGGGTTTCTTGTCCCACATCCTTGGATGTGGTGGCTTGAGGAAATAGTTGGATTCCTTGTGCTTCATATTAAGTCAGTGTTTGGCACATCACATTGTCTGTGCCCCTCCCTTTCTATTTTCTCAGGATATAATGTTCCCTCCATTTTGCAGACTCAGATGGATAAATGTTGATTGACTCCTGTGTGTTTTTTAAAAAAAGTCACTTTGTGATTTTATGGGTGTGTTCTGTGGTTTAACTCTCAACCTTCTCAATATATTTGTGGACAGGGAGAGCAGGATGGATCTACAACATATGCAGAAATGAATGCCTGGTTTAGAAAATGTGTGATAACTTAGTTTTTATGTATTTGATGTAGCCTCTCTTTTTCCCTAGGAAGAGACACCAATGTACTGGTTTATGTGAAAAGAAGACTAGCTATGTGTGCAAGGAAGCTTGGAAGAATTAAAGAAGCAGTAAAAATGATGAGAGATGTAAGTTATCCAGACTTCAATCCTATACCCACTTACCTGGGAGGACATAAGAAGAACTTGCCGGATCAGGCCAATGGCCCAACTAGTCCAGTAACTTCTTCTCACAGTAGCCAGCCAGATGCCTCTGGGAAACTGGCAGGCAGGATTTGAGCACAAGAGCATTCTCTCATCCTGTAGTTTCCAGTAGCTAGTATTCAGAATCTGCATTGCTGCTTCCAGTTGTAGCTCATCATGGCTAGTGGCTGAATTTAAGTCAACAGCACTTACTTCTGAGTAGACGCGCATAGCAGTGATGAGGAACATCCAGCCTGAGAGGCTATTTTCCCAGTGTCATGCCATCTGCCCCCCCCCCCCATCATATATGATGTCAGGTCCAGAGCAGGAATGATCAGGAGTCTTAAAAGGGGTGCTGATTGTTCCATGACTTGTTTTCAGTGCCTGTTAAATTTGGCAGCAGATGGAAGTCCCACTGGGATTGGTTCCACTTGGAAGCTACTGAATGGATCTGAACCCTTTCCAAAGTGAGGTTTGAAATCAGTGCTCTTTGGCTGTTTCGGTCAACTGAGCAATTCCATTGCAGAATGGCTTGAGTTCAATCTGTGCTGCAAAGGAAAAATGGGTCAGTTTCACTTTGTATAGGAAAAGCAGCACCTATGATTTCAAGATATGAGTGGAATGTACAATCCTTTGTGTTTGGTTCTGCTAACCATGAGTTTGCTACCAAGTCTGTTGACCTAGACTGTAAACTTAGGTACATTTACTTGGAGGTAGATCTCATTTGGGACGTGGGTGGCGCTGTGGTCTAAAACCGCTGAGCTTCTTGGGCTTGCCGACTGGAAGGTCAGCAGTTTGAATCCCTGTGACGGGGTGAGCTCCCATTTCTTGGTCCCAGCTCCTGCCAACCTAGCAGTTCGAAAGCACATCAAAGTGCAAGTAGATAAATAGGTACAGCTCTGGCGGGAAGGTAAATGGTGTTTCCATGCGCTGCTCTGGCCACATGACCCGGAAAAACTGTCTGCGGACAAACGCCGGCTCCCTCAGCCTGTAAAGCGAGATGAGCGCCACAACCCCAGAGTGGTCTGTGACTGGACTTAACTGTCAGGGGTCCTTTACCTTTTTAGATCTCATTGAGTTCATTGGGTTAGTGTGCATAATTCATTTTATTCTTAAAATCAAATTTAATGCATTTTTACTTAGTGGAGTAAACATGCATAAAACTTGGCTGCAAGATAGAAATTTGCGTAGCCTAATTTATTCTCTCCTCCTGGCTCCTATTTACAGTTAATGAAAGAGTTTCCTCTCCTAAGTGTATTGAATATACATGAAAACCTCCTAGAATCACTTCTGGAACTACAGGCTTATGCTGATGTCCAGGCAGTTCTAGCAAAGTATGATGGTAAGAATATATAAATGTCATTGTGTGTTAGATGCAAGTTGCAGTGTGTGCTTGAATAATATTTTCATGAATAACTAGGTCCCTTCCCTCTTGGGGTCCAAGGCCTTCCATGATTAGCAGTCATTTTTCAAATAACTCAGCAGAGTAGATAGGTGGTGCCTGAAAATCAACACAGACATCTGCTCACCTTGATTTGTATCTTATCTTGGACCTTGGGCAGTTGATATAAATTGGATGAAATTATTTTATTTGTTCAACTTTTAAATTGTGCTTTATCCAATCAAAATCCCAGGGTTGTTTGCAAAATACTAATTGTTTTTAAGTTATTGTGTTGTTTGGATTTTATTATGCTAGTTAGGTTGTAATCCAGCTGGTGAAAGGCTCTCTCTCTATCTATCTATCTATCTATCTATCTATAATTCATTTAAAAAATAGTAACGCTTCCCCCAAAATTTAAAGAAGATATCATTTAAGCAGGACATATAGGAATGACAGTTCTATCCCACTTATTTTTTTTCTAGTGGCTCTTTTCACTCCAGAGAGCCTAGGGCTTGCTGATCAGAAGGTTAGTGGTTCGAATCCCCGCGACTGGGTGAGCTCCCGTTGCTCGGTCCCTGCTCCTGCCAACCTAGCAGTTCGAAAGCACGTCAAAGTGCAAGTAGATAAATAGGTACCGCTCCGGCGGGAAGGTAAATGGCGTTTCCATGCACTGCTCTGGTTCTCCAGAAGCAGCTTAGTTATGCTGGCCACATGACCTGGAAGCTGTACGCCGGCTTCCTCGACCAATAAAGCAAGATGAGCGCCTCAACCCCAGAGTCATCCGCGACTGGACCTAATGGTCAGGGGTCCCTTTACCTTTACCTTTTTATGTTAACTTTTTACGTTATAATTGAATAATGTATCCTGTCACTAGTATGTTATATTGATGTTTATATATAGATCAGTTAGCAGAAGAGACTAATTACTTCTGTATGTTCTCAAAGTTACACCGCTTTTTTCGTGGTGCATCTCTCTGCAAATGATTTCAGGTCAAAAAACTATAATGCACTTCAAATTCAGTGCCAGATTTACCACATTTTCTGTGAGAGGTGCTCCAAAGGAATTTTTCCTAACAGTTCTTCCTCTAGGACTGCATAGTGCTTAGTTGCTTTTCAGCATACCATGGAACACATACATAAAATGTAAGAAGAGTTTCATGTAAACTCTGAACAGTGATATTAAAACTAATTATCATGTTTCTGATGAAGTTAAGGGTGGGAACACAGTTCAGTGGGTGTCAGATTCACTCCTTGTCCCCTCCAGCAATGGGTGTTCAAGATTCAAGATGCTGAAAAGCTGCTGTTATTCAGATGCAATGCTGGAGCTAGATGGAGCCATTGCTTTAACTCAGAATATATTGCAGATTCTTACACTTGATAGCTAAGTATTTTTTAAAAAGTTAAAAAGTAGATAGTGGCTAAAACTGCCCATTAACATGGAATTGGGGGGGGGGGTGGATTTGAAGGTGGCTGGAGGCATTTTAAAATGTGTTAATAGATTGCTTTAACCTGGTTTTATGACATTAGTGATGTTGAAGACTTGCCAGAAACAATACATGATTCTGAACATTGCTGTGTGGCAACCAGCCCAAAATTTTGATCCTCTCATTTGGGAAAAGGAGGAAGAGAAGTAGCAGCTAGGAAGAGTAACTTCGTGGGAAGTTGTGGTGATGACAGTAAGGAAAGAGGTGATTAGGAGAAAAGAGGAAGGAATGGGACCTAGGGTTGAGATTGTACAGGAAAGAAAGATGAGTGACAGAGAATATATGGAACAGAAGAGGTTATCCCACATTCTGTTGCTGTGGACACATGGGTGTTGGGGGCATATGTTTTTATGAGCCACGTCAATGGCAATGGGCCTTTAGTCATCTTGGAATTCTCAGAAATAAGAAGCTACAGACAATTTGGAGCCATGATCCAAAGCAGCAGACATTTGACACATGTACAAGAGAGTAAGATGCATAGCCGTGTCTTTCTCTGTAGTTTCCTCCCCTGAGCTCTCACACAAAGCAAGTAAACTTAGTCTGAAACATTGCCTTTTCCTTTGTGGTAGCTTTAAAGTACCTCCCTCTTCTTGAAGGGTGTGGTTTTGAAATGTTTCTCACTTTAGAATGTAAATACAACAATTTATTGTTTCATAGACATCAGCCTTCCAAAATCAGCGGCGATATGTTACACAGCAGCACTCTTAAAGGCCAGAGCAGTTTCAGATAGGTAAGTGAAATATTTCAGATTCAGATGTAAAGTGATAAGCTCTTCACTCTTCTTGCAAGCAAATAATTTTGCATCTGGTAACTGCAAGTAGTGCTTTTGCTTTGTTGGATTAAGCTCTGGCCCAGCTAATTTGAGCTTTTACTTAAAAAAAATTATTTTCAATCAGCTCATCTTAAAAAAGCTAGATTATCCTTTGCCTCAGTTTGAGTAACTTGACAAACTTTTGAATGTTCCTGCAGATTCTCTCCAGAAACAGCCTCTAGAAGAGGACTTAGTACAGCAGAGATTAATGCTGTAGAGGCAATTCACAGAGCAGTTGAATTTAATCCTCATGTTCCAAAGGTAAGTGTTTGTCCGCGTGCATGCATACACACACACACACAAAGCAAAAGGCAAGCCAACTAAAACAGGTGATTATTTTAAGAACTTCTCTACATACACCATATTGAGTGTAGAACTACACAGTATGACCAGCATTCTGTCTTATGAGGCAGATATAGCAGGCACTTGGGTAAAATCACTTTTAAACAAATGGGCTCTGAAACAAGGGGTAAACTCAGTTGGGAGAATAGTGATCTCTGGAGTGGGAGTGTCTTCATGGAGGCACTTCCTGCACTGATTTCCACCCCCATCTCCAGCATTCACGTTTTCTCGGGCACACATAGGTTTGAGAGCATACATTTGCTAAAATATCATAAGACAGAAGTACAGGGTTGTTGTTTTTAGCTCTTCAGAGTTCTGTCACACATTGACACCATGTTTTTCTGCAACACCTAACAATTCATAATTGTTAATCTCAAATGCTTGCAGCCCAAAAGCATTTTTGCATGACAGAGTTTCAGAGAGATTAGTGTCCTTATAATTGGTTTCATGCTGAGAGATTACGTAGTTTGTATGTTTGTTGGCAAATTTGTTGTTCCTGGTGCTACTATTTGATTGTTATCTTCAAATAGGAACAGTGCATTTTCCATTCATTGGTGGTTCTGGTGCTATCAAATGCTCTCTCCATTGCCTGTTTTTGTTTTAAGATAGGCACTGCAGCCTCCAGCCTGCCACAACATCCTCCCTCTCTCCTATGTGTCTCCTAACTAGAGCCATCCCATTTGGATTATTTGTTTATATTTGATGAAAGCAGACTATTTCCTAATCCAGGCATAGGCAAACTTGGCCCTCCAGATGTTTTGAGACTACAGTTCCCATCACCCCTGACCACTGGTCCTGTTAGCTAGGGATGATGGGAGTTGTAGTCCCAAAACATCTGGAGGGCCGAGTTTGCCTATGCCTGTCCTAATCCTTCCTTCACCATTCAATGAATTCTTTACTTTAGCTATCACTGAGAAGGACTCTGTTTTTTATTGGTCTCTCACAGCACTTCTGAGGTCCTTGGCCTCACTCAGACGTGCTGACGCACTTCTTGACTTGCGTGTTCAGATCCCAGCTGTTCTTGTTGGTTTTCTGAAATCACAGTTGCTGGTAAAGTTCTGCAAATGCTGTTAATACTGGCAGGAGGATCCTAATCAGTCTGTCTTGAAGTGAATCATGGAGCCCTTGGGGATGGTAGGGTTAGGAAGAACACACGGGGAGGGTGTAATGTCACGACTGGCAGGGAGAGTGGGGGAATCAGAGAAGGGGGTAACAGAAGAGGGAGCAGTTGTATTGCACTGCTGGCAAAGAGATAAACAATGGTGTGTAAAGTGGTGTGTGTGTTTCTGTAGAGTTGTCTTGAGTTAAGGATGTGTGGCTGAGCTAGGTGTATGTACAAGAAAGAGCGAGTGTGGGGTAGCTATGCCTGATTTGGTTTTGACCATGCTGGTATGTGGTCCTCAGAGGGTGGATCAAGAGGCAGTATGGCCCTCAGATTGAAAATAAAGTTCACCACCTCTGATCTAGGGAGACTAGGAATCTCATGTTTTCCTCTAGCCCTTTTTAAAAAGAATTTTATGGTTCTGAGCTCACTGTCTTTCAAGATCAGTGTCTTTTCACCCCCCCTGCTATTATTTATTTTCAATTTTATTTGTTTTATTGTTCTGTTTGTAAAACCACTTTGTGTTCCGTTTTGAAAGGTACCATAAATCTAAATAGAAATATATAAACCATTTCAGCTTCTGTAATACCAAGCATTCACCTCTGTGTTTCTGCTGGCTGCTTTTGAGCTCCTCAGTTGATAAATAGGTTGGCTGATCAAGGCAGTCCTTAGGATCTCCTGCTAAACAGACTCTACCTGCTTCCCCAGCCATAATTTTCCATACAGAGGGAGATAATATATGTTAACCTCCATAGGGTGGGCACTTGTTTAACTTAATGAAACTTTCAAAGACCATGAAATAGTATGCTGTCCTAGAGCATGATTTTGTTTTCTGATTGGTAGAAGCATGTTGACTGAATTTCCAACCTAATATAATTTCCCCTTAAGTAGGGTAGTGAATGTGGTGCCCTCCATATGTTGTTGGACTACAACTCTCATCATTCCAGACAATTGACCATGCCGGCTGGGGCTGATGGGAGTTGCAGTTCAAAAACATCTAAGAAGCACCATGTTGGCTACCCCTGTCCTAAGATAAGAGACAATGTTTGAGCTTGTTTAAACATAACTAAGAAAAAGCAATGAGTTGGTGCCGCTTGTTGTCAAGGCATGATTTAATATGAGCTCAAAGGGTCATTTAAGGTCCCTGTTTAGATATGGATTCCAGAAAAATAGAACACAGTGGACCCCTCTGTTTATTCTTGAATTCACACAGCCCGTACAAATGTATTAATATATAGCCCTATTACTTTGATTTCCAAGTAAACATCGTGCAAGTTGACACTATATAGATTAGTAAAAATAAGAAGAAAATCGGGGAAAATGTGGGATAAACAGGACCACTAATACTCCCAGGGATTGTAAGCCTCCTTAGGGAGATTCACCTACCACTTTGAGAACCATGGGAACAGAACAACTATCCAGGAAATAATGATCGTATCAGCATTTTTGGGGGACAATTTCATCTGTAGACAGTCAGAACTATAGCATATTGTACTAGAACTAAGTTAAAAATAACTCCTCTAGGGAAGAACTTGTTTTTTGCATGCTTTTATTTGTTTTTTTTTCCAAAGAGTCAATTGTTAATGGACCACTTTCTTTGTCTAATAGGAAGTGAAAGCTTTTTCTAAATGGCTGAAATTTAGGATTTTGTCCAGTTGAAAACTAGATGTATCAGATAAGTGAGACAATAAGAAACAGATGGGTTCTCAGAAAGATATTTGAGTAAGTGTTTTAGTTCCATCCTTTTGTTTGTGACTATGGCTAGCTCTAAATGAACCTGTAAACCATTCTACATACAGTGGGTTTGATCCTTATCCATTTGAATATAGTGCTTTCCCATGCAGGAATACCCATAGGATAAGTATGGTTTCTGCTTTGAAGAAAGATGTTCTCCTTTAATGGGGACCATTTTTTCTTGGAAGCAGGGCCTATTGGGGCTTGAAACTGTTCCTATGGAAGGCATTTCTTTTGTGCAAACTAATTGGAGGAGACTGGAAGGATATCTTACTGCTCCTCCAGAGACCTTGTTTTCATCCCTGAACCTTGCTCCTCACACTTCTCTGGAGATCCACCATCCTGTCAAAAGTGGCCCACAAAGGGGTGGCCACTTTAGAATCTGGCCTGCTGAGCCAAAGTTGTTCTTACCCCTGAACTACAGCATCTCTTGACAGATGGTTGACCAGCTTCTGACCAGATACCTCCAGTGAAGCTAGTGCCTACCAGCTGCTCAGACAGCCTATTCCACTGTCAAATAGCTCGTAACAGTTAGGAAGTTTCTTCTAACGTTTAGCTGAAATTGGTTTCCCAGCAGTTTCCAGACTTTTATTACGTCTGACTTCTAGTATTCAGATCTTTCAACTGCTCTTCATAGAGCTTGGTTTCCAGACCACCTCACCATGCTGGCTGGACATTCACCAGTCCTTTTTAAATGTGGCACCCAAAACTGAACCCACTACTCCAGATGTGGCCTGACTAGCAAAGAGTGGAACTATTTTCCCATGTGGTCTGGACTCTGTATAGTGCAGTTGCAGCACACACACCTTTTACTTAAGCAAATTCAATTATGCACTCTTGGCTTTTGAGGAAGCAGCAGCCTTCCCAACCGTGGTTGCATCAGAGGTGGCAGCTCCAAAATGAGTGAAATGAGTGGAGAAGCTGTAGAGGCAGATGGAAGAATAAGAAGAAATGTTGAGCTGCTGGCTGGACAGAGAGAGGCTGACAGAGCTGCAGGCAAAACAAACCCCCCAAATTGGAATTAAGCCACATTTCTGCCTGCCTCTCTCCCTGTCTGCTTTTCTCTCCCTTTTCGCATCTGAAGGAACCAAGCTTCCCCCCACTTTTCTTGCAGCCTAGGGAGCCAGTGCAGGAAGGTCCTCTGCGCAGGATTTCCCCCACTTCCAGCAGGCAGCTTTTGTCTATATGCAATTTTGTGTATGTGCTGTGTAGAACATAGTGCTCACATGAGTGCTCTGGAACGTAGTGCTCACATGAGTTGCAATCTTACTGTACTGTTAATGAAATGTAAGACTGTCTTACCTCTTTGAGCAGTTGCATGCACTACCAGCTCACTACCAGCTCATTTTACTGTAAACTTGGCAGGATAATTGTAAATCCTGACAGCAAAATTGAACCTCATAAACTGAAAAAGAGCTTTTTGTCATGCCTTTCTGAGCTTCCATAAGTGCCTCTTCATGCAACATTGAGGACTGATTTTTGCCCTTAGTCTTTCTGCAGACAATATACATGACCTTTATGAACATATTCTTTTGCAGAACATGTGGCTTACTGGGCACATTGGTGCTGATCAGTGTTAAGGGATTATGTTTTTAATTTGTTCTGCTGGCAAAATATAAACTTTAATATAATATTGTACAAATGCTTCACTGTTCTAGATAATGCAATTTGTGTATTTCAATTAAACTGTTAGTTATAACAAATTTTAAGTGTTCTCAATATCTGAGACTGGGATGACCAACATGGTCCCCTCCATATATTGTACTCCACCTCCCATCACTCACAGCCAATATGACCGGTGGTTAGCGATGATGAGAGTTCTAGTTCACAGCATCTGGAGGTCGCCACATAAATATTATCTCTTAGCTATGTTGTCTAATATTTCTAATATTAGAAACTTACAGTGATTATGTTTAATTTGCTTGTGTAGCTACAGAAGTGCCAGGTAAAAGAGTGACTTAAAAAGAAAATTAAAACATCCATGAGGTTAATTTGGATAACCTGAAACATAAATGTTTAAGCTGATGTAATTAACTAATTTCTTATCCTGACCAAATTCTGTTTCCAAGACAGATTTTAAAAGCATTTTATTTTCATGTCATATGGAACAATTAAAGCCTTCCTACCACACTCGTACTGTGTATATCACCCAATGAGATGATCCTAGATGGGAGACTCCCCCCCCCCGTCCAACTTTCCCCTAAATGAGTGTATACAGTTGGAATTTCAACCAGCTCTGTACATTCCTGACACTGATGATATATGGCCCTTGCAGTCTTGATAGTGGAAGGATGGCTTATCCCCAGACCTAATCCTCCTCTGATAATCGGGACGTCCAAATGGTTCTTTCCTTGAAGGTCTGAATTTATCCATCCAGTCTTCTGTCTGCCTGTCCAATCTGATAGAATGTGCACTGAGAGAGCTAATTGCTGAGAGAATTTGCTGCTTGCCTGCATGACTGATCAAGAGCACAGCAAGTTCATTTCAGACAGTCTCAGACAGATTTTGCTTCATCCTCTGCCTTTAGGGGGAGAAGATTATGATGTCTTATCATTATCTAAGAGTTAGGTGTCTCTTCAATTGCCTCAGAACTGCTGTATCCTTAAGGAGTTTAATATGTCTGTACCATCTTTTTGTGTTGTCCTGACTAGCTCTGTGTGTTGTCAAGAAAATTAGCGCTTCGTGTTATCCATAATTCTATCTTCCTTTCTGGTCATGCTTTCCTTCAGATTTCATTATTTGTATTGATGCAACTTCCATCTGACAAGGAGCTGGGGAGAATGGTGTGCCAGCAGTGTTAGATACAGGCACAGCTTCTTTAGATTAAGGAAGAGTCAAGTTCTGGAATATATTGTGTCTATGGTTTTCAATTTAAGCGATAACAGGCTTGCTTGACTGCTTGGTTTATTTGTGTGTGTGTGTGTGCATTCCCACCTCTGCTATCTGAGTTTCCAGGGAATGTATGTTCAATCTTATAGTTAAGCATGAATCTGAAATAACAAATGCTTGTTTTAGATGTGCATTTTTCTTGGTCAAAACTAAAGTTTCAAGATGCGTGGTCCTGTGCATATCTACTCAGAAATAAATCTCATTAATTCAAATGGATCTTTCTTCTGGAATTCCAAAACTTCTTTTATCAAACCTTAGTTGCCTTATAAAATTTGTATAGCACTTTTCACCAGACACACTCAAAGTGTTTTCCAACAGTACTGAAAGCTACAGTTATTAAAATGAAATACAATTAAAGCAAAGCAAATATTACAACAATAGAGGGTTGTAAAATTCCAAAGATTTGGGAGAGGTGCAAATTTGAACTGTACAGTGGAAAAGTGTAAGTGATTATTCTGTCCATACCGTTGGGCAAGGTTTCAGAGTCAAGGTACAATCACAGAGAAGGCCCACAATACTCATAGGTGGGACTGCAAATAAGGCACTCTCAACTGATTTTGGAGCTCAAGCTGGTTAATATGGAGAGAGGCACTTCAAGTCATTCAGGGCTTTAACATACTATTAACACCTTAAATTGTAGGTAGCCGGTGAAGCTCCTGCAGAATAGGTGTAATAAGCCTAGGAGCATCTGTTAAAACTTTAGATGCAGCTGTATGTAGAGTGTATTACAGTAATCCAACTGGGAGATTACTAGAACATGTAAAACTAGCTGGGATATTTTGATCCAGGAATCTAGAAGAGGCAAAATACACATTTTCCCAGAACAAGGACCACCCACCAACAGTGTTTTCACCAAGTCAGGATTCAGTTTATTGGCCTTCATCCAGCTAATTACTACCCTCAGGCACTGGTTCAGCACAAACAGGGCTATATCTAGTTTAGACGGTTGTTGTTGTTTAGTCGTGTCCAACTCTTCATGACCTCATGGACCAGAGCACGCCAGGCACTCCTGTCTTCCACTGCGTCCCGCAGTTTGGTCAGACTCATGTTTGTAGCTTCGAGAACACTGTCCAACCATCTAGTCCTCTGTTGTCCCCTTCTCCTTGTGCCCTCCATCTTTCCCAACATCAGGGTCTTTTCCAGGGAGTCTTCTCTTCTCATGAGGTGGCCAAAGTATTGGAGCCTCAGCTTCACAATCTGTCCTTCCAGTGAGCACTCAGGGCTGATTTCCTTCAGAATGGATGCCTTTAATCTTCTTGCAGTCCATGGGACTCTCAAGAGTCTCCTCCAGCACCATAATTCAAAAGCATCAATTCTTCGGCGATCAGTTTAGACGGTACTGATATACATTGCTGAATGTCATCTGCATGTTGATGACACTGAGTTCCAAACTCTCTGATGATGTGACCTAATGACTTCATATAGATATTTAAATAGCATTGGGAACAAAAATAAGGATTGCAGAACTTGGGGCTAAGCCAAACTCAGCTCTTTGGAAGCAGCCCTATAGGTAGGTCTGGGATCACTGTAACACTGTGATCCCAACCCACCAAGTTACTCCAGGAGTATAACATGGTTGATGGTATCAAAATCCACTAAGTGTTCAAGGAGAAGCAACAGGGTAACACTTCCATTTCTCTCCTAAAGCAAGTTATCAGTCACAGCCGTCTCTGTGCCAAAACCAGACCTGGGACTCAGCTACATTTGTAAAGATAAAGCACTTTATATGCATTATAACACTGTGACACCAGATGGCAATGTGGAGTCCTGTCTTTCACCAATGGGATTCCCCTGTATGAAGTTTACAACAAGTTTAACTGAAACACTTTTTCGATGTGTCTAGATTCAGCCCTAGTGCTGAATTAAATGGGTCAAGATAATTGCTTTTCCTTTTAGTATGTCTGAAATTGCATGGCCACAAGTCTCTTGAGCACCTTCCTCAGAAAGGGATGTTAGTGACTGAGTAGTGGTTTAGATCCTCATGATCTAGGCATGGTGATGTACCCCTTCCTTTCAATATGACAAGGAACACTCTCTGCTACAAGGATGCATTTACCACACTTGAGATTACCTCAACCAGCTTTGACAGTTGGTACACCAACATGATCACTGTTCTGTTTCTCTGGTAGTACAAACCCTCCACACTGGCACCCAAGTGCACTTGCTTCTGGGGAGAAATGGGTGGCTTTTTTGGAAATGACAGCAACACAACTCTCTCTCCGTGTGTGTGTGTGTGTGTGTGTGTGTGTGTGTGTGTGTGAGAGAGAGAGAGAGAGAGAGAAAGAAACAGGTTCTGCATGCCAAATTTGCAACTAAAATACTTTTAGCATGCCATCTCCCCCTCCCCCCATACGAAAGCAAATAGCTAAACAAGTGATTTAGAACTAGCTATTTTTCTGCAGTTTCCACTTATTTATCTTATGTGTCTGCATGGCATAATGTAGCAAGACAGGCAGATTTAACCCCCTGAGCTGGAGAGTTCACAATTAGTGATTGAGAGGCTAATATAGTCGAAGCTTGACCATTGTTGCAACTTTCCCCCTGCCTTATTTAAGAAATCTATCTCAACAGCAAACTAGTTACTGAAGATCATCAGGGGTCATGTCAGAGGTCAGATATTTGAGACCATTTTCCCACAATGGCTCTCTACAAGTGATCCCTTACTGTGTTAAAAAAAAAATTGTCAAAGAGGATTAAATGGGATTAGTAAGAATATTACCCTCCCAGAAGTAGCCCCAAGACACAAAATGAAGAACCTAGTGAAGCAGTAAATGCACTATATTTGACCAGGGCACAACCTTGGCTACATTCCTTCAAGAATCTGAATGGGAAAAGTTAAGTCCTCTAAACTGGATTAGTAAATAATCTCATGGTTTGTGGCATCTGCTGAAAAATCATTAAGTTCACTGCATTCTTACAGTTTGGGGGAGAACTGACAGTGTTATTGACTGCAGTGATCAAGGATGTGATTAGCTTTGGCCATTATTGTGTGGATCAGGCCAGTTCATAAATGACTTCATCAAAGTCATTCATTTAATGTTCTCTAAACGTTCTCTGATTTGTTTTCATCAATGAAATTTTAAACCTGCAATTCTTAGTACTTTACTCTGAAAATATTTCAAAAAGAATTTCTAAAAGGGGGGGGGGAATACTCAAGTAATTATACACTAACAAGAGCATTTAAAGTAACTATTTGCATTTTGTGGAAGAGTATACCTGTAGAACAGGAATGGTGAACCTGTGGCCCTCCGGATTCTGTTGAACCCAACTCACATAAGACCCTGCCAGCATGGCCAAGGATCATGGATGATGGGAGTATACTCCAATAGCAACTTGAGAGCCACACCTATCCCTGTGGAATGCCCTGCCTTCAGGGGTCAAGGAGATAAAGAACTACATAACTTTTAGAAGACATCTGAAGGCAGCCTTGTATCGGGAAGTTTGTAATGTTTGATGTTTTACTGTGTTTTATACATGCTGTAAGCCGCCCAGAGTGGCTGGGGAAACCCAGCCAGACGGGTGGAGTATAAATAAAATTATTATCATCATCCCATCCCTGGTATAGAATAGACTCAGTAGATTGCTTTGTGAATGGCATGTGAATACAGTTCTCTGTCCTTCTCTGTCTGGTTGAGGACACAAGTCAATTTGGTAAGGCTAATAGCCTCCATCGCCTTTTGTTTTACTGGGAGACAAAGCAGTGAAGGCAGAGTACTGAACCAGAGCCATACCGTAACAATTGCCAGACTTATTTATTTATTTTAAGAGACCTATTAATGGAGTTTCTTGTGTGTCACTGTTTGGGACCTACCTATCAGTGTGAAACCCTAGCAAAGACAAACTCCCTGGGCTCCTCAAAATTTTGTTTTCAACAGGCCCTGCTGGCAGTTGAGCACATCACCCTTATTACTTCTGTAATTTACTGTTGTATCCTCTTCCACTTCTTGGGAGTCATTTCCTTATAAATCGTGTTGATTGTGATTATTTGTTTCTGCTGTCCTAATCTTGTTCTTGCACGTAAATGTGGAAGTTCATTGCTCTGTAAAAGGAACATGCACTATTTCCCCCACTTTGGCATATTTAGCAGTGCAAACTAAGTTGCATTTTTGAAGAAAGCAGTAAACAAAAACCACCCATGTTAGTAGTAGCATGTTGCTTTTCCAGATGCATTGTCTTCATCTAGATAGTGGGCCTTCTTCAATGGAGAAAAGAGTGCCTGTGATTGAAGGGGTTGGGAAGGGGGCTTTGGAGTACACATGGTGCTTTTAATGGCTTTTACTGGACTGCGGAGTTGCTTAATCCCTGGCTACCACTTCAGTTTTCATTATGATTTGTGTTCAGCCAGTGCTGTCTGTTGCTGAAGGGTGTCTTCTGTTTGATAAATTCTCTAAGAACTGGGGTTTAGTATTAGCACCTAATATAATGATTGCATCACGTGGACTGAAGATTTTCACTGATGTTCTGTCTCCTAGTCTGTCTAGAAAGGCAATTACATGTATGTTCCTGGAACCACTTTGCGTACTGCAATCTGAAGTCTGAATGTGTTTGTAAAATATGAACACTTATCTGATTTAGTCTTTCCCCATTGAGTGGTGTCTGTATATGCCTGTACATAAGGCGCTTCTCAAATTTGCATTTGCCAAATAATCCACATTTTGTTGTCAGCAACTTTTATCTCTAATGTAATATATGGATCAAGCTAAAAGTAATTTTGAAATATTTGAAAGTCTGTGTATACGAAAAACTAACCTCAATAGCCTGTGTAGCTTCACATCACTTTACACATTTTCTTCCAGTACTTGCTAGAAATGAAAAGCTTAGTTTTGCCTCCGGAGCATATCCTGAAACGTGGAGACAGTGAAGCAGTGGCATATGCTTTCTTCCATCTCCAGCACTGGAAGCGAATTGAAGGGGCGCTTAATCTGTTGCACTGCACATGGGAAGGCAGTAAGTATTCTTTGCTAGTGGCATGAGCTAATATTTCTCTCTCTCTTTTTTGGATCATTATTTTTAAATGTGCAGCTGGAGCTCAACTGTGAGGCTGTCCTGACTCATTATTGAGGTTCCCTCTGCACTTTAGTTAGTTTTGGTATTAGTTCTTGTCCAGATTTCAGTCACATTGAAGGTGCAATTAAGATGACACAGGTGTTCAGCTTGTGCTCTCTTTCTGCTCCAAGGATCTAAAAATACATGCATGTAGGTGTTCTCTTCTGCAGTGTGAACACTAAAAGATCTATTGTGCATGCATATTTCTTTTCCTTGTCCACCCCACCCATTCCTTCCAAAAGCCAGTTCATGGAGTTACTTCAGTGTAACTGAATGCACAACCAGAGTACTTCGGGGGGTGGGGGACAAAATAGCTGATATGTAGAAGAGCATGTGCTGCTAATATTCCATTCTTATGAAAGAAACCCCTGTTGCACCACTTTGCCAGTTTTCTAAGAAAGTTTTCTAAGCTAGATGGGGTGTTTCAAACTAAAAATGTCAAGAAGTATCTTGGATCGTATTCATATTGTCTTAGAATCATAGTTAGAATCATAGAGTTGGAAGGGACTCCATGGATCATCTAGTCTTGTTCTTCGATGCCAACAAGATGTATGCAACATGCCATGTGAATATTGAATTCCTATCCTATTTGATTTGTGAAAGAAGACTGGATGGCTTGGGAGGTGATTGTCAGTGAGTCTGAGGGTAGCTAGAATGGTGCTAATTTAATAAAAGGAATCTGAACACAGATATGACTTTGTTTCCAGGCGACTCTAATAAAGTGAATTTTGCATGGGTCTGATGTTGATGATTTTTTTTTTACCTCCTCAGCCTTTAGAATGATCCCATATCCATTAGAAAAGGGCCATCTATTTTATCCTTATCCCAGCTGCACAGAGACAGCAGACAGAGAGTTATTACCAAGTAAGAAAATGTTCCATTTCTCACATTTTATTTTTTCCATCTACAGTTAATGACAAAAGTCTGTTCTCTTTCTGTGTGGCATTGTGCTCAACTGGAATACCTGTGTGTCTATATATGCATACAATAAATATTCCATACACTTGTACACTGAATGCAGTTAGCTTTTAAATAAATGAAGCAGCTATCCAACAATGTAAATTAGCCCCCTTTTGTATCTTATATTTGAAGTGGTGGTGGGATTGTGGTCCAACTCCTTCCCATTCTGCAAAGAAAATGTCAATACCTCACACTATGGGAGAGACCACCTCAGTATGACTTCTCCCCACAGCAGCATTGCCTCTGGTGGCCAGGAGGTGAGGCGCTGGTGTGGGGAAGAGCTGTGGCTTGTTCTCTTTTCTACATGACTTGGGGTTTCTAGTACAAGATCTTATGGCATTTGTATTTATTACACACACACACATAAAATACCTTGCTGTATACAGGAATATATATATACAGATACAATAGAACATAAAATACCATAAAAATAGTACAAAATAATCATAAAGATTACTGGTATGGAATGGAGTTGTGCTGTGGTGAGTTCTATGCTGCGAAGATAACCTGAGGAGGGGAATTTTTCTAAAAGGAGTGGTGTTAAAATATCATTGTCCCCTTTTGTGTCTTTAGCCAGTCTCAGTGTTACTTGACAATACTGCCCCTCGGCTTTGTGGTTGTTGAGTTTCTTTCCCTACTTGTTTGACTGGAGCAGCATTCTCTGCACTCTAGGTTAGTTCTATCAAAAGGGAAGAGCATTTTAAATGGCCTGTGTTCTCCTTCGTGCACCCCAGGCCAGAATGACAATTTCTTTCAGGTGGGAAAATATTGAATGAGTGCTTCCCTTGTGGGAATGTCAATTTGATCAGCACTCTTGTGGACATTTCCACTGTGAAGAAAATGCTCAATATCTAGGTTTCAGAATGGTCACCGTGCAGTTTTAGACACCATCACATCAGCGAGAAGCTGCTGCACTCCTTCAGTAAGCAACCTGCACAGCTTGATTGAAGACCTACATTTGTGGGTGGTATAGAGGTCTTTATCTGAATTGTCTTGTATATTTATGTTGGTCAACTTGGAGACTGTACTATAAAAAGGCAAGATATAAATATTTAATAATTAGACTTGCATACATTTGCTTAACCTGCAGTTTCAGATAACACTTTTGAGCTTTAACTCAATGTTTTAAATAAAAAAAGGCTATTTTCTTTCTGGCTTCTAAAAGGCGATACTCAAATGAGGAGAGAAACTGGCCCAAGGTCAACTTGTTCAGCACAGACCCATGCTGGAAATGTGCCATACCTAAAGATTGCAGCTAGTATGGCTGTTTTAAGCACATATATTGTCATGACACAAGCACATAGCTTGGCATGCTGTGTACTTTTGTATTTTTCTGTATGTTGCAAGAGTTGCTCAGCTCTCAGATGTTTGGAGATAGATGTAAAGTAAAGTGAATTTTAAAGATAGGTGAACATGAAAGTTAGGCAATGAAAAACCTTGCTCAAAAATATGTTCTGTTAGATAGGTAAAAATGAGTTACACTCACAGAGAAATTCCTGGTGTGCTAGGAAGGGCGCCATTCACTTAAATAACTGAATCCTGAAGTCAGATCAGGAATGTTTCATATGTTCAATATTTTCTGTAGGGAAAAAATATGTTAATGACACAGATTGTTCTATAGGAATATTACAGAATGGGGAGTGAAATAGATCCATGTGCAATTGTTGCTTGTGGTGATCCCCCCCTTTTCAAAAATTATTTTTTCATGCATAAACACTTCCTACAAGAAATGTGCATGGTCTTCAAAGGATTCCTAAGATGTTTCAAGTCTGGTATGATAAACAATTGCAATTAAAAAACCTGAGTTTTGAAATATTTTGGTATAAAGCCCTAATAAAAGTGAGGTTGTTTTGGCCTTCTGAATTTCAAACCCTTAGGATGCATGGCTGTCACAATTGATTTAACCAGAAAGTGGTCAACACTTAACCAGCCCTTATAAAATGGCAAACCTGCCTTACTCATACCAGACAGCCATAGAGCTTCCTAACCACTAGAGTTTCCTAATCACATGTACTTGACTTGTACTAGAATCTATGCAAAAATAGAGGTTCTTTGCCACACTGGTAAATTCTAACCTTGAGTTAGGCTCTTGATAGTAGCCCACGAACGATCCTTTGTAAAGTGATTTGAAAATATGCTTCTCAGTTGCTAAGTGCGAGAATTTTGGTGCCCCTTTATTTTATAATGAGGGTTTTGTTTCATGCTAGGTGCTGGTGAGATTCTGATAAGTGTTAACTTCTCCATCTTGGGAGAACTTTGTTTATAAAGTATATGGCATACTTATAACTAAAGCAGCCAAGGGGCACATCTGCCACAAGTGCACTTGCATATTTTTGCAATTCAATAAAAAAATTAAATCTTGAAAAGCTCTGTTTAAAAACTAATTAAAATCTGCCCCCAGACTGCTCTAAATTACTCATTTCTCACTCATGCAGGATATTGCTCAAAGAATGCCTCTGCTAGTGACGAACCCTAAGCCATCGGCTTCCCGGTATAATTAAACTCCAGTGCATGAAGACATTTCAGCACAATCACTCACGCATTCCTGTTAAGTTTTTAAATACAAAACTATCCATAAATAAAATCATCTTAACACTTTTTATGCTGCTACTCTCCAGCAGGTTTCAAATTTTAAAAATTCTGTTGCTTTGGTCAATTCTTAAAAGGAAAGAACGTTTTACTCCATTGAGGCTTTCACTGATATATATCTTAACTGCAAAGGGTGTATTTTAAAATAATTCTTAATTTAATCAGTGTTGCAGATTCCTCCCCTCTATTTAAAGTTAGATCATAGTTCATCTCAGATAGGTCTTTCTTCTTTGCAAAATCACGACCTTTATCTAACCATCCCTAAAATACCTGGAATATCAAATAACTATTGCCATTTCCCCCCTTCCTTCCAGCATTTCATGATGTGTCTGTGTACCCGCAGAAGGAACTTCCTTTTTTCATCCACTTTACTGCAGGGCTGTGCTCTTTCACAGCAATGCTAGCGCTCCTCACACACCAGTTCCCGGAACTTATGGTCATTTTTGCTAAAGCTGTAAGTATTGACTCAACTTACTTAATGTATTTATATGACATGCAGAAACCACCTCTGGAACACTATAAACTAATTCAGAACAATGGGCATCTAAAAACCTGATTCAGCATAGCTCAGTGTTCCTCTTTTTTTAAGAGAGGATTTTTCAGAGGTGATACATGACGATCTTGGTTTTCTTTCGGCAGCTGGACTGTATCTCATTATGGGGAAACATCTGATGTACCACAATTTCCAGTTTTAAAGCAGGACATGGGGGCTCTTAAGCCATTTCAAACCACATGCAGTTTTTCTTTGACTGTAAGGATTTGCTAATAATTACAGTGGGGTTGCCATACTTCCAGAGTACTGTTTTTTGCCCAAAATCTCAACTACTTTGGGCAAAACACCTTTGCCCAAAAAAGCTCAACAACTTTCCAGATTTTCATTGTTTGAAATATGGCAACCCTAATTTACAGTGTTTGAATTATTAGCATGAAAATATTGAGACTATCTTCCAGTATCCTGTTACATATGAAGTACATATACAAATAATAGATAAACGGTTGCATTCTTTCTTGCTGTACCCTGGGAGCCAATTGGGAGCTAGTGGCTGACCAAAGAAAACTTCTTTTATATGGTCTAAATGGAAGCATTGCTTGTCTATTTACCCTAATACTGTTTAGTTTCCATTCCATGTATGGCAAATATGGCAAGTTAAGTCTCTGGAGCATAAAAGGATTTTATTTTATTTTACGCTTTTAAAACACTACGTTTCTGTAAGCTTTTTTGATTATATAGATAGCTTACTCTGGCAGGAAGGCAGTCAATTTTCACTATGTGATTTTCTTTTTGTGTTGATAGCACAAGGCAAACACAATTATCAAAGGGATAAGTGGACTTTATAACAACAAGAAGTACAAGTAGCATTGTTCAAACTGCAGAATAAAATTATATGGTAAAATAAAAATAATTTGAGACATGTCACATGGGAGAGGCAGAATGGGACCCATAATAAATACAACTTCAATAGCAAATGCCCTCATTGACAAGAATTCCTAAAGAGGGTTGTAAAGGTAAAGAAAGCACTATCTTTGGCCAGTTTTCAGTGGTTATATCAGAAGATCAGGACGATTGGCTAACATTTTGTAGAGATAGAGTTCAATATTCAACATATTTTCTTGATAGTCAGTAATCATTCTAATATGTTTAGAAGCTTGAGTCATGAGGGCTTTAGTTACCTAAACTGGTATTCTGAAAAGGGATCAGGTAGACGTTTGAATGAACTCTTCTTCAAGCTGACTGCTTTGATTAATAGCCTGAATTATGCAAATGTTATTTATTTACTTACTGGCTATTTCTTGTCCATCATTCATCCCAAAGGCTTCCAGGGCAGGATACTAGCTTAAAACGCATACACTTAGATACAGTGTCACAAAATGTTGTATAGACTTGGTTCAAATACATTAAAACAACAGGAACAACTAAAACCATTATTAAGACCACAAAGCAGACTAACTACTACTCCGCTCAACCCCTTAAAATTGCATGAGCAAACAAACATATCCATCCTTGGCACTGAAACAACTAACACATCAGCACAAAGCATACTTCTAAGGCCAGAGAAGGATAGGAAGATGCTTCCAGGATCCTAATGAATACTGTTCAGTAAATATACCATGCATTCCATATTCACAGGGCACCAGCATTGTCTGGTAGATCTTCAATTTACCCTCCTTTTTGAAGCAAGCATCCTACCTCTTTTCAGATTTGTTTTGAAGGTCCATTGAACCACACATGTAAACAGATGATGTCACATGTACCATCTGCTGAACTATCGTTTCTTTTCTTTTCGGATGTACTACACGCCTGTTAAGAGTCTTCCACTTCGTCACTATTTTATTTTACTTGCTTACTTTGAGTATTTATACCATCTATTCTAAACATCGTGAAGATGCTTGTAATATATTTAAATAGGCAAGAGTTACAAGGGAGGTGTAGGATGTGTATACAGGTTTTTCCCAGTCCTCAGGTATTTCAGTTGCTACTGTCCTTCTGGATCCCCAGCTCACAGCATATCTCAGATGACCTTGGCCAGGAAACAGTTGTCAGAGCAGCCTGATGTTAGTCCAGGGGCAGCCAGTGTGGTGCCCTCCAGATTTTGTTGGGAGTCTTCCATCAGCCCCAGACAACATGGCCAGTGGGCAGGGATGATGTGAGCTGCTGTTCAACAACACCTGGGGGTACCACGAGGTGGAGTTTCTTCACCCAGCAGCTGTTTCAGATGTCTCTTGTAGCTTCTATGGTTAAGGTAGTGCAGATCTAGGCTGAAAGTGGTCTTAATTATTGACTTTTAAGAAATCGGGTCATGAGGACAACATGACCCCCAATCCCCCTTTTGTATTGTGTGTATTACCCAAAACAAAATGCTGATCTATGTAGTTTGATCTACTGTGGTATTAGAAGATAGCAGCAACAACCTCTCTGTAAAATACCAAATTGCCCTCAATTTTAGCTCCTGTGAAACCTTGTTTAGTACTGTGATTCGGAGTACCTACCCTTGAACTTTTGAACCGGGCATACAGCAGACCATTGATTTTGCTATTGTATAGCCTTGGATGGAGAGTGTTTGCTGAATATGTGTATTACAACAAGTGGAGATCAGAAATAGAGCATAGTTACTAATTTTTGAATGTCAAAGTTGCATGAAATCCATATTCTAGTTTCTTTTCATTAAGCAGTGTTCAAAATATGTAGGTCTGATAACAGGGGCCTCATTTCTACCAAATTTAGTTACTCATTATGTGGGAAAATGTTGCTGGACATGCCAGTAACACTTTTGTGTGTGGTTCATAATTGGCTAACTTTTAAGGAATGGAATATAACTATCTGCTTGATTAATTCAAGGACTGCGCTAGCAAAATTGTATGATTTCCAACAAGATACAAGGTCAAATGTTACACTAACAAAGAATAGCTCAGTGAAGTTCTATGCTGGATTTCTTTATTGTTGCTTCCTAATTTACATGTAGAACAATTGCAGTGTTAAACCTGAAAATAATTCTAGCATGCACACATATAAAACTTTCTTTTGAAATAATACTTGATGGGAAGTACTGTATATAGTTTCAAATATGTCAAACAACATGGTCATTACTAGCTCTGTTCTTACGAGTTTCCTTAAATAGAGGGAGCTTGCACTGACTTGTGTATGCTTTTGGACTTTGTCATTTTGTCTGGATGAGTACCACTCCAGAACATCAAGAAAGACTTCTCCGGAAAAGTTGATCATCGGTGTTTGAATTATTGGGAAGAAGGAGAGGGTTCCCACTCCACCCTTCATTCATGCACTAACAGTAAGCCCATAAAGAAATATGGTTCCTCCATTAATGCGCAAACTATTGCCTTGTTGTTTCTTCAACTACAATACGAATCTTGCTCTGTGATACTAGAAAACACTTTATGAATGGAGCATCTCTATCACAGTTAAGGGAGTCTTCATTGATAGATAGAATCTGCAGATCTTCTCATATGAACAAAATGAATACTTTTTATTTTTAGATAATATACATGTCTCAGCAGGCATAGTCTTGGAGGCACTGTGTGAGAAAAAGGTAGAACCCCCTTCTAAAATACCTGCCCCTCACTGTTTTTGTAAGTACTTACTAAATCTGCCCAGTTAAACAAGGACAGGTCTGTAACTGAACATTTCAACCTTAATGAGCAGTTAAATGGGAATAGCAGGGTTTTCGTTCATGCCATATACTAAGTTAGAAACTATCTTTTTCCAAAATGATTTATTTCCTTAAAAGTAATTTTTCATAAGCTGACAGTGTTCAAATCAGTGTTGTTTTTATAGTGAACTGGTTCATGTGTCACATCAAACTATAGTTACAATAAACAATGGCTTAATTTGAAATCCTAGACCGGGGTGCCCAAACTTTTTTCAAAGAGGACCAGATTTGATGAAGTGAACATGCATGAGGATTGTTGAGTTTAGGATTTAACCCCAAGGTTGTTGAGCTTTTTTTAGGATTTTACCCTAGGACATATACTGCAATGAAGGCCAGATTAAATCGACCGGCAGGCCCCCAAAACAGGCTTTGGACATGCCTGTCTTAGACGCTTCACTTTTCCGCTGGTCCTACTGCTGCCATACTGCTGGGAAACAAACCATTTAAAACTATGGTTTAATGTTACTTGCAAACATCGTCACTGTTTGTCCGCTATAGTGATAGCACAAAATCTTGTTAGTGTAGGTTTTTCTTGCATAGTAACATTGGCCTCAATTTTATTTGGAGACCAAATTTCAGTTTGGTCTTTACAAGCATTATAAATTTACTTTGAATTGCATCTGAAACATGCTTAGTCTTGTAAAATGTTATATCTGGAAAAAATTATGTGCTTCAATATGAACAAATCTAAAAAGATAAACATTGTAATACCTGTATTTTCTAATTTGCTGATATACCCAGAATATCATTCTATCATAGTAAAAAACGAATACCTACATTTAGTCCTCTTGTTACATCTGTCTATAATGCATTTGTCCTTACGTTTCAATGTTTAACTCAATTTTTTTTCTTTCAATGCAAATTTTGAAAGATTTCAAACTTAATGAAAGTAATGATACTAATAGTGCAATCCTGTTCATGTCCTTTCAATCCCATTAATTTCCGTGAGACTTGCTTCCAGGTATAGGATTGCTGCCATGTATAATCTGAGGCTGTGATTTTAATTGCCACTTCACTGTGATCCAATAAAGTTAACAAGCCTCCACCAAATACCTGCTTTGAGTATTATTGTAATAGAAGACAAGATATAAATATTAAATCTAACAGAAAGTGGTCATTTGAACTGCCCGTGAACAATGCTGTAAGAGCCTGGCTTAATTCCAGTTCTTTTCTCCCCTTAATTTTGGGACCATAATTATTTAAAGTATACAGAATTCTCCTGTCATGAACATGACCCTGGAGCCCATCACCATTCCTTCTTTCAGTGTTCAGACTTGCAGAATATTATGTATATAGCCAAAACAGTAGACACACACAAAACAACAACAGCACACAGGAAATATTGGGGGAACCCTGAAGTTTTTACAGGGGGGGGAGCAAGTGGGTGGGAATTAAACAGCCCCTCAAAAAAGGATGAATGATTGGAACAGTAAACAAACACTCTGCACTACAACACCTTTTTGTTGGTCCTACTTGTTTCTTGCTAATAGTCATGTTTCTGTGTCTTCTTGACTCAGCTGATAACAAGTTATAATACAACATTCCTTCTGAAGATTGAGTGAGTTCCTTTTTTCTGCTGACAGCTGTAAGCTTTATTCGCAAATGACTGAGTCACTCATTCCTTAACCCATTTTCACTACTGTAGCCAGTTTGCTCCTACTAAATTAATTATTGGACTATTTGGTTATTTATTTAAATTTATATCCTTCTCTTTCCTGAGGACTTCGGGCAGGTAGCAATTAAAACATGCACATGTGCAGTCTTTCCTAAATTATAATTACCCTACGTTTCCTTAAGCTTAGAATGTTTTACATTCAGGTTCTGAATCTGATGGACCTCCAGGTGAAGTGAGACCTTCAATTATGAGGACAGCCACGGAACACCTCTCTGTGTCCTGGCAGTGTAAACTTGGCATGTGGATTTATACAGCCATGAAGGCCATGGTCAATTGAAATTAATGCTTATGACAGCACAAGGAAAGGAAGTTGGTCTCAGGGATGTAGGGCTCAAGCTAAGCACTTTATAGGTTAAAAAACAGCACTTAGGCTCTCATTTGAATGACTCTTTTATTTAGATTACATTATTTGCCTTGTTTACTAAATAGATTGCATTCAGATTTCAAGAAAGTGAGTGTGGCTAATTCGTTTTCTACATTTACGAGATAAAAAACAGAGCTTCATGCTCTAGTAAGTTAGAGATTTTTTTTAAAAAAAAATCTTATTATTAACATGTCCTGCAACAAACTGGTAAGTCCTAGGCCTAAACACTGCCCCCCACCAAAGCTCTTGCTCTTTTAAGCTATGAAAGTAGATCAGTAATAACACCTGGTGGTAGAAGCGCATAAGATTTGTTCCCTACTTTCAGGTTTAAAATTTGGACTACATGAGGTTATCTTTGAGCAGTTTTTATGCTTTTAAAAGACAGCCTTCCTTCATTTCCCCAACTCTTCCATGTATTCCACAGAGGAGATATTGGATGTTCTCAGCTGTCTAATCTGTTCTGTCAGCTATGTACTTCTGTAAAAGAACAAAACTTAATATCTTTTATTTAACAGAATAACATTGACTTATGCATTTTCACTGGATAATATTTCACTTGTTTCCTCTACAATCAAATCGCCAGACAAGCCTCTTGCCAAGCTACAACAAAAATTGTTGAGAGGCCAAAAACCACAGCCAGTCTTTTAATAGCTGCATCGTATACACAAAGGAATATGCCAACAGTGAAAGCTCAAAATTGGCTCATAGCTGCTAAATTGAAGTGAATGGAAGCTTTCCATTGGGTCCAGTGGGGCACAGCGATCTTGATTGGCTTTTGTTAGCAGCTGGAATGGGTTACAGGGCCTGCTTTCCAGAAGCTTTGAATGTCCCAGTGAGAAACAGGATTACTATTATTTGAACTTGTTTATGTGGTTGCTTAACCTGAAGAGATAGAAGCCAGTTGAATGGCAATCTTAGATTTCTTTGCAAAAACAAGAAGTCATTAGCAATATGCAAGGAAAAGAGCCTGTGTAGAATTGGGTGCTCTGTTCTCATCTCTGTTCCCTTTTTCACTGCCAACATAAGCAGGAAGCAAGAGGAATGTACCCTCTGTGTCTCCATCCCTCCAATGTTCATATGTTGGAGTCTTGCTGATGGCACTTCCTTAGATCTGAAGTAACAATACAAAGATCCTTCGATCTGAAACAATACAAAGCAATCACCTTAGGTGGCAGCTCTAATTCACATATCACAAAATACCAGTGTAACAAATTGTCATCCTATCATCAGCTACTCCATGTGTTCTTGCATATTTATTTTGAAGCACTGGGTTCATTTGGAGATTATACTGGTAGGGCAGCTAGACCTCTGAATTCCAACAAATGAATTCACATAATTGCATGACAACTGCTTTTGTAACAGGAATAAATCCCTTTACTGTTTTGTCGAAGGCTCATTAAGTTACACAAGAATTAAATTAATACACAGCTGCTGAGCATCTCAAATTTATAAACACTAGAAGCTTCTGCTTATCTGTGAGAAAATATATATGGCTTGGAGATGTGTAATGAATAATAGCCTACATTTGAACTATGTGAAATAGTCTCCCACAAGCTGGATGTGCAGGGATGAAAGGTACTGTTTTCTTGCCTTACTAACCTACATCTTAATCTGTAATATTAATTTGAGAGACGACACTTGTAATTTACAGGTTAGCTTCTGTGTGTAATTCCTGGATATGAAGAATGAGCCTTTGATTAAAAGTATCATTAATATAGTAGTGGAGCTGTGAAGTTACTTGGAATGAGAGCTAACTTTAGAGTTAGCTGAGTCAAACTGTTCTATGTCAAGGCAATTGAAGATAGCATGCCTGTCTCCCTCAACATTAATCCATTTGCATAGCTAAAATACTATTTCAAATGGCAACTTTCTAGACTGTATTTTCTGATGTGAAGAATGGCAAAAGGTCCCAGTGGATTATAGAAGGCAATTAGGAGAAATTGTGTAAAATAGTATCTGTGCTGAATATGAGAAGGTTGAACGGGGTCACCAGGGCCTACAGTTTTTTTCTCGTAAAGTCGAAGCAAAGATTAAGGCACTATTAAGTGAATATAGCTAATGGCTTGAAAACCTTTGTTTCTGCACTAGCTCTGCCTCGCTTCCATATTTAAGTTAGTTATTTTTGCTGTCATTGAAGCCTTATTCCATGATTTGCCTATCTCTAATAAGGGTAGTCCTGAAGTACAGAATGCCTAAGACTGACTGAACTGTTTAAAGACAAAACTGTCTTAACAAGCTAGCATTCTTAACAAGCCAGTGTTTCATAGAAATGTATTTCTTTGTGTACCTTTCCCCCATCAGCTCCTCAGCTGAATTTTTTTCTAGGTATATTTTGGTGAATCCAGCCATTTCTCTTCACAATCTTTTATTTTTAAAGCATCTGCATCTTTCTGGAGAATTCAGATTCCCCCCCCCCCCCCATTGTCACTATGTATACCTTTTTTTGCATATTTAAAGTTCAGAGTTTCTCTTCTTTTGAAAAAAAAAATTAGAAATGTATTTAGAAAGTTTAACAATAAAAAGAAGTATATTGTACATCTGTTTTTTCCCCTGCCAAGCCTAATCTGTTTTGATTCCTAAATTATTCCACTTATATTCAATGAAGGCCAGTCAAATATGTCAGCAGAATACATCTTGAATGAGTGTGTTAACTTTAGCATTATGCTTAATTGTAGCTTTTTCTTTTCTTTCAGTTCTTTGGAACTCTTTTGTCACCCTTGAGCTTCATGATGGAGAAGATTGAGCGCCTCATGCCTACTGGTCTTTGGCATCAGCTGACCCAAATCTGAGTGAACTCAGTCCTTGGGTCAGTGTTCTCAGGAACTCCACCACCAACTCCCTCTCTAGCACAAAAGCATCTGCAGCTGCGGGTGTCAAGGAAGACAAACTCCGTGACTTAGTTTTGTTTTGCATCCTGTTACTGGTGCTTAAAATTGCTGTACCCCTTTTTAAGCCTTAGAGTCTATAACGATTTAAGAACACCATGTTTGGTGGGACGGGGAGGGCAAGAGTGTTGTGCTCACTTTAGCTGTACAATTTGAGATTACTGCTTTCTTTCCAGAAAGCAATAAATCTGATAGACTGTGTGTTGAAATTGCCTTCTGCGTGTAAATGTTTTTTTAACAAAAAATAAAACCTGCAAGAGTGGTGTTGGAATCACTGGGCATTTGCTGAGGCCCACACCCAAGTAGCCCACGGACAACAGCCAGAGAATCCTAGTCCTGCTGCTCCTGCATCTTGCTGTCGCTGCTTGTTCACCTGTCCTCTCCCGAGCAAATGATAAATTACAGGAGCAGCCATTCACCTTGTCATTCTCCTATTATATTGCCCTAACTGTGCAGGTTAGGCCCAAAGCAAGAAAGCAGGTGAATGGATAGCAGCACAGAGGAGGTGGAACCACTGAGGATTTCTGCTCATGCAACAAAATCTTCCTGCTTTCCTCCTCCTGTGTGCCCCCTAAATCTATTCTGAGGCTTCCCCCAAACCTCTGGAGCAGATTGAAGGAGGGCACAAGGTATGCACAGGGAAAGTGGGAGTTCAGTACCACAAGCAGAAATCCCTGTGCTGGTGGGGCAAATTACTGGGTTCCGCCCCCTGTTCTAAAACACCCTGAGTATATGACCTCTCAGATTGGTCACCACATTCTTGTGATACTGATTTTTAACGAGCTTACAGCTACCTTGCAGAGTACATGGATTCATGACCCATGATGCTACCTCACCCTTCAAGATGGGGCAGGGTAGAAATTCATGATCATCACATTGCTGTGGTCACTTACATGTTCTTCAAGCCAAATTATATTCTATTACAAACATGTCCACCCCAGCAACTGGTCCAGGTCCTCCCTCTTCTAAGGGATTAAATTAGCTGAATTGTTTTTTTCACATTTACCATTCAGTGAGTCATAAATCAGAGCTTAACAAGTGGGCTTTGTCACTTGTGCTTTCAACTGTTTCTGGGATTGCTTAACTTTGTAGTGCTTGATGGAGACTGATACCTTGGGAGGAATTTATTCTAATTGCAGCAGACAAAATTGATGCTTGCCTTGACCTATGATCATACAGAAGCATTAACACAGCTCAGATCTGATATCCCAACCCCCTGTTCTGACTTTGTTCCAAATGGCAGCTTTGTGGGGGTAAACTGTGAAACCTAAACTTTTAAATGATGGCACTGTGACTTTGGATGGCACATGCATTTCTCAGTTTGCAATTAGAGGCATTGTCAAAGCACACTCCCATCTATTCTAATGAGGGAACAATGCTTCAGCAAAAGATGCATAGCCCCCACAATGGAAAGAAACATGTATATCTGTCTTCAGTGAGTCCTTGCACAGAGGTTGGCTGTTGATCTTGAAGCATGAGATAGTACCACTTCCCAGATGATTTATAGATCATGGGTCCCCTGCCTGTTGAGACATTGATTTTAAATGTTGCCAACACTTATGGTCTCACCCCATTCCATATATTAATTTTGAAAGGCTGGGAACAGCTCAAAATCCGGAAGCCCATTCTCAGTTACATTTTATGCTTTCCCCCCCATTTTAGAGATACATATATTTTCAATAGAAGGCACATGGCAACCTTATCACCTACCACCCCATCTATACTGATAATTGCATTCATATATGACAACACAGGAAAGCAAGAGATACAAATTGCTGGAACTATTCAGCTACCAGGAGGTAACTCTCTACGTTTTCTTCCAAGTGAACGTAAGCCACAGGGGCTGTTTCTCACGCTGGTATCGCTGTGATGATTAATAGACATGTTGTGCTCATGCAGTTTCACTTCACCATCCACAGGGGCCCATAAGGTAAGCGATATAATGCTTTTTAAAGTTGAACCTTTTCCAGCATATGTGTGGGGTTATAAATGAAGCACAGCCTCCCATGTATCACTCCCTAGAGCTGGTTTTTCTCACTGTCTCTTCTTTGACATGAGTGTACTAGAGTAGGATGAGCTTGTGGTGAATGTAGTCCTGGCAGCAATTCTTAGCCTATGTGCCTCCCATAAGACTGTGTGTGTGTGTGTGTGTGTGTGTGTGTGTGTGTGTGTGTGTTACTCTTCTGCTATCTGGTAAAACGCGTTGCCATGTTTATCCACATTGTTCTATGACATACTCAGTTGTGCACACTGAAATGTGGAGCAACTGGCCCAGCTGAGAATGGTGCTAAAAAGCCAGAGATTATTTTAACCAATGTGTAAGCCTTCTTTATGAATGTTCCAAAACTGCATTCCAGTGTGTGCATTCCAGTTCCAATGCAATTCTGTGTGCCCTCAGGTAGCTTTTAGCTCTCAACTGCTTGATCTTACATATATTTACTTGGAATTAAACCGCAATAAGTTTGATGTGACTTGCCCCCAGTTAAGTGTGCACAGAATTGTAGCTTTTCTTCTTTCTGGAGTCTTAGTTCCTTCTACCATTTCATGTTGCTTTGGCAATGCCTTTCAATTGCAACTTAGAAATGTATGCATAGCATTCACATTGTGCTCCTCACTGAGAGTAGAATTGGCTTTTTTAAAAAAAGTATTTGCTTAATTTTGCAGTTCTTGCTTTTTGATATGTAAGTTTCTCCTAACCTTCACCAGTAAATTCTAGCATTTGGCAAGGTGCTTTGCCATGATGTGTTTCAAGTGGCACATGCTACCTACATAAACACACATGTTTAAGATTTACTTCCTGGTGATGTGTGTTACTGTACAAGTGTTTACCTTGATTCTTGTTATTCTTCTGGTGAAGATGCTGAAGCTCTGAGTTGGCAATATATGTAAGGAAAAAGAGTTCCACTCTTTTTTTCTGAAAGTGCCTCTCCGCTTCACTTTGATAATCAGACTTAGCACACCATAAAGGCAAAGGCATACTTTGGGTTGACACTGGAAGTAGCTAAGAAATATAAGGGGGTAAAGCAGCCTGTAAGTATGCAGGGTTCAGAAGTTTAGGACTTGTAAGTTTAAAACAGCACCCTGTATAATGCCTGGAAGATAATAGGGAACCATGGTTAATGCCACAACACTGATGCCATTAGCTCTCAGCATCCCTATTTGAATGCCTGCCAGGTGGTTTTATCAGCGCACTCAGGGTCAAAGATACAAAAGGTTGCTAAAGGATCTAATGGGCCATGCAGCACCAACTCCCATACCGTGAACAGCAATCGGAAAATGGGGATCAGGTTGTTCTCTGCTGGTTACTCTTAACTCATAGTATTCTTCCCTTACCCCACTCAGTATAGTGGCCAATTCAGATAATACCAAGAATGTTCTTTCTTTTAAAATAAATTGATAACCAAATAATTCAAGCCAACTGGGCTGTTTTTTTGCAGTGTTTTCAGGCAGCCAGTCATCTCTGGATGAAGTTCCTCCATGAAAGAGCTTCATGATGCAGTTTTGCTTGAAACTAAATTCTGTTTTATTGGATCTAATTTAAAGTTGGACAGTTTTATTTATTCTTCTCCTGCATTTAGGAATTATTGCAAAGGTGCCAAGACTTGCGGATTCGTGACTCCAAGCAAGGCTGGGTTCAGAGGTCACAGTCAAGACCATTAATAACAAGGTGCAAACGGCTGGTTTATATGTAATGTGAAGCTTTTTACTTATTTCATTTATGCACTTCGGGGGCTCTGTTTGCTTACGGAGCACTTGGTGTCTGGTACTTATTTAGGAGATTGGGTTCATACAGGCCTTTGAAGGAATGCAGCAAATTGTTCTCTAGTGTTGTAATTCTGCGGTGGTAGCTGAACTTATTTGTCTCTGCTTATTACATATGTGCTGAGCCTGAAGGTTATTCTTCACTTAAGAAGCAATTGTTGAATCCACAGAATTGCAAGCTGGAAGGGGTGTTTTACATGTCCGCCTTTCATATGGAGGATAGCAGGTCTTTAGCTGGGAAGCCTGAAGAACTCAAATTAGTAGAGTGCCCTCCAGTGATGAGATATTTACATGGTTCTCATGACTATCAATAAACATTACTCATCATTTCAAGGATGGGATAGAATCAAGGAGTTGTAGACTGTGATTTGCTGATAGAAAAAGAATTGTAACCACTGTGTTCACAGAGCTTCATTGTATGCTGTACATACAGTGGAGTACAGGGGTGAACATCAGGTTTGCATGTTCCCACTGCAGGTAAGCTGTAAGTTTCCTGAAGCATCATCTATCAGGTAGAACAGTGGTACCTCTGCTTACGAACACTTCTGGTTACGAATGCTTCAGGTTACGAGCTCCGCTAACCCAGAAGTAGCTGCTCCTGGCTGCGAACTTTGCCCCAGGATGCGAACAGAAATTGCGCGATGGAGGCGCATGTGCAGCGGGAGGCCCCATTAGCGAAAGCGCGCCTCAGAATAAGAACGGTTTCAGCTTAAGAACAGACCTCTGGAACGAATTAAGTTTGTAACCAGAGGTACCACTGTACACATAATATGACAACAGTATTCCAGCGGGTCCTGCATTGTAGGTTCTACATGGAGTGAGAGTCTTGGGCATGTGCTCAGTGGGCCTTGCATCAATGTTGGTAGGCGATCAATTTGGAAATCTCACATCCTCCACTGCACCAGAGGGCATCAGGCTAACTTGGAAGAACAGAGCCATATGGCAAATACAGCTCTGTCCTCCAAACACCTTGCTTTCACTTCCTGCTCCCCACTCCTGTCACCTGAAGCCGCTGCCTCAGTCTGCATAATAGTGGGACTAGGCCTGCTGCTTTACTCATTTTCTCAAAGTAGCACCAAAACTCAGCTTGCCTCAAGAAAGCACCTTGGAAGAATTCAGCTGCTGGCAATTTCTCAACACAGGCAGCAGTGGCCCTGGTGTAAATTGTCCATTGCATCAAACCTGAATTAAAGGGATGAAATAGTTTTCTCATACTCTGCTCTCTTTTTCAAAAATTTCCACCACCTTGCCCAGCACTACTTCAAGAAAGAAGCAAGCTAACATTAATTTACCTCACAAAGACCCACTGATGGGAGTTGTCGTTCAAAACTTCTGGAGGACACTCTCCCACTTACATTCTTCTGTGGGACTTGCCAGTCACACTAGGAATTGTACTGTGCTGCCCTTTGAAAAATAGTCGATACCAATACTGTACTCTCTTGCATTTCTTTGTGAGAATGCAAAAGGTTTCTCACACAGAGGCCTCATGGATATTTCTGCGTGTAATAGTATCCTCATGCATTTGCCAGCACCAGCCAATGTGTCCAAATTGAAATTCCTGAATCTGTAGACTCTGCTTATACAATCTGTTTTCTCTCATAGGCTATTTATAAATGAATACAAGTTAACTGCATAAAAAATAATAATCATGCTAGCTTACCTGAAGCTATTGCTGATTAACAAATTAAGTACTGGTTTACTGTCTACAGGTTTGATGTCTGCATTGACTGTTCCCCCCACCCCCTTTCAGTCTTGCTGCAGCCAACTGGGGGACTGTCGCATTTCCCTGCCTTGAATCATCAGCCAAGATTTTAAGACAACAATTCCATCCCCCTCTTTCCACAGCAGTCACCGCCCCTGGCTGCTGCTGGTTAGGTCAGTCTGGCCTGTCTCCTGTGCAGTAATAATGCACTTGAAGCCTGTGTCTAAAAAATCCTCTCCCACACAGGTCGTGGCAGGTTAGACAAATATTAGTTCAAATGTCCCATAAATTGTCCCCAAGGGGCTGGACCAGCAGCCATCCCTTTTCATTGCACAGATCTAACCCCCCTCAAGGGGAAAATTAGCAACTATTAGCATGTGTGAAGCAGAATTCCTGCTGTGGGTGGAAAGCTGTTAAGAAATGCTTAAGAGAGCGGGCTGTTAATATGTACATCGCATTGATGTGGTGATTTAGTAGTAGCAACCCTCACAAAGGCAGAGACTTATTTTAGTGACTTTTTAAAATTATTATTTGAACAAGGACCCAAGGGCTTATGTGCACATTCCAGTAGCAATGGACACATGTTAAGAAAATTCCAGTAGGATTGTTTTATTTTTACTCAGAGGTTCCCTCTACACACACACACACACACACACACACACACACACAGAGTCACCGTCTCCCTCTAATAGTGACTAAATCAGAGAGTGAATGCCAACAGGATTGTAGCTAAAACAGGCACACTGAAAAAGAAAAGGGAGGTAGCAAAGTGATTGGTAAAGCCCTAGGGTTTGCAGAAATAAATAAAAAAAACGGGGGTGGGCAAAGATGGCACCCTCCAAAAAAAAGTTTAGCCCAATAATGACAGAGCTTATAAGTGGCCATGGAATGCTGACTGGAGTGGGGAGGCAAGAATTGGCAAATGGAATGGAGATTCCTAGAAGGCTTGGCTGGCCAGAGCCATGGACAAGAGCCCTCCATGCTGCAACTTTTTTGTAGTTTCTACTTCTGACTGTTCCTCAAACACTATATGTTGACAGCTCACTAATTCCCCAGTTGAATGGTTGTAAACAGTTAAATGGACTGCATGATGCTAAAGGCACTAAATAACTTCCTGTTTTAAAATTTAAAAAGGATGGCAGTTTGTCATTGCTATAGTAAATTACTACAAAAAATAAAAATTAGCAGCATCAAATGTTCTTAACGTGGATTTTATTCCCCTCCTCCTTTTGTAATTTTAATCTTGAATATATCCAGGAGTGAGCCTTTAAACTTTGCTGAGAATTTCTCGTCCCTCTCTTCCATTTGATCCTGTACTTCTGCAAACAGTCTAGCACAGAGAATTTTTGTAGGTTAAACTTTTTTGCTGACACAGATTAAACAGAAGAAGAAGAGAAGAAGAGTTTGGATTTGATATCCCGCCTTTCACTCCCTTTCAGGAGTCTCAAAGCGGCTAACATTCTCCTTTCCCTTCCTCCCCCACAACAAACACTCTGTGAGGTGAGTGGGGCTGAGAGACTTCAAAGAAGTGTGACTGGCCCAAGGTCACCCAGCAGCTGCATGTGGAGGAGCGGAGACGCGAACCCGGTTCCCCAGATTACAAGACTACCGCTCTTAACCACTACACCACACTGGCGGGTAATTCCTTCAACCGTTCCTCAGAAGGCTTGGATTCCAGACTGTTGATCATCTCAGTCATGCTCCTCTGCACATGCTCCAGCTTGCCAATCTACTTCTTAAATGGTGGTGTCCAGAACTGGACACAGCAAAAGTACAACAGGAATGAAGGACACACCAATGCTTTTGCAAGGAGCATAATCTAATATCCTTATCCAGCAAGGAAGATATCCAGCAACATAAATTGCTAATGCAGATATAGACTAATGAAATAATCCCCATCTTCATCATACTGTTCATCTGAGACTTAATGCGCTGGTCTGATGAATCATTGGATACATATTTACATGTTTGTCTACCACTGGACTCAACAGTTGTTTATGAGACTAGCTGCCCATGACAACAGTGGGATTGGAGCCATAATTTATGTTTAGGTTTACTACTACTCTGCAGAAAATCAAATCAATAAGCTTTTCCTAGCATGCAGAGAAGCAACAGTGAGGAAAGCTTCTGCTTCTAATTCAGCATCTAATTTTTGTCTGTCAGGCCCTGTGCTTTAAACAGCTTCACATGTTTATAAAGAAGCTGGCAACTTTATCAAAAGGTGCCCATGCTGTGGCCCACGTTTGGCTTCAGTCATCTTCTGCTCTGAAAGACTGCATCTGCATCTTCCTGACTTGTATCCCACACGTTCTGTTTCAGATGGAATTGGTGTAATTCACTGCAACTGTTCCATCCCAGTTCTCTGTGATCCATTCTTAAACCAATTAATCCTCCCGCTAGCCTTCTATATCATACATGGCAGATTTAAAGATTATTAGAACATGATCTTCTGTGGAGATTCTTCTAGACACAATACACATCACTTAGGAAGGGTTTGTGAGTGGAACAGAATCCTTGACAAGGCTCATCCCCTTTTAAAAGCTCCACTAGATAGAAAACATCTGCTTTTTAAAAGAGAAATGTGCACGTTCAGTGGAAAATTGAGTATAGCAGATACATTATGTAAGAGAGCACGTAGGGAGTTCTGAATGTTATTAGATTTACCAATTAAGGGAGTCCTTTTAAAAGGGATGGCTAATTTGTCCCTTCTGCCTCCCCCTTCCAATAGTAGAAGCAAATTTATTGGACAAAGTTAGCCTTTTAATATACAAACCTACCTTGTGTGGGAAGACCATTAGCCTGTCTACTTTCAGTTTTCTGAGAGCCCAACTTGGCAGGATGTTGAAGATCTGTGACTGGATTTCCTATCTCATTATCAGTGCTATTTTTCTAGAAAAAGAAGTGCTGGAACTCACCATGAACACCCTCCTCTTTCTCT